GCCTTACTTAAGTAAATTAGCTAGAATAGTAGTAATATTATTAGTAAGATTAGCGCTAAGAAGGCTAATTAAGAAGATAAGTAACTATAAAAATATTAGTTAACTTAATTTTAATAGAAAAAAGAAAAAAAAACTTACTAGCTTTAAGTACTACGCAAACTATAAGCAGAGCGCGCTTCTTAGTTAGTAATACTAGAAGCTAAGAACTTTAGCTACTAGAAAAAAGTCTCTTACTACTACTACTACTACTAAATTCTTAACTACTGCAGCTAGAATAAGTAGAGATAGATCTATAGAAGTAGTTAATATAAGCTATAGTTCTAATAGTATATAGAAAGATACTAGAAAGAAGAAGAGAACTAAGAAAGAAGATAGTAAAGTAAGAAGTATAAAGAATAGAGAATATAGTAAAAGCTTAGTATTTTATAGTTCTAGAAAGCATTTGCAGCAGCCTAGCGTACTACTTATTAACTAACTTTACTTTATAGCTACGTTGCTATCTACGTTATAAGTAAGAGAAAACTTTAATACTAAGTTTGCTAAACGCCTATTAGGCTTAGTTTAGTATTAGAGTTACTATAAGATTTATTAAGATAAATAGAATAAATATATCTAGTATATTCTTTTTTAGAACCTAAGCTTACTAATGCGAACGTTATAGAGTAAATAGAGTACCTCTAGCTCTTAGAGCTAGAAATCTAAAGCAGGTATTAGAGCATAATAGGCATTTCTTTTAAAGTAAGTTCTTACTATAGCATAGAAAAAAATAATAGAGGCACTAGCGCTTTATATAAATTAATCTAAGTTTTACTTAAGTATACTTAGTAGAAGCTAGAAGAATTCTTACTTTAATTAGAAGAGTAGCTTAGGTTCTTTATTCTTAGTTCTACTTAGTAGACTCTATTAACTATTAGAGAAGCTTACTAAGAGTTTGCTATTATTATAAAAGAAGAGGCGTTAGGCAGAGTATAGTCTATATTATCTTAGTAATTAGGTTAGTAGTTATAACTATAGTTATCTCTAATAGAAGCTAATAGTAAAGATATTAAGTAGAGTATAGTCTGCGTTATTCTAGTAATTAGCTTAGTAGCTATAACTATAGTTATTCTTAATAGAAGCTTATAGCAAAGGCGCTAGGCAGAGCATAGTCTATATTATTCTAGCAATTAGGTATTATATAGTCTACGCAGCCTTAGGTATCTTATATGCTATTATCTATAATAGAATTCTACTATTAGAAAGTAAGAAAGCCTACTGCTAAAGTAGCTCTATCCTTTAAGTAATAGGAGTAATTTAAACTTAAAGATAGTAATCTACTATATTAGGGTTTAATAAGTTAGAGTTTATTAAGTCTAGCTTCTATACTAGTATTAAGCTTATAGGAGCGCAGAAGCAAAGAGAAGATTATAGAAGAATAGTAATCTACTATATTAGGTTTAATAGGTTAGAGTTATTAGGCCTAGTTCTATACTTATAATAAGCTTATAATAAAATAGAAGTAAAGAGTAAACTATAGAAAGTAAGCTTAAGAAAGCTAAGCTCTTATAGGTAGAAAAGGTATATAGTAGAGTAATATGCGTTAGCATAGAGCTTAAGCCTAATAAGATATTAGGCAAAGTATAAAAGTAGAAGAAGGCAGTTTAGAAGTTAATAAATTAATTAACTACTTTTATATTAAGCATAATCTACTACAATACTATTCTTAGATACTAAAAGCTTCTAGTAATATAGTATTAAAGCTTTCTTATACTATACTAAGATATAGATATATCTCTTAATAATATTTTATAACTAAAGCGCGTATCTAACTAAGTTACGTACTTTACTCTACTAAAACGCCTACGCAGCAATATAGCGTAATACTATAATAAATTTATATACTGCAAATATAAATATATTATTTATTAGAAGCGTTGCTATCTTCTATATTCTCTATCTCTACTTTATAGATATAGATATTATATCTAGTCTTACTATAAGTACTATAGCGCCTCTCTGCGCGCACTTTCTTTAATAGTCTATTACTATTATTATAATAGTTCTCTACTATTATAGTAATTAAGTCTAATACTTTCTTAACTATTAAGATCTTCTCTACTTATATATATTATTATTTACGTACTTTATACTTTATTATTACTTCTATAGCATCTTAAAAGTAGCTTATTTCTTTCTATATTAATACTATATTATATACTATCTGCTAAGCGCCTTTACTTAGCTATATAATCTTTTTATCTATTAACCTTACTATAGAACTTATATAGTTTTATACTCTCTATTAAATAAGCATACTCTATATCTCTATCTTATAAGCATTATATAGTATCTTTGCCTACTAGGCACTATTCTTAATAGGTTATTAATAGTAGAGTATAGGAAGCATATATTAAGCTTTAATAATTACTACTTCTAGATTATATAAGGACTAAGCTAGTATCTTAAAACTCTATATAAATATTCTCTACTATAAACGTCTTCTTAAAAGCAGCTTTAAAGGCTAGTAAAAAAGTTTCTTTATTAATATAGTAGATATAACTGCATGCTAAGACTAAGATACTATTATTATATATGCGCTTTAATAGTAAGCAAATAAGTAATATTAAGTAGCTATAGTAGATAAAATAAGTACGTAAGTATATAGAGAGTAATAATCTTCTTCTCTTTATAGTATTTCTAGAATTCTACTACGTAATAGCTTTTATAGCTATTAATAATAAGTAGCTTATATACTTTAATAGAATACGTATAAGAGTTAAAGTATTTAAGCTAAGTAAATGCTAGATTATTATTTATCTAGCTAGTAGAGCTAACTTAGATAACTTAGTTATATAGAAGGTTATAAAATTAGTTTAAGATAAGAACTTTACTTATAAAGATAAGAAAAAGTAGAATTATCTTCTCTATTATACTAACGCTTTATACTAGCATAACTTACTTATAATTACTAAGCTAGAGCTTCTTTACCTTCTTAAGCTTCTCTAAACTTATTATTATAAGCTAAGAGAATATCTTACTTATTAAGAAGCTAGACTTATTAAAGTTATATATATTCTTATCTATAACTCTATACTTCTTCTTTATATCTTAAACTAGCGTAAACTAAGACTAGATAACTGCTAGATTCTTATAGATAGCTTACTAGTAATTATATAGATAGCTCTAGCGCTTATATAGCTTAGAAGTACGCTTAATAAAGTTATTAACCTAGTTCTTACTAATAGGCTTGCCAGCGCGCTCTCTAAGCAGTCTATTAGCTATATCTTATATATTAGCCTTTAAGATAAGTAGACTATATGTAGAATACTTAAGTATACGCTCTATAATTACTTCTTCTTTTAGTTTTATTAGGCGCTTTATATTTAGTTTATAGTTATATTAAGAATACTTTTTATTATAATAGTCTTAGATAGTTATTTTAGAGATATTATAGATAGCTATAGCGCGTCTAATACTCTAAATTTACTAATTTTATATATTAAGAATAGTAATCTATATATCTACTTTAGTATAGGAATTTTAAGCCTAGCGTTATTAAGATATTATGCGTTACTGCTACGCAGGCGTTTTAGTAAGATAAAGTATATAACTTAGTTAGATATACGCTTTAGTTATAAAATACGTTATAGATAATAAAGAGTAAAGTTATATACTTAGTAGTATAGATACTTTAGATAACTATAACTTACTTATAATTATTTAGCTAAATTATATTTAGCTTTATATAATACTCTAAGCTAGTAACTACTTTTATTAAGCTAATAATGCTTATCTAGAAGCTTATCTTATTAAAGTTATAGATATTATTATCTATAATTTTATACTTAGCTTTTATCTCTTATATAAGCTTAAACTAGGTACTAATAATCTCTAGATCTTTCTAGAGTATTCTTTAGCAATTCTTTACTTAATTAAAAGCTATCTTAAGCTTCTCTATATAAGATATAAACTGCTTAGGCTAGTTCTTACTAATAAGTATCTTACTATATGCAGCTAATAGCTTATTAGCTATATCTACTATCTTATAAAGTTAGAGAGTAAATTCTTTTATATCTAAGTTAAGAATATATTATATAATAGTTTGCTCTTCTATAAAAGAGAGTTTCTAATAGTTTAGTAGTGCTTAAGCTTAATTTAGAATTCTATAAAGCTAATTAGAGAGCTACTAATATTATATGCTAAAGGTAGTAGCAGCGCGTTATAGGCTCTTAAATTAGCCTAAGTTATAAGCCTAAAAAATAAGATTAATTTTACTTTCTTTATATAATAAGTTAGAGTTATTTTAAGATAGCATTATAGTTTATATATAATATTTATAATACTAAGAAAAAGTAGCTAGCTTAATAACATAGCTAGCTTAATAATTATTTACGTTACTTTAATTAAATATTAGAGATAGTAAGCTATATATCTTCTTTAGTATAGATCTTTTAAGCTTAGTATTATTAAGATATTATATATTATTACTATATAGGCGTTTTAGTAGAGTAAGATAGCTATGTTACTTAAGTAGCTAAGTTACTTATAAACTACGTTAGAAGTATTTTCTAACTTAGATATAAGTATAATAAATATAGACTTCTTTATAGATAGCAATAAAATTAAGAATATATAACTAAAGTTTCTTATATTAAGAAATTTCAGGTTACTTAGTAAGATAGATTACTTAGTAGTAAATTATATTATATAAGAGGATTGCTAACAACTAGTTATCTATACTATACTTTAAGTAAGTCTATAGTAACTTAGCAGACTAATATTAAGTTAGAGTAGCTTTAGGCTAGTTGACGTAGATTTTGCGACCATCGCATTCTGTTTGTAATCTAGCCACGTTTGCAGTTCTTAGCAGATTGAGCGACTTTTCAAAGATTGAGCATATTGGCTCCTTGATTATTCTACACCAGACTAAATGGCGTACTGCTAGGGCATTATTACTCGGTTTGAAGATAGAATATAATGCCTCAAAAGGTAATGACTGCGCGAGTCTACACTACGAATCCCTACAATGAGGGGATGCTCTGCGCATGTGTTGTGAACACGCCATGCGGATCCAACTCTGACTTAATCTTCTTCATCTTCGCAAAGTTGTTCCCATAAAGCCGCACACTCCATTCCTCCACAGTAAGCTCGGTATCTCTGTAATTCACGAACCCCCTCAGCGGTACTCCCTCCTTCTTCAGCTGCTCCTGGAAAGGTCTGAAACCAGCTTGCATATATTCAATGCCGTCAGCGGGCCACTGGGTTAGACCATTTGCAAGACGCCCTTCCCATCGGATGAGCCACTGGTTGTTGGAGTACGCCATTGCTTGCTTTGTGTCGTCAACATCCCTAGAAACGCCGCCCCAAAGGTCCAGGAAGCCAAACTCGGTCAAATCAGTACGGTTAAAGGCAAGCGTAGTGTACTGGTAAAGCGCTTTGGCAGACTCGAAGGTGAAAGGCTGGTCGTTACGTAGGATCAGAGCTTGTAGGTACATGCTGCGTGGAGGGAAGGCGTCGACAGTACCGTTGAGCTGTGGAACGGCAAAGTTCTCCATGGCCCAGAAATCCGCCGTTCGCACCGTGGTCGTGGTTGTATTTGGCAAGCGTTTGACGAGACCAGCAAACAGTGTATCGAATTCATCAGGGTTGCCGTAGAAGTAACCGCTACCGTTCCATTCGCCCGCAAGTTGCCATCGCAAGGCGAACGTATCAGGGGCTTTTGTCATGGCCCAGTCCTGGATATCAATAAGGGCCTGGGCGCCTGTGTCAAGATCCACCGCACCAAGTGAGATTGTGAAGTTGGTGACTATATCGAACTCTGGTTTCCATGTGCGAGTCGTCAGAGACAGAATTATACCGTAGGACGAGCCAGCACCCTGGACAGCGAAGAATAGGTCAGGGTTTTCCGTACGAGAAGCAGTCACGACGGTGCCATTGTACAGCATCACTTCAACGCTGTCAAGATTGTCCATAGGAGTACCGAGGAAACGACTTGTTGTTCCAAAGCCGCTCCCCGATTGAAGAGCCCGAAAGACCGACCCAGTTAGCACGGACGTGGGGGAAGTGGCGCCCGTGGTTCTCCCAGAGCCATGTTGCAGCTGGTTCCAACTCGGCTTCCTCCACCATAGCTATTATTGTCAGCATAACGCATCTGGACACTGACCTGGAAGTTACACACGTGAAAAGACGAGTCGCCTTGTCGAAAGTGGTCTCAGTGAAGCGCTCCATGTTAATCACGAGTGCTCCATCCACGCCACCGAGACCATATGCTCCGTAGGAGTGTCCTCCGTTCAGAGCGGACACTTTGACACCCGCATCGACAGCGCATGCCAATGCGACAGCGACCTCGTCCTTGGTGCGAGGGACGACAATAGCGGCTGGCTCAGGTCTGAATCGTAGAGCCCAGGGAGAGGTAATCGTCTGCCAGTTTGTGGCGTCCGAAAAGGTTGTTAAGGAAGCCAGAATGCTGGAGCTGCTCAAGCACTCTCGCAGTTTAGCAGAATCATTATGGGCTGCAGCTCCAGAGAGAAGAGAACCAAGTAGAGCGATGTTCCACAACAGGTGAAGCGCACCTTGAGGTTTGAAAGAACGGCAAACGCCCATGGTGAGTCGCTTAGATAATGAGCGTGGTTAATGATAGTCGTGTAGGCACCCCCGATATACGATATAGCAGAGCGCGCATTGCTTGTCTTATATCTGACAAGGACACAGCCGTCTTACATCCATCTATAGTGTCCGGTAAGTTGGCCAGGAGCAGTTGGCGTGTGTACGTTTCGGCGCCGAAGTACCCATCCTGCCATGCGCCCGAAATGAAGCCATTGCTACTTGTCCATTGGAGGGAAATCACCATAACCATTCCACAGGATCTTCTGGGAGACTATACACAAAAGCCAAGATTTGCCATCAAGTTCGCGCCTTCATGTAGACGCGACGAACATGGTGGGCCTGTCTGCAAGTGCTCTACAATTACCAAGGGCACTGCCTGTTCATGACGTGTTTGCATATGTCACAGCGCACGAAGTGTGTAAGAGGCGCAGTTCGGATTGAATACTTTAATGTTTGCGGATCGTGAATGCCAAAGAAGGTGTGGTTAAATATAGGACGGTTTAGAACAAGTACATGTATGGAATATTGCATCGACGAAATTCACGCTTTCTCATCCGGCCTTGTAACGCTACGGCTATTTGTGCAGGCTGTTCCTGGCAATGTAAGCTTGCTTACTGATATGGGCGGTTTCCGGGAGCTTGGTATGTTTCACTTACATGCTTATGAGTGGACTTTCAATGTCAAACCGAGTTAGGGCTTACCTTAGGAACGCCGAAGAGTCAACGGCGCTGATTCGATCGTCAAAACGACGGGAACATTGCATGCTTCTAGTGTGCTTCCATGAAGATTGCTGGGTATCATTCGATAAATATACACTCAATAGCTAATGGAATACAAGGAGCAAAAATGGTTATGCGCTCTCTGCCCTCCCACCACTACTTTCCCGACTCACTCGTCGTTGGACGTGGGTTTGGGCCGGCGGACGCATGTCATCTCCCTCGGCCTCATCGTCGCCCTCCGTCATGCTTTCAGCGTTGCTGAGCATGCTCGCCCTCTTGCTCTGCCAGGGAAGATTACTCTCACTCGTGCTTGGTCGTGAATTTGAACTTGGCAATTGTGGTCTTCGGGCTGTTTGAGCAGTTCCTTGAGCGAGTTTGGCAGAGCGGAGAGAGTTTTGACGCGACGTCGACAGCGTGGTGGTAGAGCCCGTGGTACTATTGCTCCAGCGTCGTTCGCGGGCTTCGGCTGGGCGCAGGCGGTCGTCTAGGTCTGGAGTTGGTGTGATGCTGCGCGACGAGCTTCTTGAATGGCTTGCGTCTCTCCCCCGTTGTGCCTGCTGCAGTATGCTGGGCCGGCGTTTTCTCGAGGCGTTGTGTGACAGACTGTGACTGTGTCCATGGTGATGCCCGCTCTTCTCGATGTCGCCCGAGCGGCTGGTGAAGCCGCGTGCACGCTTCCATCCCCTCCAGCCGCTCCACCACAGCCAGCCGCCCTCTTGCCTTGCCATGGTGCGCTGCCTGGCGCGGACACTGGTGCGGAGTTCGGCACGTCGTTCGTTCTCCTTGTCCCAGTACTCGGCGCGATATGTTTCCCAGTTCTGTCGGAAGTCGGGGGTAAAGGGCTTAGGCAGGAGGAGCAGTTTGATGTAATCACCGCCAGGGGCAATATCTTCTTCGGCATACTCCTTGCCGTCCTGGACTATGCTGTGACGCGGACGGCCACCGCCGCCATCGAGGCCATGCGACTTCTCCTGCGAGACGTTGATGAAGTGGTATGAGCTGCCGCCCTGCTCGCCGCCCCACAGGCCGCCGGAGAAGGGGCGCAAGAACAGGAGCCATTCGAACAGCTCGCGGTACCACGGCCCACGGATGACGACGATTTTGGCATTGATGCCCCTCAGCCCCCGGTTGGCGACGCCGACCCAGCGCCGCGGCCACCGCACCCCGCGCTCCCACTGGCCTGTGGCCCAAAACAGCAGGGCCGTCACGACGCCGGTGATGAAGCACACTTTCTGCAGCATGTCCACCATCCAGTACTGGCTGCCCCCACGGCCCTTGCCATCTTCGCGCGGCCGCAGGAAGATGAGGTCGAAGAAGATGACGAGGTAGAAGAAGAGCAGCGTCAGCACGAACGTGTTCTGCCGTCGCCGGGCGCGCAGCGTGAGGTACTGGGAGCGCAGGGACGCTTCGAGGATGAGGAGGTTGAGGTAGATTTGCGGCGGCGCGCTTGGAAGGAGCGACGTGGGGTCGGTGATGGACGCGTTTCGCGGGTGCTTGACTGCTGCTGTGCCGTCGTTGGCATGGCGCGACGTGTCGACGAGCGTGGCCAAGTACGCTGGAGACGCCGTCGCTGCAACTGCATGCACTGACGTATGCGGTGCCGGCGCGCCCTTGACTATCTGGTCGAGCGTCTGCGAATCGCCCGTCATGGTGTTGTCGTTGTTGTCTGCGCTGCTGCTGCTGCTGCTGCTGCTGCTGCCAGGGATGGCATGTGATTGTAGCTCCAAGCTGTCCACGCTCGTGTGGGCTTTCCAGCGCTGAGGCGTGCCCAAGTATGGCGCGTGACTACGTCAAGTACTCATGGGCTTGGTCGGAGCATGCAGGTGTGAGTCGCGCAGGAGGAGAGGCGTAGAACGGGTGTAGCGATGGCAGTGCGGCGCGTGGGTGGGTGAATCGTGGATGCAGCCAACACTCAACACTCAACACTCGCTCCATGATGATGCATCGCCTCGCTTAGCTAGGTCCTTGTAGCGGTGAAGACCAGGATTGCTGGCACATCCCCTTCTACTCCACCACACTAGCACCAGACAGGAAGGACCCCTCTTCTCCTCTGCCCTACCCGTCGGTGGTAGTCCATACACACCCTCGGCCCTCTGCCGTCGTGCAAGCCGGAGAAGAGAGGTCGGACAAGGTCGAAAAGCCAAAGTCGGCGGGGTCTGCTGATGTGAGATCCCAAGGACCTCGCGCGCAGTCGGACAAGATTCTCCCACCACGCGGAGGAGACGGAAAAGGCCCATCTCCGATGCTTGGCGAAGCTGTGCCACTCAAGGCAGTCTTGTTGGTATGCGGCTTCTTTGCTCTGTAGCACTGCTGGTAGTAGCCATGACCGTCACACTGCACTATGGACGACACGTCTTGGTCGGACCAAAACAACGGGAATACCATGCCTGTCTTGTGGCTGTGCGATCAAGGTCTTCATATCAACAAAGTATAAGGTTGAGCTTCCCACTGCCGTAATATCCCATCATACCCTAAACATACTCCTTTTGTATCCGTCTAGCTCCACAAGTGCCCTCGCAACCTCCAACAATGTCCGGCCTATCCATGCTCCTCGTCGCCCTCTGCACCCCCATCTTCGCCCTCCCAAACCCACGCGTCCCAACATGGACCACCCTAAGCTCCATCCCATCTCCTCGTCAAGAACACACCACATTGTTTCTACCACCCTCAACCATCGCCATCATCGGCGGCATCATCCCCCTCGACGATCCCACTCTAGTCCCACCCTTTGCTACTACATCGTTGATGCAGTTCTACAACATCACCTCTGATACATGGTCACTCGGTGCCCCAATACCCAAGCCGCTGAACCATATCAACGCAGCAGTAGTAGATGGAAAGATATACGTGCTAGGTGGCTTGACAGACTCTAGCGACCATCGTGGTCGTGCATGGCGTGGAGCCACCGACTCATGGGTGTACGACCCTTCCGAGGATACATGGTCTGACATATCGCATGATTCACTCGGAGCCCAGGGACGCGGAAGTGCCGCTGTAGGCATCTTCAATCGCAAAATCTACATGGCCGGCGGTATCACCGAGCTCGAGTTCTACGGCAACCACACACAAACCAGCGTTGACCTGGTTTCAGTCTTTGATACAGAGAAAAACATTTGGCTCCATGTACCCGAGGGTGCGAGCAAATTGCCAGAAGCAAGAGATCATGCTGGTGGTGCCGTGGTGGAGTCGAAAATGTATGTCTTGGGCGGAAGGAACAACGGACAGGAAAACAACAAGGACACGGTGTTTGTGCTTGATCTGTGCGACTTGGAAGCAGGATGGGCAATCAGTGACGCCCGGATGCCGACAGCAAGGGGTGGTATTGCTGCTGGAGTGGTGGGACACAAGGTATTTACGTTTGGGGGGGAGGGCGACACATCCACTGCCAGCGGTGTGTTCGGCGAGGTTGAGGCGTATGACACAGCGAAAAATACGTGGGAGAGTTTTGAGAAGATGAAGCTTCCGAGACACGGCACCTACGCGGTAGGAGTCGGTAGAAAGATATACATACCGGGCGGTGGGGTTGAGCAAAGTGGAGCGCCGGTCGCAGACTTCGATGTTTTTACTACAACGTAGATAGCATTGTCGAGCATGGTTCTAGGGAGGCATCATATCGTAGTCTGGACAATGGAAACCAGTGGCTGTAATGAGAATCATGTGCTTACATGTAACCAGCTGCAAAGGTCATTTTTCAATCCATTTACATCATCCCAGTCGTCCCTTACCACCACCGTATTTTCCTTCTGGGCCTTCGAGATGCGCGTCCAATACCGCCGATCGACCACCGAGTACTGATTGTATCGCTTCCGGCAGCAGCTTGCCCAACTCTTCTGCGTTGCTTGCATGTGCTGCCCAAATCTCACCGCCGGACGCTGCTTTTGCTATGCCCGAATAGTCTGGCGTGGGCGCGAAACTAATGTTGAGCTCTTCATTGCTCACTTTTGAGCCTTCACCATCCGGATGAACAAGCAGCATGGACCTACGCGGCGCATTCCAACCCTTGTTGTTTAAAACAATGGTGAGGATCGGAATTTTGTAGCGCTGTGAGATCCAGTATACAGAGCCTGGTACAGAGAAGAGGTATGTCCCATCGCCCACAATCTGGCAGACGAATTGCTTTTTACCTGCAGTGTCGGTCGCAAGCTTGATACCCAGTGCACCGCCACCGCTCCAACCGAGGCCGCCTCCTCCACAATTGATCCACGAGCCCGGAAGTGTAGCCTGAATTTGATCTGCGACAAAGCTCGTCTGCGTAACTGCCTCTATAGCCCAGATAGTGTCGTTAGGACACAGTTTCTTCAGCTGAGAGCAAAGGTAAGGAGTTGCAAAATGTCCCTGGTCGTCGAGCTTGGCTTCGCGTGCGATTGCCTCAAGTTTCTGTTTATGCGACTCTTGCAAGGCAGACCATCGCTGTACAAACATCTGGCTTGACAGCTGTTCTTTGAGATGCGATTCGAGGTATCCGTTAAGCTGGCTAAGAGACGTACACGAATCCGCTCGATACCTCTTTATAGCGTTTAGATAGAAGACGGGCATTTGCTGCTTCAGTGGATCAACATCTACGTGAAAGATTTTGGCCGTGTCTTTCGGATGGCATTGCGTATTGATCCAAGGTACGTCGCAGTCGATGACCAGAATGACATCAGCAGATTTGATGCTAGGGTCATTGCCGTACCGAAGACCTAGCCATGCTGGGTGGTTCGCTGGGAAGCACATGTCGCTTCCACCAGTATCCAGCACACGCAACCCCTTGACATTGTCCGCTAATTGGACGAGTTGCTCAACGGCCGCATGGTTTCTTCCTGTGTATCCTGCGATGACTAGTGGCTCCTGTGCGTGTACTAGGGCTTCGGCGATGGTTTTGACTCCGCTGGGCGGGAGAGCCGCGGGTTCGACGGGTTGCCAGTATTCAAGTTCCAGCTTGTATGGGGTCAGATCCTCCTCCATGGGCTCACGTGCGCCGTAAAGATAGACGGGACCTTTTGGGTCGCTCATGGCAAACGAGAGTGCTCGATTGACCATTTGCTACCATAATATCAGCCTCTGGCTCAGTTCAAGTCGATCCCCGCTACGAACCTTGACGTTCTTGCCTGACTTGATCTCGCCGGTATAACGGCAGTATTGAGCCACAATCTGCTTCTGGTCTGGCACATCTTGTATCCAGTGAATGTACTCGGTTCGGCTTCCGCGCATCTCCCCTTCGATCGTGAAAGGCGACAATCCAGCGAATATAAGGACAGGCGCGCGACCGCACGAGGCATTGTGCACAGCAGCTCCGAGCCCTTGAGTGCCCACATCAACGTGTACGATGACGCATTGAGGTTTCCCAGTCAATCGCGCGTAGCCATCCGCCATGGAGAGTGCGACCATCTGTGGAGGTCAGCGGTCATTGATCCGTTCTCAAGGTGTCGTTCGTACCTCATTGGGACACGTGATAATTCTGGGAAACTGGCTATTCTTCTCATTTTGGCCTTTGACAATGGCTTCCATGATCGAGGGATGGTCGCTTCCAAGGTTCACGAAAACGTTGGAGACGCCATATTCCCACAATGCCTCGAAAAAGGCGAACGACGCCGTGTAACTAGCAGATCAGCATCCTTGGTAGCGCATTGTGATGCCGTGTACACTTACACCATTTCCCTGTTCGCTACACTTCTTCTAACTGACGTCGCAGTAGTGGGCGCGTCTCACCTATCACCACGGAAAATCGTAATGGATAAGGAAGAGAAGGCACGAAATGTTCTCCTTTTCAAGGAATGGTCCATCGCACTTGACACTGCCGTGATGGCAATCCGTCCTGCCCCACCAGCGCGGGGGAAAGATGTCGTGGTTGGGGAAGGGCCGAAGCATTGGCAGTCGCGTCGGCATCGATTTCGGCTCTTTTCGGCATCCTCACAGCATCTTCTTCGCGAACATGCACGCGTCTTGCAACACTTGACGTCCCTCGGAGATTCGTAAAATACCTCCAGCGCAGTCTAGCTCAAGTGAAGGGTATTTAATGTTCGATCTCCTGAGCACCTGCTCAAGCGCTGAATGTCAGAGTTGCTGTGATGCGACACTTGCGGGCTGAAACGCGTTTCATCCAGTTCTCAATGGTTCCTACCGGACATTGAAAAGCATCAAATGGTAGCGACTTCCTAAGACCTCTCCAACATTTCTTTGATTTTGCACACTACTATGCTCGCCCCCACACTCTTCGTTCTTTGTTCGCTACTTTCAAATGCCAGATCTCATTCCACAACGTGCAATAACCCAGTATGGCCGATCCGCGTCTGTACAGGGCCGCCAGAAACCTACAAAGTCTTCAACAGCGACGGCAAAGGCCTCGGCGTCTTTGCAGCACATGATCTGGATGTTGGTGACATTGTCATGCGAGAAACACCAGCCATAAAAATAGTACCTCCAGAATTTGTGAAAGGCTCTGGCTATCCCATGGTTGCGGTCGCAGAACTAGTTCGTGCCGAATTTGAGACCCTGCCAGCGCCACAGCAAGAAGAAATAATGTCTCTTACCTATCATGCCACAGCGCATGAAAAGAAAACAATGGACAAGCTTGGTATCATCTTCCGGACCAACGCATACAACTCAGGCACCGAAATAGGCCTCTTCCCCAAGATCGCCCGGATCAACCACTCTTGTCGGCCAAACGCCAGCTACTACTGGAGTCAAACCCTGAACAAACGCATCGTCTATGCAACCCGACGAATCGCAAAAGGCGACGAAATCTTTGTGTCATACATACCACTTCTTTTGACCCAGGAACAACGGCAAAAGCATCTCGACCGCTACGGCTTCAAGTGCACCTGCGAGGCCTGTGCCCAGGAACATGCTGCAATGGAAGCCAGCGATGATCGCCGTACAACGATCAGTAAAGCCTTTGTCGACTTTGAGCCCCAACTAACACTTACTTCGCCAAAGACAAAGAAGGCAACGCAACAAGCTCGCAAAAATGCCAGAGCCAGTCTCAAACTTGCAGAGCTTGTGCACGAAGAGGGCCTTGCCGATTATTATGCCAAAGCTTACAGAATAGCCGCTATCTGTCACGCGCGAGTTAAGGACTGGGAGCCGGCAGCAATATGGGCAAACAAAGGCTATGAGCTCAAATTTTTAGAGGATCCCCAGTCTGTGTACACAATGGAGATGCATAATCTTACCGGCAACTTCATCCAAGAATGGGAGCACGAGTTGATGCAGAAAGCTCAACGACAGGCCAACTCCAACTAGACGTCGACTCGTCTGGCGTATAGACGAACTTCCGAGACCACTATCAACTTGACCACTACACAAATAGTGCAAAGCACATTTCTAGTCCACATGAGGAACACACTTGCTGGGATTCCATCAACCCGCTTGTCAGCGTACCTGTACACCCCTTCGCACACCGTCAACCGCTCTCGACAAGCATCGTCCATATCTCGATACTCCCACATGCTGCGATGATGCGCTAGTATAGCACATCTTTCGCTAAAAATGAGGCTATCCCATTACAGAGCAATCGCGCCCGAGGCAATGGTTCGCGTTGTCGGGCCTGTACAGCCGTTAATTAGCCTAATCCGTAACCATATTTCACATCTCGCCTTCGAGACCTTCGTCGTCCACATCACAACGCTTGCGCATTCCACCATCTCTCACAATCACAAAGAAGGACATTCGCAATGGTGCTCAGTCTTCCTGGCCGTCTCATCGATCGCGACGAGCGTACACGCAAGAAACCGATGCGTATTCTTGTCCTCGGCATGTGCCGCACAGGAACCACTTCCGTCTCCGTCGCCCTACGCAAATTGGGTTACACACCGCATCAAATGCGTGAAGTTCTGATGAAACCAAAGGATCTATCGCTCTGGCAAGAAGGCATCAACGTGACTCTGGTCGCACCAAAAGACCGTCCGGTTAGCTTGCGCAATCAAGCACCATATGGAAAAGCCGAGTTCGACAAGCTTCTTGGCGAATACGATGTCGTTATGGACGTTCCAGGATGTGTATTTGCGAGAGAGCTGATTGAGGCATATCCGGACGCGAAGGTCATTTTAACGACGCGGGGCTATGCGAGTTGGGAAGCAAGCATGCAGGACAGCATTTGGTGCTTGTGTACGTGGCGCTTATTCGCAATGGCGAGATACTTCAACGTCACCCAAATGGCGCCATTGATAAAACTCATGCATTCTATCTTCAAAGCGCATAATGGAAACACGTACGGTGGACCAGGATCGAAGGCCGCTTACGAAAACCATTACAACACTGTACGGACCATTGTGCCCAGAGATCAACTACTTGAAGTCGACCCAGATACGATGACGTGGGACCCATTGTGCAAATTCCTGGACCGCCAAGTCTTCAAGGAGCCGTTTCCGAGGCTGAAGGACGAGAAAGCAATGCGACAATACTTGGAAAATGCCTGGTGGGGCATGGTGCAGTATTGTGTGCTGATGCTTGTTCTGCCTGTCAGTGTAATATTGCTGGCAATCGTGTTCTATAATCATGTAGACGCTTTTAGGGAGATGAGGGACGAGTATATCCTGATGCCCATCAAGGCATATTTAGATAGCTGAGGAGATGAAGTTGCGAATTTGTAGGCGTCATGTCCGACTCGTAATGGTTTTAGCGCCGTATGCGACGTGTAATATTAATGAATCCATTTGCACATCTCTTGTTTTGTTTTAACCTCTGTGGCTTCTCACCCACATGTACGTGACATCCAATGTAGTTTATCGCGTACAACTTGGAAGAGCTGAAGCAACCATGATTGACATTGCATTCGTATAATGCAACTCGATACATATGACTGTATCCACATGCCTTCCTTCTCGATAGTCAGACCCATCAAAAAAAAGAAGAAAAATGCCAGTCGTGCCTGAGTCATGGTAATCGATTTCTCGTGATGATATTACAACAGCACACAGTGCGCATTGTACACATGGATTGTAGATGAAGGAAGTACAGTCAGACTACATTAACTCTGTTAGTATCAAATACACATTGTGTACCAACATCTCTCAGAGTAGGGTCACTGTACAAAGCCATATATCGACCGTCAAAGTATAATAGTATTCCTCATAATTCTCACTTGAGCAAACATTTGAACATGACAAATTTCCTGGCGTACCAACATCTTTGCACACTCAGTCTACCCTGGTAACTTCATATAAAATCTACAGCCCAACATGACAGGTTCAAACACCGCATACTCTGGAGGACTGATCATTGTCACCGAGATAAACTATGTCACGCTCTATCCCTCAATGGTCAAATCTTTGACAGTCGATCTCTCTTCTCTGGCTACGCTAACTGTTGCTAGTCCGACTTTGCCTACCAGTACTACACTGTTCCGGAGCGGAACGGCAGCGTCTATCTCTCGCTCAGATGTAACCTCGTCTATAATGCTCACGTCGTCAGCGCAGTCGTCGATGACAACCATGTCGGCATTTCCTTCGAATACTGCGGCTGCCGAGCACCAACTCAAGTCTGATCATAAAGCTTGGAACGATCGTATGGCCAGCCTCAGTCTAGCGGCCATTATTTTCATGGTTCTACTTCTACTCAGCCTGATGGTTTATGCTATTTACCAGCGGATTCGCGGTAAGTGCCATACCTGTCAGGATAACGAGAGACAAATTGAGAAGTACAAGAACGGTGAGCTCAAGCGAGTTTCTCCAGACATGGTTAAGAGTCGCGGACTGGCCCAAAATTCATGCTATGGGACGCCTCCCGATCGGGATGCAGAGTTAGGCGACCCTAATGAATCACCAAGCCCGGCCAAAGTGTCTTTTTGGGACCGTGTGAAGAGTGTGTTCAAGTCGAAGGTTCCAGATAATGACAACCAAATCCTATCCTCTGCTTCAGACAAGGAGCACACCATCGGTGGTCGCCCAATCTACACCGAAACAAATAAAGACTTTGCCCATCGCTCATATCTTCCAGCAGCACCCCCACCGCCACAAGCGAGGGACTACGACCCCGACTCGCATCTGAATTATGCGTACTCACCTCCGTCGCCAAGCATATACTCACGACCTGGAGCAAGTGACGTGAGTCCACCACAGGAGCAGTACACAAGGGGTGACGCATCTCATGGTAATATCCCAGATGACCAACAGCTAACATCTTACTACGCTTACTTGGAGAATGTTTGGGGTCAGCACAAGGACACCAATATTGCAGAGAACCAGACATGCACACAGTATCGGTCTCGCACGTATGGCGGGTTACCCCACCCAGAAGATTTTGACGACGTGTACTTCCGGGATGGTCGTTGAGCTATGCACCGCAATCTCATAGGTCCAGGGGTCTTCATTTCGTACCAAATCAACCCATTCTTTCAACGACTTGTATCTGCAACCTTTTTTCCCCACATGAACGCATGACCTAGTGATAATAGCGAATACCAAATTGCTTTCCGTCAATACATTCCTCCCTCGTGCGGCCTACCGAAACGCGTAGGTGTACCGTCATCCCTTCGACTCTCACAGTAGGAAATCCATCCATTCTCGTGCCACTTCCTCAAATCAGTGTCCTCGGTCGGCTCGAGTGTGACTGCATTGACACTCAAGTAGTATGGTTTCGGGTCTGATGGACCTATTGTTCTCCACACTGTCTGCAGGTTCTCCTTTTCGGATCCCTTCGTCGGATCGGCCCACTTCTCGACATCGAGCTCGACTTGCTCCCAGGATCCGCCCAGGCCCAAGACGCGCACGCCGCAGTTCTTGCAGAAATACCACCCGTGCTTTTTCTCGAAGCAGCGATAGTCGCCAAGATCTTCCGGGTTTGGTGATATGAGAATGTAGTGCTCAGTAGGGTTGATGGGGCGCAAGTGGAAGTAACCCATCTTCTGACATGTCGAGCAATTGCACTTGTAGATGCGAACGGATTCGGTTTGGTTGTTGTGTGTGGACGGAAATTTGAGCTTGACTTGGTACTGCACGTCGCCGCAATGACATGATCCGGGATAGGCTTTGAGTTCAGACATGGCCAATACGTGATCGTAGCCACGGAGGTTGTGACACTTCTGGATGCTGGAAGCGTAGTACCCACGGTCTGATTTTTAAGCTTACCAAGTGACGTGTTGTGCGCTGATGCTGCTGGTCGTATTTCCGGAATGCTTTGTAATGGGCCTGCATCTGCGTCAGGCAACATCGATACGGGCTCGCGCAGCTCGTAATGAAGGTCAGAATAGGCTTTGAACGCAAGGAAGCAACCAGTCAAGTCTATCATCGCTGTTGTTATCTCCATCTAAACGCTCCATAGGGTATGACTCGTCTGCCATTACACAAGTGCTACAGTTGGCGCACGTGTTACCTTGGAAGATATTATCCGAGCAATCGAATGTCTTCCATAAATCAGTGGGTCTCGTGATCCAGATTTAGCCATCGACTCGGATTGCGCGCAGCAATGCCATCATCCCTAAGGTACCATCGAACACAGCCAGAGTTGGAGGATTGTTGGAGCGGGAAGCTCCCCATGCGCGGCCGCCGAGGCTTCGGTATCTAGCGCACGCGCCACGTGCATCAAGTCGAACGCCCAAGTCTCACACGAGCATCTCTTCCGCAACACCCAGCTGCAATGAGCGCTTTCGCCGCCATCGGAATTGCTTTCTCCTTCGTGAGCACGATATGGATACCGGCGACCCTGCTTTGCTGCATACCATGGGTGCAGAAGCGTGAGTGTGGTCCACCGGTGATTGGCTGGCGGCTGACAGGTCACAGAGATGCTGTATTTGCATTGGGTCACCTTCTTCCCTGGAAAATGGCTGATGGAACCTGAAAGAGCTGGATTTCTGAGTATGTTGGAAAATTGAAACGAAGTGCGGAACTGATGCTCATACCGTCAGAGAACCAGGTCGCACCCTTCCGCATCGCGACAAGCGACAGTGAACAGCTATTCACGTGGCTTATTGCGCCCCTGGGCGTCTATGCTAAGCATCTAGAGGATTTCATCGCTGAGCCATCCAGTGTAGACAAAATTGAAGACAAGCTAGCCTTCAGACTATTGCAAAGCGATCCGGAAGCGCGGCTGCTTGTATATTTCCACGGCAACAGCGCGACTATAGCTCAGCAAAGGCGAACTGAGGAGTACAGATCGTATTCATCAGGAGCCTCGGGAAAGATGTTCGTCTTGGCGTTTGATTATCGTGGTTTTGGCAGTTCTTCAGGGACACCGTCCGAGAGGGGTTTGTTGAGCGATGCGCAAGCGGTCATAGACTGGGCACTGAACACTGCAAAGATATCGCCGGATCGCATCGTCCTTCTGGGCCATTCCCTGGGTACGGCTGTGGTTGCAGGCATTGCGCACCAGTATGCGAAGATCGGCATAGAGTTCAAAGGGCTGGTTTTATGTGCAGCTTTCACAAACGCAGGAGGGGCATTTGCGTCGTACTCGATAGGAGGCATTGTGCCCGTTCTCGCGCCCATCAAATTATCGTCAGCCCTGCAAAGGTGGTTCAGTAGCAAGATGAAGGATACGTGGCAGAGCGACGATCGTCTTGCGGAACTTGCGCGTATGTCAAACATGCGTCCACCCGAATGCGGATCAAACGGAATCAAGCCAGAACATACTGACCAACATTCCAGGTACATGCTCAGGCCTTCAGATAGTGTTTATGCACGCTGAAAACGACACGACGATGCCATGGGTCGAGACTGAATCCTTGTTCAAGTCGACTCTGCAGGCGGCCGTTGAGGGAGCTTCGCCTTACGGCGGGATTCCAAAGGATCTCAAAGTCGTCGACCTCGGCGAGGCTGGGAGACAAGAGGTGTGGCAGTGCGGAACAAGATGCATCCAGAAGACGATCGCCAAGCATGGAGGTAAGCGAGTCTGTTCCCAGCACCCAGCACCCAGCATCCGGCTATCGTTCGGCACCGCGTTCCGGAACCGCATCCGTTGCACAACGACGACTGGATGCCTTCCCATTCCTCTTGACGCTCGCGATTTCTAAATGCGGATTGCTTCATGAGGCGTTCCAGTCGCACGTTTCAGCGCTGAAAACCGATGCCATCGCAGTTCGCACGCGGCACTCTGGTGCCACAAACCCGGTTTTGTCTATGCTGTCATTGACTTGGATGCCGCGGCAGCCGGTCGCTAGTCAGTTCCAAGCTAACGCTGCTAGGCCACAATGGAATGATGCTATTCGCGTCACTTGCTCTTACAATTCTGCAACTTTTCGGCCTCGCGGCGCCAACGACAGGCTTGTAGTGGCTTGGTACGTAGGTCTTGGTACGTAAGGCCGGCGGTTCATCTTGTCTTAGCATGGGGCTGTTATGCGTCACTTGCGGACGTGCTCTGGTGACGTTCCTTAGGCTGGTCCGCAGCGATCCGTACAAAGCCCACTGTGAAGCACTGCCATGTTTCGCGAGGCACATATCTTTATCGTCACTCTGCCCTTTACAGGGACTACTCCGTCAACCGTGATCTTCCTGTCGCTTCCTGAACATTCACGTCACCGGTCTTTAGTTGTACATATCTTGGGGAAAGTCGCCACTTTCGCTATCACGTCGTCACACTCCAAGTACCTGAACGGAAATAACAGCAACAATGCCAGCCGTCGCCCACCTTACACGCCGCTTGCTAGAAGGTGGTAGCTCTGGAGGTATCTCAGCAACATCAATTGGCCTCATCGTTGGCCTCGGCGTGGTACCCGTCATCATCTGCGTCTGGGTCGTATCATGGCTATTCTGGTGCTATCCCTACGACCGATCGTGCTGTTGCACTCGCCGCAAGAAGAAGCAACAGCTGGACGAAGAAATCAACCCCACAGGCCATCGCACTGGACGCAGTCTTGATTCACTGCACGAAAAGGCAGCGTACCCTATGCCCGCTGGCCAAGCACCAGTAAACTACCGCACCGAATCTGGCAACCCAGGCCGCTTGCAAAAGACGGATCCGAGATTTTCCGTCCAGACGGCAAACAGCTCGAATACGATACACTATGTGCAAGAGCCGAAGCCGTTTGTGTGAAGTTTGAGGCAGGGCACGTTTGAAGATGTACAACGAAGCCGAAACGCGAACGCGTTCCCCACTACATCGGGTGTGAAGCATCCGATCGAGCCTTGGAATGAAGGACGACGATCCAAGCAAGTACGACGATGTGTCCCACGACAGAAGATGAAGCCGTTGTCATGGCTGGCAAACATTTTTTCATGATGCGCTACTGGTCAGCAGCAACAATACACTTACGACTACGAAGACAAGATACCCAATACCGGCGTTGAGATGGTGCAAGTTTGAGCTGGAAATGCTCGGAAAGCGATGGATTCGCGGAAATGCAATTCGGTGCAGAAGGGCATGGTGTAGATTAAATGCGTGCCAGGTTGGGCGTCCTGTAGGGCGACACATTTAGGAAATCAGATTATGACTAGGGAAAGACAGAATATACCCAAGTGATGAAAGCTTGTTTGAACTTGCCACGATGCCATTTTTTATTTAAACTGTTTGGCCCTGCCATGAGGTGTAGATGGCTCACGAAAGGGCGTGGTCGGCTGGTTGGATGAATGGAAGGTGTAGCGCAGGTTCTGAGAAGGCATGGAGCGACTAGTCGTTGCCGTCGGTCAGATGTCCAGCAAGTCTTCACTAGAGAGAGTCACATGCCGCTACCTGGCTGACGTAGGTAGCTGGATGCACTGAATCTGAGGCGATGATATGTGTTCCTCTTCAACCGGCGTCCGAGACGTGCTGAGGCGGGACGAGCAACGGACAAGCTTATCGCCGCGACCTCGCACCAGCAGGCGACAACCTTCGCAACGGCGGATGACTACGTCAGCACAAAATCCATACATAATCAACGTGTCGCCGCACAACGCCTCGGGGGTCCTCCTGGGGTGTTTGCGACTTTGACCACCGCCACGATATCTCCCATCCACTCCCGCTCGTGGCGCATGCTGCGCTTGTATCTGCAGGCCCGACCGCGCGCAACGAGCGCCATCCAGAAAGCAGCGGGATTCGGGGGCGCCAGCTACATAGGGCTGAGTCTGAGCAGCGCGCCGATCCGCATCGAGGGCAGCAAGAGCAACGCGACCATGGCTGCACAAGAGGGACACGACGCCGCGAACGAGGGCGGCGGCGGCGGCGGCGGCGGACAGAAGGCGATGCTGGCGAGCCAGCGGGCCAAGGAGCAGCAGCCGCAGCAGCAGCAGGGCCAGGAGGCGGGGAAGATTTCTCGCTGGTTCCCCTTGACCGCATCTGAGGGATTTTCCCAGTGGTGGGCAGGCCAGAGCCCCATGGCGACCGAACACCGCGTGCTATCCTTCATCCCACACCTCCAGAAACCGCCCACGCACACCGACACAGGCGCCGCCGCCACAGACCCCGCCGCGCCGCCCAAGAGCCCCGAAGCGCACACCACGACGGACAGCGCCACCGATCCCCATGGCCCGCGCCGCTGGAACTCGCAGATGGTCGAGCTGAGTGGCAAGGGGCGCGCCCTCAACGAGTTCTCCGTCGAGCGCCTGGGCGAAGACGTCGACGAGAACCTCGTCATGCTGCATGGCTACGGAGCAGGCCTTGGGTTCTTTTACCGCAACTTCGAGTCCCTCTCGCGCGCCGAGGGCTGGAAGGTGTATGCTCTCGACCTGCTGGGCATGGGACGCAGCAGCAGGCCCAACTTCAAAATCCACGCCAAGGACAAGCAGGCCAAGATCGACGAGTCCGAGTCGTGGTTCATCGACGCGCTCGAGGAGTGGCGTGTGAAGCGCGGCATCGACAAGTTCACGCTGCTTGGACACAGCCTGGGCGGCTATCTCGCCGTTGCCTATGCCCTCAAGTACCCGGGACACCTCAACAAGCTCATACTCGCGAGCCCCGTCGGCATACCCGAGGACCCGTATGCCGTCAACGAGGACATGCCAGATCCCCACGAGTCCACCATGGCCAACGAATTTACCCAGGACGCCTCCCAAGTCCACAACGGCGTCAAGCCCTCCCACCGCTGACAACAACAACTTTATGAACCAGCGCAAGAAGAACGAGAATGCTCCCGCCAAAAGACCCGCCCCGCCGACGCCTACCCAGCTGGCTATACTACCTCTGGGAAGCAAACATGGTCTCGCCCTTTACATTTGTGCGCTGGAGCGGACCTCTTGGGCCTCGTCTCGTGTCTGGCTGGACCTCTAGGCGATTCTCCATGTTGCCCGAGGAAGAGGCACAGGCCCTTCACGACTACAGTTACGCTCTCTTTCGCCAGCGCGAGATCCTCCGAATACGCATTGGCATACCTGCTCGCCCCCGGCGCTTTTGCCCGCAGTCCATTGATCCGTCGCATCCAGGGCGTGGGAAGGCAACACATCCAGTCACCCTCTCCAACCACTGCTGACACTTCGCAATCTGGCCCAAAGGAAAACGGTATTCCCATCGTCTTCATGTATGGTGAAAATGACTGGATGGACGTTGCAGGCGGCTATGCAGCTCAAGAGAAGATCAAGCAAGAGCGCGCCCTTCTGTCGCCAGAAGAGAAGAAGAAGGACCAGGGTGATGCCAAGGTCATCATCATAAACAAAGCTGGACATCACGTCTATCTGGACGGCTGGGAGCAGTTCAATAAAGTCATGTTGGAGGAGATGGATGACGTAAAGAGGCGGAAATCAACATAGTCCTGTTTAGGAATGATGCATTGGGCTGGCGTTAGGGTATCAGCATTACAGCTTATCTGGGATGAATGCGCATGCGACAGCTTCATGTGAGAAGTAGCTGTTCTTAGATGGGATAGAAATCTTGCATCAATAAAAAAATTGAACATTTGAATAACCTTTTGCACTGCTCTTAGACTATAATTGTTATACTAGTTAGCAGAATATCGAGCTGCTAAGATACCGTAGCTAAGTGAGTGAACGATGCTCATGGATTGTTACACATCTAGTAGAGAGCTAGAACTTGTCAATGGCTTGGACGATCAAAGCACACCTCGAAGATATCTAGACACCTGTGCGGACGATATAGATTGTTTTTGGAATCACAGAATGATAGTAGTATTTGGAAAGCAAGGATGATCAAGACATGGCTAGACCACATCACAATGTACACAATTTCATTGATCGAAGAAGCACCGTTAGTCGAAAACCACAGCTTGGAAGATCAAACCTGGCTGCCCAGATCTACACCACTCCGCTCCCTCATCAGTGGAACCGACTTAGTCTACCCTCTAATCTCTCCCATAGTAAAGACTGGCCGCGCAAGCTCACAGTCACCCTGAACCCGAACCGCCAACCTATCTATCTCAGTAGCTTTACCCTTGCCTTTGGCCGAGGTCTTCGTCAGGGTACGACGACGCTTCACACAAACGAAGCTAATGGTGAAGATGGCAACGAGCGAAAATGCTGCAGCGGCTATGCTGATGGCTGCGATAGTCTTGTTGCGAGACGGGGGGTTATCGGGGATATAGTTACCAGTCAAGACGCCATGGTCGACAGTTTTGTGAGTGAAGGTGATGTTGGCCTTAGAATTGTGGCCATCCAAGGACGCGTTGTGATGGCCAGTGCAGTTGTGGCCATGCGGGCGTTGCACGATACACATGGAACAAATACGATCGGCTGGATGCTTATACAGGCAGTGTGGACAATGACAACCAGGTGGATGATGCTCACTCGTCGTGCAACTGTACTCATTGGGCGAGGTATGGTTTCGGCCATCATGACGGATGAGTACAGTATGACGAATGCATTGCGGACAACAACACCCAACCGGATGCAACGTTCCCATCTTACTCAAAATGTGATTTGTTATATTGCGATGGATCGGCATCGCCTGAAGAGTGTCTGTGCAGTTGTGCTGGGCAGGCACTTGAGCTGTGGGATGTGACATGGTGCTTGAGAGGACCGCAAAGGCAGAGAAAGTTTTAGTAAAGTGCATCTTCTGTGTGATGATGGTGTGACTGGGCGAGTATAGAGATTAGATGGGAAGTTTGGATTAGAGGCCTATGAATCTGCTTCGCGGGAAGACATTGTAAGCATTCAACGTGGGACATTGTGGCTCAACGGTGAAACAGTGTAGATCCATGAGGCAGCTTTCGTTATTTCAATGCATACGTCGTTCTACCACTTGGCCTCCTTCCGCGCCAAGAACTGGTTGAGGATGGCAATATCCTGCTCAAGACCGGCGAGCCACTTCTCCAGCTCGGCCTGTACCTTTGTGTCGTCGTCGCCCAGCTTCTTGTAGAAATCCTTTCTGTAGGGCGTAGCACTCATGGCAGCGCTGAAAATGGGCTTCACGATGAAGGAGTGGTGTGGCTTGAGGGTGTTACCGTAGGCATCGCGGAAGGAGTCGGCGAGTTCCTTGGACGGGTTGGTGATGTTGTGACGGAGGGCTTGGGCGGTGAAGTCGAGGCCACTAGTTGTCTTGTGAGTGATTGCAGATGGGCAATGGCAGGGAGGGCATGTACCGGTTCAGCCATACCAGACCCTCAGTGGCCGTGTGCTTCTTCTCCTTGAGCTCGTTAAGGACGAGGTCCTGGAGAGTTTCTGACAGGGTTGGGGCGGCGAGCTGGCGATCACGGATTTTCTGAGTCGTGTCAACCATTGTGTATCTCGCCATATAGCTCTGTCTTCATGCGGGCCTACCTTGATGTTGCCAGTCATGTCGTTCTTCACGGGCTTGAACGCTGCGGAGCCCAAGACATCTGCCGACATTAGCTTCGATTCCTGCCACAGCAGCTCTCCAACCTACCAAAAAGAGTGGTCAGGCTCTCCGCAGCCTCGAGAAACTCAGTCGTCGAGATGGCGTTGTCCTTGGACGCATCAACGGGGACATCGACGAAGCTCTTCTTGACAGTGTCGAAGAAGGTGCCGCCGGGAGGATATGCTGCTGCCATTGTGATTGTGTAGTGCGGGGATATGGCAAAGGCGATGTATGTGGAGAGTGAATTGTTGTCAAGCTTCAGCAACAAGTGAAGTGTTCCTAGGCGGTGAGGTGCAACACGCGCGTGCAGTGAGTGGGGCAACAGCTCCTAGCGCAGGCCCGCGGGGTACCTAGGTGCGACCACGAATGCAACATCAAGGGTCTCCAAGGGCTATGACCGAACAGGCCTGATGCGCAGTGGAGAAAGTCGGAAGTGCACGGGTCGGGTCGTTCGTCCTTGGATGCTGATCTTGCCCGGAGAATGAATGTGCGGGCGAGCTATCAAAGTCGCGACATCTTTAAGCACGGAACGGAAACATAAAAGCCTCGGGAAGTCGCCGCTGGCTGTCATCCTCTGCAGCTAACATGCCTTCACACATCCACCAAGTCGGCAGCAAGATACATCGCATCGCCTGCATCCCTGGCGATGGCATTGGCGTTGATATCACAGACGCCGCCACTCAAGTCTTGAATGCCCTCGCAAAGGCCATTGGCGGCTTCGAATTCGAGTTCACCACCTTCGACTGGTCTTCCAAGAACTACCTAGAACGAGCATGGTACATGCCACCTGACGGCCTCGCCCAGCTCAAGGCCTTTGATGCAATCTATTTCGGCGCTGTAGGCTGGCCCGACGTACCGGACCATATCTCGCTTTGGGGCTTGATCTTACCCATTCGAAAAGCATTGAATCAATACGTCAACGTTCGCCCCACACGAATCTTGCCCGGTACCAAAAGCCCATTGGATGGATGCGCAGTTGGCGATTTAGATTGGATCATCATCCGCGAAAACAGTGAGGGCGAGTACTCGGGACAAGGGGGTATAAGCCATGAAAATAGCCCACATGCTGTTGCGACCGAAGTCAGCATTGTGAGTCTGCCACCCCCGCGTTCCCGTACTCTCTCTCTCCTACAAATGCTTGTCGCTGACGCCCACCAAGTTCTCTCGCGTCGCTCTCGAACGTATATTCCACTTCGCCTTCAAGACTGCTGTCGCCCGACCCCGTAAGCATCTCACCATGGTGACCAAGTCCAACGCCCAGCGGCACGGCATGGTGCTCTGGGACAAGATCTTCTACGAGGTTGCGAAGGAATATCCAGACGTTACAACTGACAAGATGCTTGTCGACGCTATGACTGTGCGTATGGTGCTGCATCCAAAGTCACTTGATACTATCGTCGCCACAAACCTGCATGCTGATATCCTGTCTGACTTGGCTGCTGCGCTGTCTGGATCCATTGGAATCGCACCAAGCTCAAACTTAGACCCGACCGGGGAAAATCCGAGCATGTTTGAACCGATTCATGGATCTGCGCCGGATATTGCGGGTAAAGGAATTGCGAACCCTGTTGGAGCGTTTTGGAGTGCGGCAGAAATGGTAAGGTGGGTAGGAGAGGACAAGGCGGCGGATGGGCTAATGAAGGCGATTGAGAACGTTACCGCCAGCGGGTGTAAGACGAAGGATCTGGGCGGAAGCGAAGATACCAAGGGTGTCACCGATGCCGTGTGTAGGGAGATTGAGACGTTGTTTGGTACATCTTGAAGTTTTTAGCCTTCTGGACAATGTATACACAGCATACATACGTACCGCATGCCAGCTCCGTATTGCTTGCAATGCGCAGATTGTCCTTATACTATCCATCCTTCATTACAAGAACACGCCTGGCACCTCACACTGGCCCTCCTTGACCCTGCTAGCTCCTTCCTTTTCTTTCCTCGTTCTGCTATCTTCAGTGCCTCTCAACTCGCCCCACCCTCTCCAAACTTTGAACACCTTTCCCATAACTAAGCTCTTGCTTATTGGCCCAATATCTCTGCTGTCCAAGCTGCTTCTCCAGTTATCGCCTTCGACCCATACATGTCCATAGGGCACCACCACCTTTCCCTTCTCTTCTCTGCCAGAAAGTATCGAGTCCGGATCAGAGTCGGCTAAGCCATCAGGCATACCAGCTAATCGATTCGCCGCTGCATTCAACAGACTTCCAGACTTTGGGTAGACCGTGTCCCCTTCCAGCGCAATAACTCTTTTCAGTCCTACCTCTTCGGGCTTGTGCGGTTTCCAAAACGTCACGACGTCGCCTCTTTCAATATCCCAAGTATTATTGCTATTCCTACCGTGCAAGTAAGGCCGCACAAACACCACGTCTCTTCTCCCTGTCTCATGCACAGTGGGATTTATGGTCGGTGCCATGGACGCACCCGATACTTTATCGAAGTCAAACAAGTTGTCGCGGATGCTTAGGCCCATGCAGACGCCAGTGACACCGTAGAAGCCATATCGCGCTATTGTCCGGACTGTAGAGGCGGTGCGCGGGGTTGTGCTTGTCTGGGAAGCAAGCGTGGGGGGGTTCGAGGGTGGACTCTGTGCGGCTCGACCTCGCGCAGCTGGTGTAGCTCTGACTGGGACACGTATTCGAGGTTTAGGTGGCATAGTGCTCTGAGGCGTGGTGAACTTGGGGTTCGGAGGAGCTCGCGCTGGTGCGGGAAGCTTGTCGCGAGGTCGGAAGACTGGTGTCGATCAATTGGTACGCTATCACGTGCAGACAAGATTCAATCAGATAAGATGCGGAGATTGACTTTAATTCCCACTACACGCGATAGATTGCAATGGATTCAATCCCCAGCCTAGAGGGCATCGATCGTTTCACACAGTACATATCGATGAAGGCAGTGGAGGTAAACAAAAGAAGGGGATTTAGAGGTAAATCGCATATATTCAGCAGAAATGGCGGCCTATGGTACAATGACTGTTACATATCCACAGTATGCAAGCGCTACCTTCCCATGGTTCTCGAGCTCAAATTTCTAATCGCAAAATCTACTTCAATGCCTTGATGACTGCATCGGCGTACTCGAAAGTCTTAGACTTGCCACCGAGGTCGCCGGTGATGGTCTGTCACATGTTTGTTAGCTTCTTCAGTCCGAAAAGGTGCTTCAAGAAGAACATACCTTGCCCTCGGCGAGGACCTTGAAGATGGCCTGCTCAATGTTGGCAGCTTCCGAGTTGAGACCCATGTGGCGCAACATCATGATGGAGCTGAGCAGCAGCGCAGTGGGGTTGGCAAGCTGCTTACCCGCAATGTCGGGCGCAGAACCGTGGACAGCCTCGAAGATGGAGCACTTGTCACCAATGTTACCAGATGGGGTCAGACCAAGACCACCAATGAGACCAGCGCACATATCCGACAGAATGTCTCCGTACAGGTTGGGCATGACAAGGACCTTGTCGTTGTAGGGAGTGGGGTCAGTGACCATTTTCAGGCAGGTGTTGTCCAGCAACTCGGCGTCAAACTCAATGTCGGGGAACTCCTTGGACAGCTCGCGGGCAGTGCTGAGGAACAGACCGTCGGACATCTTCATGATGGTGGCCTTGTGCACAGCGCGGACCTTCTTCCTGCCAATGTCGCGGGCGTGCTGGAAGGCATATCGCAGAACGCGCTCGGAAGCCTCGCGGGTGATGAGCTTGATGCTCTGCACGACGCCGTCAACGACAACGTGCTCAATGCCAGAGTATTCGCCCTCGGTGTTCTCACGGATCAGGACGGTGTCGACGTCGTCGTAGGGTGTCTTGTAGCCGGCGATGGATCGGCACGGTCGCACGTTGGCGAAGAGGTTGAAGGTACGGCGCAGCGTCAGGTTGAGGGAGACGTGGCCCTTGCCGATGGGGGTTGCGAGAGGGCCCTTGAGCGCGACCAGGTTCTTCTCGACGCTCTGGATGGCCGCGTCGGGGATGACCGTCTTGCCGTCCTCGTTCAGGCGCGGGGTGACGTCGACTGACTCCCACTTGATTGGGACGTTTGCAGCCGAGTAGATGTCCTTGACCGACTGCGCAATCTCGGGGCCAATACCGTCGCCCTCAATGAGAGTGACGCTGTACTTGCCGTCGCTGCCCTTGGTTCCGTGGAACTTGGCCACCTCGTCGGCGTAGGTGCGGATGGAGGCCTGACACTGCAAGTCAGCTGATGTCCTTCACGTCTGCACTGCCGTCCACGTCTGGCGGCGCTTGCAACAGGTCGCAGTGACGTTGAAGCTCACCTGCGATAGCGCGGGCGCCCATCTCGAGGTGCGGCTAGCCTGGCGGAGGCATTGCCGCGCGGGCGAGGCGAAAGTTCGTGCGGCCAACATGCTGGATGTGTGGAATAACTCCTGCTACCCAATTGGAGCTACAGGCAATGTTGTAGCTGTTCGTCGAGGTGGTCGAGGGCTAAAGAGTGGGCGTTGCGCAAAGCTCAAAAACCAAAGCTCGGCCGCGGGACCCTTTGCCGCCAAGGTCGCACCTTCCTTTCTCCGGCATGCCCCGACGGCTTTCACACACCAGATTGAAGACTGCACAAACACGCCAAGATCACTTCGGACTGCTGCAGATGTTGCCTATGGAAAGAGGACTGGATTCAGAATTTGACCGCTTATGGCAGTCTTGCGATATATATGCACTAAACCGAAAGTCGAAAGTCGAAAGTCGAAAGTCGAAAGTCGCACAGCATGCCACATTTGGAAAAACCCAACTGGCACAACTGATGCCTCTCCTGGAAAACCAATGCGCCCATCATTCTACTGCAGGTCCTCACCTACGACGGAAAGCGACCTGGATGCCTGGAGCTATACACAGGGCCTTGCTGTCACAATTGAAGCGTGGTGATACTGTGTATAGCTTCGGGCTAGTAGATACCCTTGGCTACTTTCCGTCGCATTTGACAGCCTGCAGTAACTAACGCGAACGTGTTGTACTGCTTCCCAAAAATCTCTCGCCGTCACCCTCTCGCCGCCCAGACCAACCTTGCGTCTGCACTTGACCATTCAACGCCGGGCTCCTTATCTGGCTGAAGTATATGTCCTTCATCTTCGCCTCCACTAATGTAGTTCGCGCCGTGTTCGCATTAGGTGTTGCTGGCGTGAAACCTCTCCACAGTCTCGCTTGCTCGTAGGACTGCACGGCTGGTGATCGCCGCACCTTCCAGCATCGGTACACGAAGAGGATGGAGGTGAGGACAGTTACTGTGGCGATGACTCCGGCGGCAAACCCTACCCCCAGGGCTGCGGATGGAGAGAGGCGTGAAATCAATCGAGTTGCTGCAGTAGATGACGAGCTCGTCGTGATACAAGCGTGCGACGTCACGGCCGAAGAAGAAGCCGAGGGAGGAGTGAATGGATCAGTAACACCACTGGTTACTGCGAACGTAGGAGTTGCCATGACGCGTTCAGCGTGTGGTTGAAGCACTCGTAGCGTGCTTGCGAGGAGAGAGAAGTTCCCGATAGCGGTTGCGATTTTCTTCTCGAGACTGTCGTCTGCCCTGAGATATCCTTCAGATGATTTGATCTTGTCGCCCATATCAGAGAGTTTCAAAAGCCCCTCAGCACAGTTGTGAGGTGTGCGGAAGAGTAGGCATGTTAGAGCGTCAACACGCCTCGCCTGGCCTGACACTATAACATCAGCTTTTTCCCATCTGGTAGTGCTAAGCGCCCTGGGCAAAGAGCTATGGATGCCTTAGCTACACCAGATCAAATCTGACAGGTTGCATGCGGCGACCAGCGGTACACAGGGCTTCTAATTGGCATGAAATATCATTACCAACTAACTTATCATGAATCTTGTCTCGTCTCACTCGCATAACCAATATGGACGCTGTTCACTGGCCATGCGAGTCGAAGATGATTAGTCGAGAGCAGAACTGCCACTGTTAAAGGAAGACAGTTTCGCTTTACGATGCCCCAATTCAGCAGCCCAGTGCCTTTGCACGAGTATCGATGGCTGAATCGTGTGTTGCCTTTTGGCGCTTATACTCAATTTGGGGATGCTGTGTGGTCAACTTCGAAGTGTGATGTTCGATATGCAGCATGTGAGCAGCCCCGGCGGTTACAACGCCACAACCCTTCATGAGCTCTGATTAGTCCCACCTCAACTCATACTTCACCCCACAAGCTTCCTTCTCTTACAAATAGTGTTGAACTGTATTGTATAGTAAGACCGCATGGCGGACACGGCCAGAAGAGTTGTGCATCCAAGCTGCATACCGTCGCTGAAAAACATATCTCGCTTGGAGATGCGTTCGGGGTATACATAGGATACTTCCTTCAGTCAATAAGCCAGAATGAACCTTATCACTTGAGAAACAGCGCAATGAAATCATGACTTTCAGACTCCTCCCAGCACCTGCCTCATTCAAAATGATGACACTGCAGAGTATGTAGAGTAATAGATGTTCCCTATCAAACTTGGTGATGCGGTGCAGAGATCCTGTCTTTGCGGACCTGGTATGTCTGCTCGTCTTATTTGAATGCGCGGGAAACTGGAAGACGTTTGAGACTGATGATATGACAGTTGGATGATTCATATCATCCGATGTATATGGAGCAGGCTCAGTGGTGAGCTTTGCCCGGATGCCTGCGTCCTCGGCTCGTCCTTCAAGTAGCCGCCGCATCACGGCATACACATTACCGGTGACCCAGAGCAAAGTGCAATGTCGCATAGCTGTGACGCGAAGTTCAACAAAGCATCGAGGCTGGAAGCGAGCAAAAATCAAGAAACAATATGGCGACCGTGAGTTGGAAGACACGACACATCATGGTACAAACCCGTGCATACCCCAATTTAGAAACGGCAAGCACGGCCTTGGCGACAGGGATCTGCTCCACGGCAACGCTGAATACATGCAGGTGACGCCACGCACTCATCCTTGCATACCACGCTTGCTCGTCAGCGTGGTGCATCTCGATTTCTTCTTTTTGGTTCGCCCCTGGACAACATCTTAAAACAACTTCGGTGGTCGGGCTATGTCACCGCCTGCTAGCGCGTCTGAAGTCAATTGAAAGATTGATGCGATCGTCCGAGACGGGGGCAGAGCCATGACGACATCGCCGTCTCAACATTCAGTATTGCCTCAGCTCTTGATGCGAACGCCACAACCGATCTGTGTGCGAACACCCCTCTTATGCTCAACAACGAAACCGAGTTGGCATTATTGTTGATGGCTGATGTCTAGACCCCAGATATGTTGGCAGCCGAGACTGGCTGGATGTGAAGGCGTCTGCTGGGCTGAAGGAAGTGCAGTAGACTATAGGCTGTCCAGAACCAAGTGCTGCCCTCAAGGAAAGTGGCTCGGTTGGGCCAACAATAGCGTGATCGCCATGCATTTGGAAGCTTGCGACGGCAACTGCTCGCACCGTTTCAGGAAAAACTGACCGCCAACGACAAGCCCGAAGGACATCTTTGGGAAGTTGGGGGATAGTACGGCTCCATCTTTGAAAACCACTCGAGCCAGCCGGTCCTACCATAGCCGTGAATTGCTACAACAGCAACTTAACGTCGTACGTCCCATCACTAAGTTCTGTTGATGTGATCCAGGAACGTGCTAGTGTGAGACGTTGGAATGCTTCTCGATCGTTCAACTGGTGCGCCACCAGGCCGCGTACGCTTGACCAGGCGGCATTCCCGCTCCATCGACCAAGCAACCAAGCCAGTAGAAGCACCACGATTCGTCATAGGTACCGGGGCTAGTGGAGCACAAACCTTCTCCGCGAAAGAGGTCCAGGCGTGCGGTAAAGCAAGGAGCTGGCCAATGGAAGCTTGCGGTATGCATGGAATTTCCGCAAGCGGTTGGTGAAAGGCGATGGTAAGGTAAGAGAGGTTGCAGCTTGTGGCGTTCACCCATCCGCTAGCTCGGGTGTTACGTTGGAAAAGTGGGCAGGGGCGGTGCAAGGCAAGGCAGTCGGCACCAGCACGTTTGTTTGTTGCATGAGCAGTGACCCACGGTGACGCTCACCTCGACTTTGTGCCAGACCGATATATAAACTCGCGCCGCCTGGCCTCCCCAACCTCCTCCATCCCACACGGCAATCAACTCTCGCTCTCATAAACCACACCACTTCTACTTCTCAACCTCACCAACCAAACCCAACAAATCCATCAAGATGCGTTTCTCCATCATTGCCACCTCCGTCTTCGCCGCCGGTGCCGCCGCACAGGGCGGTCTCGTCTCCTCCATCCTCGGCCAGGCCTCTTCCGCCGTTGGTGGTGAGCTCTCATCCATCATCGGCGGTGCATCGTCCGCCGTTGCCTCCGCAACCTCTGCTGCTGGCTCTGCCGTCAGCTCTGCCGCCTCAGGTGCCAGCAGCGTTGCTGCCTCCGCTCGCAGCTCTGCCAGCGGTGTTGCCTCCTCAGTCGCCGGTGATCTTTCCTCTGGGCTTGCCAGCTTGAGCTCCGCCGCCGCCAGCGCCGGACCCAGCGCCTCCTCAAGCATTGCCGCCGCCGAGTCATCGCTCCGCTCCTCCGCCAGCCGTGCCGCCAGCTCTGCTGCTTCGCGTGCCTCCAGCGCCGCCGCCTCCACCGGTGGAGCTGCTCAGCCCACTGCTCTCCCCGTGATGGGCGCTGTTGCTGGTGGTCTCTTTGCCATGGCCGGTCTCTTGTAAACGGCTCGCACGACCACCATCTTTCGATCATCGATCAGCAAGTCGACCTAACGGTTTCCTCGGTACTGATCAGGCCATGTCAGCTCGGAGCTGAACTCACGTCGTCTCTAGGAGACGCACATAGATGAATATGGATATGGGTGCACGGTGGAGTTGGGGTTAACCATTCACTTCAATAGCCGTTTAATATGCCTTCCAAATACACACATTTACATCAATTGCTTCATCACAATCGCCTTGCACAGTTCAATCGTGTCCACGGTGAGAATAGTCAATCATGTCCATTTCAACCATAACAAATACCTCAGTATAAGCTCGCAAAATCTTCTGAGAACAGGCTCGTTGCAATGCAACAATCACGCCTTTCTGGCAACTCTTTACTCGACGTTGCCTCCGCAAGCCCTAATTGGAAGTTGGCAAACTTGGCTCCATAAAGCCACTGTATTGGGTAATGGCGTGCTTCCCGACACGATGCACCTAAATGACGTCAAGCTTTACAGGACGCGTAAGCTGCGTATTTCCCCTTTTGGCTTAGATGATCGCCAGCAATTCGGCTCGCGGCAGCTTAATTCGGCGTCGTGTCTTCGTCGCGTACAGTTGTTCTGAGAATTGTAGCGTCCAAGACGTGATCTGGCCGATGAATTAATGTCAATTGAGCCAGGAGTAAATAGACGTGCCATTCACCAGTCAGAGCCTTGCAAGTACAGACATGTCGGCGTTGGGCGCATGCTGGAGGAAGACTGTGCGGGGAAGGCTTGATCCGCGCACGTTGCCGCATGCATCGGAGCACCAATACAACGCACAATATTCTGAAACATGTCAAAAGACAGGGCACAGACAATATTGGATGTCATGCCATGTGTCAGTCAAGGCCCTTTCGTCATTCCATGATCATGCATCGTGGCACAATCCCGTGTACGCACAATGGAAGGTGATCCCCATAAATAACAAATAACAAAGCCCCTTTGCCACACCGTCTTTGCATACTCGATGCCGTGTGCAGGATCAGCAACAATCGGTTCACGCATAGTGAAATGGCGTTGTATCTGTACACATACTTTGTGTTTGGTCTCTAGTCTGATGTCCAAGTATGGTTAAAGAAATGCTTTTCGCGGCCCGAGAGCCCGTGCCATGACAACAATCTCGCACGCCATTTCCACATTGTATGCTCATGCAACTTTCACATTGTATAATTCGGCTGCCTTTGTTCGTACTCGCAACGTGGCCAGATGACCTCAGATGTGTCGGCCGAATTTCATACAGTCTTCTTCCTTTGAAACAAAAACAGTGCTTCATCTTTTCCCGCAAAGCTGGGCAGTGGCATTCTCAACGTGAGTTGGAACGCAGGTAGGCTCTTCTCTACCCAATCATCGATGACTTGGTCTTGGAAGCCCGTAAAGCCGTTACCATTCTGCGTGCCAACGACCACAATGGTGTCGCCTTGGAACGCCTTTAAGATCGGGCCTGTGAAGTTCCCTGTTGCTTGTGGGTAGACCAACAGCAGGATGCATCCTTTCCCATTGTTGACTTCTTTGTGGAGATAGGTCAGACCGTCTGCCTTGATCGTGTCCTTTACCCAGCTCACACGATATTCGCTGAGTTGGTTGTCGATCGCCCTAACATCCAAGCTCTTCATATCTCCAGCGGTGAAGTTCCGCAACATGTGACTCCAATAGCCATTCCCACTCCCAACATCCAAAATTGGCAACACGTTCTCTTTGCTGGGCTTTGCCGGCTGTGCTACTTTCGCAATGACGTGTAGGGCAGCATATGATGGTACCACGCAACCGAAATGGTGATAGAAGATTGGGAGAATGTGATGCGAAATCTTCGTGAAGGTAGTTGAGGGGATTGGGCCAGCATATTCAAGCTCCTGACAAGAGTAGGTCCACAGGGAGAGGTAGGGATTGGTGTGACTTCGAGCCTTTTTGGAAGGAAGGAGGCCATTGGTCTGGTTCAAGAATCGACTATTCAGATGGGCAGCCACTTGTTGCCGAATCGTATTGGCCTTTGCATTCGACTTGAAGCCATTCAAGGCTTTTGGTAGATTCAATGAGGGGTCGAAGAGAGATGTGTATGCTGTGACCTCCTCGGAAGATGGGTATTGGGGCTCAATCTTGAGATGGTCAGCCAGCTTCACTTCCAAGATTGGCAAAGCCGGAGAACGTATTACCTACGGGCAGCCCCTCATCGTCATGATACCATCCATGTAGGCCAGCGGATCTCTTTCCTTCGATGGCTCTTTGGGTGATATCTAATGTAGTCTCGGCTTGCGCGCGGTAGACGTATGCATCTGATTTGGGTATGCTGAAGGCTTCCCGTATGCACTGTGCAAAGGGCTTGCCGCTCTGAGTAGGGCTGAACTTCTGGTCAGACCAGTTTTGCATCAAGGCATCCGGATCGAAGTTCTTCAGCGCCATATTGATGCGGATGTGGTGCGTCTGTACAGTCTGGCCGCGACGGTCGGTCTCGTTCCGCAGTCGGTCGGCTATCGAGCCAATCACACGATGCTGATAAACGAGGCTGCAAAACCTTGTCATATCCCGTCATCGATCAGTCAGCGGCTAGACCTATCCACATGGACAGTTTCCTGTGGGGTTGGTAACGGATTACACACGATTGCAAATAAGGCGGAAGGCGACTGCACGCGGTCGAAGCCTATCCACGATATATTTACTAACCTCACAGCTCACTGACCATTTCGTCGCAATCGTATAAAGAGCTGTAATGAGTGACACACCAAGTGAACAACAGTCAACTAACTCGTTCTTAACCACAAAGACTCTCACAGCACTCGTCGCACTGCTAGCCGTCACTCTGGCTTTCTCCAGCACTTTCCGCAACGCCTTATCCTCGACGTCTACCAAATCGTCCGCCCTCCGCACAATGTCCTCGGCCGCCGCCGCCGCTCCAGCTTCAATGAAGATCACCAAGCGGCCATGGGACGCCCGCGGCAAAGCAGACCATGGCTGGCTGTACTCCTTCCACACTTTCTCCTTCGCATCCTACTACGACCCGCACCACGAGTCTTTCGGCCCATTGCGCGTCATCAACGAGGACCGCGTGCTTCCCGGCACAGGCTTCGGTGCGCATTCACACGCCGAGTTTCTGATCTTCAGCTACATCGTCAACGGCACGCTTGAACACAAAGACAGCATGGGAAACCTGGAGAACCTGAAGCGCGGCGAGGTGCAGTTCACATCAGCGGGAACGGGCATCAGGCACAGCGAGTACAACAGAAACCGCGACGACGAAGTGCACTTCTTGCAGATTTGGGCCAAGCCGAACCAGCGCGGGCTGAAACCGCACTATGAGACGAAGAATTTCTCCGACGAGGAGAAGACAGATAAACTGTGCAGGATCATGGAGTCCACGGAACGTCTGGGAGACAAGAAGCATGCGATTGGGCTGCAGGCAGATCTGTCCATGGATGCGTCCATCTTGAGCCCCGGCAAGAGCGTCAGTCATGAACTCGTGGCCGAGGGACCGAGAAAGGTCTTTGCGCAATTGATCATGAGCAAAAGGACACAGCCAAAGGATGGCGGAGCGAGCATCAAGATTGGAGAGACAGTACTAGCCGAGGGAGACAGCGCCTACATCAATGTCAATGGACCAGGCAGGGTCGACATTGAGAGCGTGGGCAACAGGCCCGCTGAGTTCTTGCTATTTGATATGGGTCCCGAGGAGCAGTAAGCGTGTCGCTTTTTTCATTACACTTTTGTACATAGTCTGGCCACTGGTATTATAGATGAACATATTGCATTACTCGCCAACATCAACCGGGTGTTGTCCATCCAAAGCGCCATGATTATTCGACCATCCAGTCCGGACCCATTGCCGTGCGCCTTCGTTTCTTTTCCTGCTCTTTGACTTGTTGTTTTACCTTCTTCGCCTCCATCTTTATTTTACTTGCCTCTTGGTTCCGCCGCCGCCACTACTCAGCACCGCGCTCACGGGCACGTCAGAGTCTCAATGGTTGCTAATGTCGAACACCAACCACGGATGCTACAGCTCAACTGTCCACTAATTTGCACTTCTTCTTTGCATTCGTTCCACTCTTGCTCTTGTCTGCTCCGGCTGATGCTTGTGACTCCTCCTCCTGCCCTTGGTCTCGCTGAGATGGTCCAATGACTTCCACTTTGGGCCAAATTTCCATTTCGCGTCCCGAGGTAGGTTTGTGATAGTTTCCCTCTCGATGACAAGCTTGTGTTTGCGAGTCCACTGGACAATCTTGAAGACAAACATCCTCTTCATTATGTGCCTCTAGAACGGTAGAGATGCCTCATTCATTCTACCACCCTTGCTGATCTTATCCTTTAATCACTCGATAACCTCGTAGACCTCCCAACTAGAATAAGGTGTTTCGAGGTCAATTGTATGTAACTCTTTCTGAATGATACGAGTGACTGTTTACCCCCCAGATTCTATAGAGTTAACCGCATACCATCTTCCAGCCAACAACAAAGTTCTCTTTGCTTTACTTCATGACCCTTCTCTTTCCACTCTTATCGTGGTTGTAGTACCAGAGCTGCAGGAAGCTATTCGTCCCATCGTATCCAGCAGCGAGTTCGTAGTAGGGCGGATTGCGGCGGTCGTCGGCAGGGAGCGTCATCTCGAGGGAAGGAGGGGTAGCCATTCTAGATAAAGCTGTTAGAGTGACAGCAATGATGCGCAATGCAAGAAGAGGAGGGCTGCTAACCTGAGAAGCTGGACAGACAGCGCGCAGAGTACTGAGCAAAGCTTGGTTGTAATGCTAGAGATCAAGACAAGATGTCGAGATGTCGGGGAGGCTATGCGAGAGGAGAAGGAGTGGAGGTGGAGTGGAAGTTGACGCGTCGTGTCGGTGGTGTTGTTGCGCACTAGCGCTGTTGAGAGCAAACAGACAGTGATCAAAAGAGTAATCAGTCCCGGCTACAGTGGGCGAAAAGCTAGAGTCTAATACGGTAGTGAGAGGAGATTAGGGCAGAGGTAAAGTAAAGGCACGCTGTTCCGGTTTACATCCTTTATGTTAAAACCTTGTGGTGTAGAATTATTAGCAGCGCCACTGCGCAACTCTGCATTTCGTTTTGATTGTCTAGCGTCACTATCTAGACGTCGACATCACTAAGACCCTGCACTAATTTGATGAATAGTCGGCACGTTGCCAGAGTGTCCCATTCTGCAGTGTGCCAATCCATCTTGAGTCCGAATGCCGTATCCTTCGCCTGGAAACATAATGCGGTATACAACTGACAGACTACACGGCCCCTCATACGATGTACAAGCTTTCCAGATCTTAAGCGGGTCAATCGTCCTGCTCTTCGTATACACGTCTGATATCGGTGTGACTACGCCAGTCTCGTTACGCATGATCCGTCCCACTCCTGTACAGTCAACCCGATGGCGAGACCAGTGTATGACGACATCTTCTTCCTCGCCGAACCCAAGGTGCAAGAGCGCCTCCCGATGCTCCCATAGGCAATTCCCCTTTCCAAAGCCGTCCTCAAACATGTTTGAAAGAAAGTTTTGGACATATGGAGTGTTGAATGTGCCGTTCTTGAACCTGATTGCACCCTGTTGTTTGATCTCTCGTGTCATAGCAGCGGCAGTAAGCGCGTACTTAAGAAAGCCACTATAGCGGACATGGGCTGGGTCTGCAAAGTTGACAGCGCCCACCTCAGTGTGCACGGGAGCGACACCAGATCTAGTAATGACCAGGCCCTCAAAGTCGAATACCCAGATGCGCTTCTTGCTTTCAGCGCCACGGGCGAGACGCAGAAGGTCCTTGACGACTTCAGCGCTGGCCCGATGTGATAGCAAGAAGAGCTTGACGTCCTGCGTTGACACAGACGCGCTGAGCCATGATATAGAGAACGGCTTCGCTGCAAGGAGGTCCCTCAGGCGCGTTGCGTGGAGAGCGCACAGCATGCTGTCCCCAAGCTGTGGCAGAATGCATTCATAGCAGAAGGCACAAGACTTCACATTGTCCAACAACGTAAAGATATATGGTAACAATAAAGATGCTGACGGCAACCAGACTCGAGGCTGTAGGGGACCTTCTGGCTATAAAACTATGGCAACAAACATACTTTCCTACAGGGGGTCCGACACCGACTCATTGCATGCCGCCCACCATATTCCCTTCCACAAGGGTTTCGATTTCTTTTCCCTGCAGTGCTGCGGCAGAAGACACGACATCTTTTTTTTCACAACATGGCGGGGGTCGGTGGTTCCATTTCTGAGCAGGGAACGCAATTGAATGAAACGGGAGAGGCTGTGAAGTCTGCAGGGGCGAGTGACTAATATGAGGGCACAGTTACAAAGTCTCAGGGATACTGCAGCCACAGGAAAACATATCGATAGTACGTGAGTTGCGTTGGTCTCTAGCCCCCATAAATGTTTGTCGGCTTTCACAAAAGCACGGTAAACATCTGCCATGGTAGGCACGTTGGTGGGACGGGAACAGATGCAAATAGCAGGCGTACTTTCAAATGAGAATTGCTGAGTTCCTAGCGTTGGGTTCATTACGAAAGCCCACTGTTGTCGTGTTCGACCAGCATTTTCAATGACCAGTACAACATGTCACGGAGGGGTATTGGCGCTGTATGTCGGGGCTGGTGGAAAGGTTGATATGACCTGGTCGATGTACAGCAGGTCACCAACTATGAAGCCGAGTGAACAGGAGCTTCTGATAGCCTGAAGGTATGCACAGTGTCGCTACGTTTGGAATGTGACTGCAAGACCGTTTGTATAGCTTCAGGCTATGCGATAGTCTGCCGATTGTCGATGGTTGCACCCTATCGTCTTTTCGTCTTAGCTAGCAAGACAAAGTTTCTGATGATATACAGTGGATGGTGTGGAGAGCAGAGCGTTGCAAATGGTGTTGTCGCTTCGCGTACGCTGAATCAAGAACGCGGGTCGCGTCGACGCCCCTCCTGCTTCACTTAACAACCAACGTGGACCTGAGCGGATCGAGACAGGATCACGGCACACCCAATAATTGACTCTTGACGGTCGATGATTACAGCGATGAGGAAAATCGAACCGGCCGCCTTTGTGCGTCCACGCCCCCACTTCCGAAGCAAACTCTGGTCAGCCGAAGCTGTCCGATTCGCGCCAGGGAGGGAAAGCCCCGCAGGCTGTAACGCACATACGATTGGATTGTCGTCGCTTGGCCAAGGACTGCCTTCATCTTGTCGTATCATTAAGTACGACATATTTTCCTGGAAATTCATAAAACAGGCATCTGGCCGGTTGGCGCAATGGTAGCGCGCAGCCCTCCTATTAGGACAAAGATATGTTCAAATTCGAGGCTGAGGCTGTGGGTTCGAGTCCCACATCGGTCGCTTTTTTGCATCCAACGCGAGCTCTAACTTACTATTTCGCCCCTTTGTTTTTTGTTTTGTCGCGGTGATGGGAAGTTCTGGGTGGTGGGGCCGAAATGGCCCAAGCGCTGGCACACGAACTCCATCTTCACGATCTTGCAACTTCGGAATGTATCTCCAGCTTGTTGTTTTCACTACGAACCACGAACGCGAGCTCTCTTTTAGCTACCTTAGCAAGCCTGGCGCTTCGTGACTACTCTATCTATGCCTTGGTAACTTTGTACACTCGCATATCGTGCGAACCCAGCTGAGCAGAGACGGACGTTCCGTACCAGTAGCGCAGTGAAGACTCAGTCCATTTCCATGCCTGAACCGAGGCCAGGCACTTCCGAGAAATTGCTGAAAGTGTGGCCGCACCATCAGCAGCGACGAGCCCTACTACCACACCATCGCTCAAAGGGCCGGCCCAGTAGGGATACAGTTTTCCATTCACAGGCGCTGGCTGTCCAGAGGGGCGGAAGTAGCCAGCAGCTTTTCCGAGCTTGTCTTGATTGATAGCGATAAGAGCCTGCAGAAAGTCAGTGGCGTGTTCCTTGCTGTTGAATGCAAACTAACCTTGTTCTTGAGGAGAGTTAGAGTACTCTGCTTGATCTTGCTGAGATCAGTACCAATCAGGATTGGAGACTTCGCAATCATCCACAAGCCGACGTGCGCGCGCTCCTCGTTCTCGTTCAAAGCACCATTACCGACTTGCAACATATCGAGGTCGTTGAATCCTCCTGGAGCCGCATACTGTGCCATGCCAGCCGCGTTGGAGGCGATAGAAGCCAACGAGTTCCAAGTGTTCGCGATATCACCTGACATGCGCCACGAGTTGCCATAGTCCTTACCCCAGGTCCAGACACTGTCGCGGCCCCATTGGCACATGGAGAAAAGGATGGGGCGTCCAGCACCGGCAAGTGCGTCGCGCATCGTCGCATAGTATGACTTCGTGCTCGATCTTGAGTCCCAACACGTCTGCGGCGTCCCCCCTGTGACACACGGTAGGTAACATGCGTCGTGCTTCCAGTAGTCTACACCCCAAGACGCCAAGGTCTTTGCGTCTTGCGCCTCGTGGCCTTGCGAGCCTGGGTAGCCGGCGCAAGTCATGATACCGGCATCACCGTATAAGCCAAACTTGAGACCCTTGCCGTGGATCTGGTCGACGACAGGCTTCATACCTTGCGGCCATTTGGAAGGATCTGGTACAAGGAAGCCTGAACTGTTCCTCTGTTTGCTGTGCCAGCAGTCGTCGATGTTGAGGTACTGGTAGCCGACATCCTTCAGACCCAAGCTGATCATTAGATCAGCAACTTTAAGGGCCGAGTCGGCACTGGCATGAGTGCAACCGCCGTTGTTCTAAGCATCCGATCAGCGAGTTCAAATCTGCACTTCAAAGGCGCACCAACCCAGTTGTTGTAACCGAGAGCAGGAGTTCTGCCGAGGCCGTTCTCTAGACGCTTGTCCAATGAGTCGTCTAGGCCAGCTGGGGCTGCAAGAGCAATGCCGTGAACGGCAGAAGCCACGACAATGGTTGAAGCGATGTTCTTCATGGTTGTTGTGCTGAAGGAGCTGTGGTGCAGAGTTCAAGTCCTACTGGTGACTTATATATTGAGTAGCCGGGGTCCTAGCACCGCTGTCCTTGCGGTAAAGCATCCTAGATCTGAGCGATCAAGGTATTGGTGGACTCTGAGGAAAGCTTGGGGCATACAAGATCTACACCGGATGCTTTACTCTTCGAGAGCTGGCTCGCCTTAGCACCACACGTCGAGACCTTCGAATACGACATTTACCATCTATCCCTGAGCGCGTCATTAAAGATCCATCGAAGTAATGTAGTGTTGCTGCAATTGCCAGTCGGTCTGATTGGTGTATAATTCTAGGGTTACAAACTAGTAGTCTATGTCATGTACAAGTCTAGCCCTGACTATTAGATTGCTCTACAACTAGCTACGCGAAGCCCTACTGTTTATATGCGACAGTCGGTGCCACTGCTTGTTGAAGGAGGTTATCCGGAGTTAGAGGGGCGTCATCATGAGTACCCCGCCTGTCTTTGGTTAATCGGCAAAAGAGATTGGCTTGTATTTCCCCATCCGTGATTAGTGGGTGTTTCAACCATCGCATGACCCCGGATTTTCCAACAGCCTTGAAACAAGCTTCGCGCCACTCTGGAGATAAATTTTCCGAAGACAAGCAAGTGCGGGACAGCGGCTAGGCGCCCTAGAGTAAGCCACACAGCAGATACGGGATCCGCAATATCCTATGAGACACCGGGCTGATGCATCGATTGTACTGCGGCGCCGAAGTCAAACCGGCGGTAGTTGGTGCGGCTTACTCTATTGTGGAACAAGCCCCTAAATAAATGAACGTGAGCTTGGAGAAGTAAGGGTGAGTTCAAGACCAGAGTTGCACTCGTCCTTCTAGCTTCTAACTGAGATGCTTCAAAGAGCGGTGAACTAGAATGCTGCTACCATAAGTAAGCCCCAGAGTCGGACTTCTCCAAGTCCTCGACTCAAGCTAACATGGATCTATAAAAAGTGACAGAACTTTAGGGCAGAAATGCCGTACCATATACATCCAAGATCTTCAATCGCCTCATCCATCTGCCGCTGGAAGTACGTAGGTATGCTACTAACGACTCCCGGCTCAAGGAACTGTGCGCTGGTTATCTATGGTATTACAGGAAAGATGAAGTGTTTTGAAAGTGTAGTGCAGAGGACGGCAAGACCAAGCTCCTGGCATGCAACCAAGAGTTGTTCTGTGAAGGGTGCAATATCACTGCTCTCGGGTTCTATATTGTCCGACAGCGCCTGTGCATGCATACCAGAAAGAGGAGGACTGAGGACAAGAAGAAAGGTGTAGCAGACGTGGACTATGGATTTTCCGTAGTAGAAGAGAAGATGGTAAATCACGTACTCCTCAGCTCTCGCGCAGCGCATCCATACTGGAAACAGCGGATTGTTCCGGAGTTCGTCAACAAGACGGCGGAGTGGACCATCAAACAGCGATAAACTATCGAATATGACACCACCGACGGCAACGTAGAAGAACTGCAGCTTCGGACTGGGACTTTCACTAGCCATACCATGATGAGGCATGCGTGTTATTGGGGACTGGACGTTGACAAATTGAAGTACGGCTTGAAAAGGCATGTTGATCTTGGACGCCTCTCAATCGTGATTCGCGCTGCGAAGGTGGATCCCCGGCAAGGTAGAAAAATCAACTTCAGACTCATTGTCGAATTCGATGCTGCAAGACAAGATCTCGGAGATATGGGAGTGGCCTGAGGGCAAGAACGGCGAGGACTACAGTCTGGTGTATCAAAGCCCATACTGGGGAACGAGATGCTCGAGGTCAGCTCAGCTTTCACGTGGTTGTCAACACGATGCAAATCCGTGGTATCGGGTACGTGGCCTTCGAGATGTTTCAGGTCTATAATAAGTAAGGGGATGGTAGTGACAGCGACACAACGTCAGTGGCATCCTGAAAGGCAGATGGGTACATGACAGACGAAGGGTTAGATCGGATCACACACTGGGCACTATGATAGAGGGACGAGGAAGATGATATGGACATCGATGACCCGGAGTTCGACTTTGGTGGACGCAGCGAATTGCAGTAGTAGAACAGAGCTACCATCAACAGCTATTTGCCATTGCAGTTGAAGAAAGTCCCAATTAACGGGCGCGTTGTTGTTAAGTTCACCACAACCACGGAAGTCGCGACTTTCTGCCCTTTCTGCAAATAGCGACATGTCTTCTGCTCATCGTCCCCGCACTATATACGACCTCTCCCTACTTTATTGTTCCATTCTAAAGCCGCCACTTCAGCAAAAATGTTGCCTCATCATAAGAGACGCTCTTGCAGGTTATGGTTGGCAAGGTGGCGAACGCGGTGACGTGAGTGACTTCTAAGAAACGACATTTGGCGCACGACCTCACCACGATAGGCCTCAAGAAGCTCAGTCTCGGTAGAATCACCTCGGTTCAAGTCATCACCTTAGCGCAAGCCGCCTCAACCCAAGATATCCGCCTTTTTACCAGCTTTACTACAAGGCTGCGGCGATATACGACAAGGAGGAAATTTCCCTACAAGGACTTCCTGGCATCATAGGCACGAGGGCTTTGCGCGAAAAATGTTGCGACAACGACTGAGGAAACCAACACAGTGACTTTGAAGCAGAGAATTGGAAGTCATTGGCAAAAGAGCATATTACCATGTGGAGAGACAAAGAGATAGGTAGTTTTGTTCGACATACAGGATGAGTTCTCACTACTATGGGGCCTGTTGGGTACCAGTCCTCCCGTCTATGCATGGATAGGTCTATGCCAGAAAGTATGGTGCCTTACGCTCATTCCACATTACCTGCTGTCTCCCCTCAGGGAAGGCTTCGAGAGAAAGAATCTGAAAAACTCTTGATAATCATTTGCTACCTCGGAGTTATTTTCGATCGCTCTGAGTGATGCTCTCAATGTGCGTTGTTTCTAGCTCTTTTCTTGAAGCATGATCAGATCAAGATCATGCAATGCCCCAGCTTCCATCTCAGCAGTGAACCTTGAAATCTGGCGCGCTTCGATCAAAGCCTGACTGCAAAATTGTCCAGCGAGGTCCAACTTGCCACTTCGCCAACACCACTGCCACCTCCGCTGCGCCATATTCCACCAGTGGTCCAAGTTGCCTTCGGTGGCTGCATAGCCAGCCAAGGCAGATTCCCAAATAGTAACCTGCGAATCTATGCTCTGTTCATGTCTTATGTATTTCAGCACTACCGTCAATGGACATCCTGGCCCCAACACTTCAGTCGCCGCCTTTACCAAGAACTCAGCGAACCTTTGGAAAACAGGAGCGCGCTCTTTTCCCCAGAGAATTGAGCTTATACAGTACGCTATACGCGAGACAGACACTTTAGGTCGCCGGAGATCTTCCATTGTGTTGTTAGCTGCCTGGGCGAACGAGATGCGAGCTGCGGCGAAGTCATTCCTGTGCCAGAGAGCCATCCCCCTGGTCAGTGCGCAGAATATAGTGTCTGGGGCGGACTGATACCCAGAGAAGTATTCTCCGCGCTCTCTTTCTATGATGGCCTGCATTGCACGAAGGAACACGTCGAATTGCGCGAATCGACCGGGATAATCTGGAGAGCGTGGCACAGACGGTACATCGACATTCGCAGGACGGGCACAGGGTACCGCAATGTATCGTTTCGAGATCTTGCTCAAGTATTGATCGCTCAAAGCCCCACACTTGATTCGTGATCTCGCGTACCGTAAAACCTTATCGATCCGCACGGCAGCCATATCTTCAGTAACTGGTTCACCATGAAGGATCTTAGCCAAGACCTTCTCTTTATCATCGGCTTTGATTTGCTTCGTGAAGCCCCATGCTTTCAGTCGCTTTTTGTACATTTGCTCACTACAATCCGTCAGCCCCAATCAAGCTAGACTCTTGAGACAATTCCACGTACGTAGCTTCAAACTCGTGCTCTGAGCTAATCCTTTGCATGGTCTCCTCTAAGGTCAGGTCTTGTTTTATATAGTACTCTTTGATATAGGGCTGCATCTTTGCCCAATGCTGTTTTGTGAGAGCTTTTCTTCTTTTTCGCGGGACTGTGCTCGCCATGGGAGTCTCCTCTACAGGCTGGCCCGTCATTATATAGGTGATATACGTCACTGGACAATTATAATGTGCGATGGCGCGTATTCGCATGCGGTACGACTAGTTTTCGTAGTGTTACAAAAGCCTCTTTGCTGTACGAAGGATGGTGAAAGAGTGACTTGCGTGCAGGCTTAGCGCCCAAAGGTTCTTGAGAAATGCGCTATCCTTAATTAGCTAGACGCGGCCTTGGTGTCTTGGTCAAAATGCTCCCAGGTGCTGGGGAGGTGATCACTTTAATGTGAAACACGCTTCTATCTGTGTTACTTGATTGCTCTATATATCATATCAAGATGTTTTTATCTATACTCTACAAGTCGCTACACTGCTAACCTTGGAGTCACTCTCGCTAGTTGCAGTGAGCTTCACTATGGCACCCTTCGCGCCATACGACGTGCCGTTCGTCGCAGCACCCAACGCAACCTTGACCGATGTGCTCTCCCCAAACTTTGCGAAGGCAAGAGCGTTCGGCAGACCAACCTTCCAGCTATCGCTATCGACTTCAACGGACAGGCGATAAATATCAGAGCCAAGATGGGCCGAGAGGTCCTGAGGATGAACGTTTGTGGTGTTTGACGGGGCGGTACCAGTGTTCTTGAGCTCAAAAGTGCAGTATGAACCTTCTGCAGCACCATCGCTGACCTCAACACCATGAGTCGCTGTAAAGGTGTTGTTTGTAGCGGTAGAGCGGACCCCAACGGTGTACTTTAGCACACCTCCATCGCGCCTGGTATCAAGGACGTAGAAATGCAGACCATTAGCGAGGTCTTCGTGCTCGTACTCACTTCCACTGTTCGTCCCGGCATGGAACAATGCATCGACCAATTGCCTGTAGTCTCCAATAGACCAGTAGCGCGCAGTGCCGTTAGGGAAGTAGAAGTCGACCACGTGTGCATCCTCTGGGTTTGCATCAATGACCCACTGGAACGGCTGGGCGCGGTCGTTGTTCTTCGTCTTGGAGATCATAACTCCACTATCGGGCACAAAAGAGTCGGCGCCCATCCGATCTACGACCTCCATGTTGTAATTGTTGTAGTTTCCTCCGTCGCAGAATGCGTTGAGTGAGATGTTGCAACGCGGTTGAAGATCTCCACTGGTACCGAAGCTGATATTGAATCCCATCAAGCCGCCAGCAGGGTCCACAGAGCGTGCAGTGAGCTCGGCAACAACTGGGCCTGAAGCAGCAAGACCAGATCGCGAGATCTGGAGAATCGGGGTATTATCAATCAACCCAATCTGATGCTTGTCACGCATGGTATGGAGCGAGCCCATGGAAGCACCCTGAACTGGTGGGATCTGCCAGCGTGTGTGAGGGCCTCCGGGACCATTGAAAGAACCGCGGTCAAGCATACTGAACGGCCCTGTGTAAGCGCGGCGTGGCGGGTCGCTGTATGGGTTATTGTAGTTGTCTCCGATACCACTGACGAAGGAAAAACAGTTAGCAAAGACACTCTAGAATAGGATTGCCCACTGGAGAAGACCACTGATGACGACTCCCCTCGTCAAATCTTCTCGACGTGGACAATGTCGGAACTTACTAGAGGCAACTTAGTATTCTTTTTCTTCAAAGACATAGTGGGTATCATCTACTTACCAGTAAATGTGATAACTCGTGAGCGAAGGTGGCCATTCCGGAGGACTTCCAAAATTAGTTAGCAGAGCCCAAAATGCTGCGATGATTGTGGAGGGACTTACCTCTCCCTGGGTTGAAGAGCCGCCTCCAGCATTGGGCCAGATTGTGCTTGCTGCTGCCCAGGACGTCCATTCGACGTATCGAGTGTCTGCCCAGTTTGGTAATGAGCTGTTTGCTGGTGGGCCGAACTCATCTGGCACATCGTCTCTACTGGCAAATTTCATCTCTCCAAATTCCTGCCAAGTGGATGATTCGTCCTGACCAGCTGAGAGGATGAAAGCAAGTTCATACGAGTTCGCAGTCTCGTTGCCGATATCTCGACGCCACGCACCAAGTGCGTCGGTGCGAAGATCAACGGAGCATGGTGGTCCTTCCGGGCAAGCGTCTTCATTGAAGCCACCTCGCTCATCGTCCACGCCGTATTGATAAGATAACGCAGGCATGCGGTACGGCCCAAACACTGTCAAATCCACACCATATTTACCAAAACTGTCGCCCATCCAATCTGCGAAAATTAGCTCGACACGATTCTGCTATCAGGTGGCTATCTTACACTCATGAAGCGTGTGGCCTTGATTCAGCTCGTTCGGCGTATTGAGTAGATCTTTGTAAAAATTTGGCACATCTTCTCTCTTTAGATCAGAAGCCAGAGGTTGCGGGTTGCCAAAAATGTCAGACTGTGCTGGCAACGTCACAACGAATGGCGAATCAGGGTAGTCAACCGTGACCATTGCGATCTTGAAGTTTCGGTCTCTGCCTTTGCGCGCAGGATCGCTCCAATCTGTGCTCGGTGGCGCAACAAATTGCTCCCAAGTCATGTTATCGGGGTTGACCTGGATTGCAAAATATTTAGAGTAGTAATCAACACGTAGACATGGAATTCCTTACCCAATTTTGAGGATCAATCGGTGCAAAAGGATCCAAAGAAAGCTGCTTAGACACAGGTGCTGGGACAGCATATGCAACATTGAGCATCGTGCATGCCAACACAGCCATCGAGGCTTCTGGGAGCCTATATCCCGCCATATCTGCAAAGAGCTTGGTCCTCGATAATTGTAATGCCAAAGATCCACGACTGCCCTGAAGCTTCACTTTTCGGCTTCACCAAAGATCTCGAGTGGTGGGAGGAAAATCAGGAGATCTTGTGCAGTGTGTGAGGCATAATATATATGGCTGTGCTACTATACCACAGTACCTGCAGGCGGGGCAAACGACGCAAGGTCATTACCGGGATAATTCATCCGCCCTGCGTGACCATGGCAAACACGCTGCTGGATAATGGAAGAGGGCTGGTTGGGCTGCCCGTTCCAGTAAGTCATGTCTTGGCTTATCTCTACCACCTGCTGCATCAAGCAAAGAACGACGGTGTTACCAGCGATTAATTCCTCAATCATGGATCCAAACGCGTAATCTTGGCAGTGGCGCGAGCCATGGAGCCTGTTTCTTCAGAAGCTTTTTGTGGGCTGGTGCAACGGTGCTTGTGTGCATTGACAGTGTGTAGCGGGAGGTACAATATGTGCGGTGTTCAGAAATGGCGCCAGGATGCGATCTTGGAAGCCGATCGCTGGAAAAGTCAAAGAACGTGGATTTGGCACGCGCGACGCCATTTCGAGCAAAAGCGGCTGTAGCATTAGTAGAGAATATGTGGACGTGACCACTCGCGACCTCCAACTCTGCTATTGTTGCATAGGCCAAGAGCCTTTGCGTCACGCCAAGGCCATTGGACATGTAGTGCATGCAGTCTTGTGTCCCGAGGTTTTTGAATTTCCACGCCAACCTTGGAACGACAATGCCGTCCGCACTTTATCAAAAAATTGCTCGCAACTTCTCAATCAATCTTTCAGGACTCTTCACTGAGGCACTGAATAATAATGTACCCTAGGTCGGTATCAGCAGCGTTCGAAAAGGCAACGTCTAGGTTCGAATCAGAAACAGAAGATGCAGAATACGCAACTCTAGTGAATATACGAATTGGACAGCATTCACTGAAATCTTAATTAATGCATTTTATCTGACCGCTGACCGCTGGCCACGGATTGATGTGTAAGATGTCCGGAGCCACTGGCTTGTTTGCCCCTTGACAACTCAAAATCTCTCCACTTGGGATACGGAGCCGCGTTTAGCTTCAACTTCTTCCACACGACGCTCGAGATCTTGACCGGGGGCCCAGTCGCGCTTGTTCATTCCTGGTACGAAAATCGGCGCGTTCGTGAACAGGTAGTTCATCTCCTCCAGCGGACGCTTAGCGGTCTCAGGGAGGAAGCAGTAGAAGAAGATCGCATTCGTCAGGTTACAGACCTAGGTTGTTGTTAGCGGGGCTTTGTTTTACCACTAATCATTCCCTGAACTTACGACAAACAGGATATAAAACTTCCATCCCACAGACTCCATAGCAATAGGAGTAACTTGCCCTATCATAGTATTGAAGGCAAACGACGTTGTGGTCGCGATCGACACTCCCTTGGAACGCGTCTTTGTGTCGAAGATCTCAGCTGGAATGATCCAGGACAAAGGTCCACAAGTCGCACTGAAGCTGAAGTTGTAAATCCAGGTGACAACGATGAAGCCCCAAGCAGCAGCCTTGTTGTTACTAGCTCCCGGAGGAAAGACAGCCAACATGATGGTCGAGATGATGAATGTGACCATGTTACCAAGGTTACCGAGGATTAGAGGCCAGCGACGTCCGAAGCGGTCGATGAAGCACATGCAGAGAAACTGTGCAATAAGAGCAATTATGGACGAGATGGCCTGGTATTTCAGGGTGTCATCGCCCTTAATGCCCATCTTTCCGTAGATCTCAACGGAATAGTATTGGATTGCGGAAACACCCGTCATCTGGACAGAAGCCTGCAGAGCACAAGCCAGGAAGAGGCGGCGGAAGCACGATTTGTCTGTCAGCAACTCCACGTACGATTGCGCTTCGTGTTCGTGCTCAAAGGTGAGCTGGTCCTGGATTTGCTGCAACTCGGCTTGTACCCAAGGATCGCTTTCATCGCCGTTGGCGTGGAGCTTGGCGAGGTTGCGGAGACCTTCTTCAACGCGACCATGGTCGATCAACCAACGCGGCGACTCGGGGAACATGAGAATGAGAGCACCGAGGAAAACTGCTGGAATGACTTGGATACCAAGACTTGTGCGCCACTGGCCATCATTGTCAGGCGCGAAGCCAACGTATGTTCCTGCCAATTGTTAAAATAGTTGGTGTGGAAACGAGTTTCGGGGTCTTACCATAGGAGATCCAGGCTGCCGCCAGAGCACCAATGCCCAACATGAACTGCTGGAGCGATGTGATACGACCACGGATAGTAGGATGAGCCAATTCTCCTTGGTAGACTGATAAACGCTGTCAGTAATGAGTCGTATTTGGTTCGCATGTCAGTGGCAGAGGGTCTTACCGGGAATGATCATGACCAATATACCAACACCAAGACCGGCAATCGATCTTCCTGCGTATAGATATGCCAAAGACTGTGCGCCAGTTTGGAGAGCACCTCCAAGACAGAAGATGACAGCGCCGATCAAAATTGTCCATCGTCGTCCAAGCCTGTCACCCATGGGCCCTCCGAATGCAGCACCGAAGAAGGCACCTCCGGTGAAGACAGAAACTACTGCTCCCTTCTCCGCGGCGGGTACTAATACTTGGGGCCCATCTATTGTATCGGTGAGACGACCAAACTTGGTGTTAAATGACTGTGAGGCGATGACCTGTGCAATGACACCGAGATCATAACCGTACAGGAGAGATCCAAGAGAGGCGAAAAGACCGACCAAGAACTGCGACTGTCAGACCGTTTTCTCGTCTCAATCATTAGCGGTGTCTGAACATACCTGGTACCACTTGGGAGGAATTGCCATCGTGTGAAGCTCTATGTGCTTTGCGAAAGCACCAAAGTTTAGATGTCGAGAGCTGCTGCACTCGATGCAGATCCCCACATGGTCTTTATACCTTCCATCCCTGCGGTACAAATTTCGCTCGCCCTGCCTGCCGTCACATGGGATCGTGAACTGGGGTGCATATCCCGCATCGCGCGACGCCTCTTCCCCAGATGGTGCCAGACATGGCTGGAAAAGCGGGGAGCTAGCTCGCGATGCGCGTGCATTTTATCCGCGCCTCGTTAAGCATCCATGTCGTCGCATACCGTGCACAGACACCGGGCGCCCAGAGACACTAAGCGCCTATCCTAAAACTAAAACGTGTTATTAATACTAACTTTAATATATTATAACTCTACTACTATAAATCTAATTTAAGCTATAATTAAAGATATTAAATTACGTAAGCTAAGAGAATATTTTATATATATAAAAGTTACTATAAAATATAATATTAATTATATAATATTAAGCTAAAGATATAGAGATATATAGGCTATAGTAAGTACCTAGCTACTAAATAGATATAAACTTAGCTTACTATAGAAGTTAGAGCTTATACTTATATATTAAAAAGCTTACTAAGTAAGGCCTATCTTCTATAAGAGAGATAATTAGAAATTTTACTTTATCTATAGCTAAGAAAGAGATCTCTAAGCACTAAGTTTTATACTTTATTAGCTAGAATAAAAATAAGCTTATCTTAAAGAGGACTAGCGCTATAAATTATATATATTACTAAGCTAATTTCTATATTAAATATTAAGCTTACTTTAATCTTCTATATAAGAAGCTTAATAAGTATTATCTTAAAGCTAGTAATATATATAATATAGATAAGAAAAGCTTTCTTATTAAGATTATTAAAATAAGTAAGAGAGTCTTTAGTAAATGCTAATAGAATAAAAAGAAAGTTAGAGTATTACTTTAAGATAAATTATATAAATTTTTAATACTTCTAGCTTATATCTGCGCTAATAGAAGCTTACTACTACTAAGCTTTATCTATATATTAACTTAAAGAGTAATTAGATTAAACTAAATAGAGAGAATTACTATAGAGAATTATAACGTCTTTATTATATTATCTTAATTAGATTAGAGTAATAATAATATTAGTTTAGTATAGCTTAAGTAAGTATTTAATTACTATATAATAAATAAACTAAGAAAGTAGTAATTACTTATTCTTAATAGCTATAAATCTTATCTTACTTCTAAGTTTTTTAAGTATTATAACTACTATAAAATTCTCTTAATAGTATTTCTTTCTTATTTAACTTATATACTATAACTACTAGATATAGTAATATTTAAGCTACTTTTATTAAGCTACTCTAATAAGCTTACTTAGTATCTCTATAATACTTAGAGCTTTATCTCTATTAAGAAAAGAAACTTTTTCTCTCTTTTCTAGTAAGCTTAGAGCTTATCTTTTAAAAAAAATATTATCTTAAAAGCTTTTAAAGCTACTAATATATAGCTAACTAATCTAAGAGTTATTCTTAATAAATTTAGAATAATGCTTAATAAGAATCTTAGTAAGCTATCTTATCTCTCTTTAAATAATTAGAATTAGCTATAGTAATTAGTATAAGATACTACTAAAAATAGAGCTTAGAATAAAATAAGAAAGCTTAGTATTCTACTTTATTATCTCTAAGTTTAAAATAAGCTACTCTATTATAAGAATAAGTAACTAAGAACTACTCTTTTATATAAGTAGAAGTATAAAAAAAAAAGTAAAGCTCTTAATCTTTAATAGTACTAAGAGTATTATAATAGTATTATCTTCTAGTTCTTTTATAAGTTCTATAAAGCTTAAGCTTAAAAAGTAGTCTATAAGTAAAATAAAATAGAAGAGAAACTTTAGAAAGTATAAGCTAAGAAGTAGTATAAGAAAGCTTAACTATAGTATTAAGTTAAGCTTAAGAAAAAATATATAAAGAAGTAAAGACTTAAGATAGTAAAAGAAAAAAAGAAAGCTAAAAAATAAGCTAAATATAAGTATTAAAAATAGTAGCATAATACTAAGAAAGCTATATAATTATTCTAAAGAGATAAGTATAAAGCCTTATAAGTAATCTTCTTTAAGAAAAAGTATTAGAAATAAGTAGTAAATAAAATAGCTACTACTTAAGTTTAACTTACTTTATCTTCTTTACTAACTTAAGTAATATTATATAGCTATAATATTAAGCTTCTAAGTAAATTTAGATAGTATAAATTAATTATAAGTATCTAATTACTACTATACTATATTTTTATATATATAGAGCTATTATATAGCGTTATATAGCTTTAAGTTTAAGATTATAATAATATTATTAGGTAGGCGCCTAGTGTCTCCGGGCGCCTAGTGTCCGTGCACGGTACTTCTAACCGAGGCAAACCACGCTTCGGTTGAACCATCACCGACAACTCTGCTGCGCTACACCTCAACCATGTTAGCACCGCTCCCGAATCCCTGTGCCATTGCGGCGTCACTGGTGGAGCCCTGTCTGTCACTTGAACTCTGTCTGCTTACTGGTTGCGGCTGTATGACTGCATAAGGCAAGCCCATGGCAATGCTTGACACCGATATTCCACGAATCGGCTTCGGGCTGGGCTAACGACAAGACTGGGAATAGAGCCGCCGGAACCTCACGATTAGGCGTAGCTCGCTCTCTGCGACGACAGGCTTGGAAACATGCCACTCCGCATCTTGAACATTCGAGGTGCCCCGCGTCTTCAAACTGCTTTGTACGAGACGAAAGGCCTATATACGACATCATGGCAAGCTTTACACGCATCGAAGAGAGCGAGAGTCCGTCTATAACCATCAATCCTTCGCACAAGATTGCCAAGATCAACGACAACATCTATGGAGGATTCACAGAGCAAGCAAGCTCCGAAATCAATATTGGATATCTGCTCGCTAACCGAAGTGCCAGGCACATGGGACGATGCATTTACGGCGGCATATACGATCCTGAAAATCCTCTGTCAGACGAGAACGGCTTCCGCAAAGATGTTATTGATGCCTTCAAAGACCTCAATGTGCCTGTAGTAAGATACCCTGGTGGTAACTTTGTCGCTACATACCATTGGCTGGATGGCGTTGGCCCTAGGGAGAACAGGCCTGGAAGGTAGCGCCAGACTATATTCGCCAATCAGGCCGTCTGCTAAACTAAACGTAGGCCTGAGCTTGCTTGGATAGGCACTGAATCCAACGAGTTTGGTACCGATGAATTTATGAAATGGTGCGAGGTTGTCGGCACTGAGCCATACCTCTGCTTAAACTTTGGAACAGGAACTCTTGATGAAGGTGACAGAACGAAAGCAGCCCGACCATGACTATATGCTTATGAATTTTCAGCTCTTGGATGGCTCGAGTATTGTAACTCGGATCGTAACAGCTACTACGCAAACTTGCGCCGCAAAAATGGTCGCGAAAAGCCGTACAATGTGAGTTTATTCACAATACTCCAACGTGTCCCAAAGCCTCTTCAAATGTTTATCTCTTAATGAAACAGCATCTGCTGTGTACCAAAGCTTCATTAGCATGCTTTTGGGTCTTCTGTAGCCTAGATTTTAATCTTTCACAGGTCAAATACTGGGCCCTCGGTAACGAATGCTGGGGCCCCTGGCAAGTCGCCCAACTCACCAAGGAAGACTATGCCAAACAGGCCTACCAATGGGCCAAAGCGCTCAAACTCCTCGACCCATCCATCACCTTGATTCTGTGTGGTGAAACGGGCTACTCTTCCTGGGACTACTACGTCCTGAACCAATGCGTGACCTGGAACGTCCACGGCCTGGGTGGCGACACAACAAAGAGTCTAATCGACATGCACAGCATTCACATTTACACGGCAGATAACGAACACTTGCCAAATGCAACTGCGCCTAGAGCCGCGGAAAGAGCGATCCAAATGACGAGTGCGTTGATCGACTTGGCGAGAATTGAAAATAAGGTTCCGGAGACGGTGCCCAGGCCGACGATTTGCTTCGATGAGTGGAATGTTTGGGACCCTGTGCGTGCGCCTGGTGAGCAGGGCGCGGAAGAAAAGTACACCTTGTCCGATGCGCTGGCTGTCTCTGTCTTCCTAAACGCTTTCATGCGCCAGGCGAAAGATGTGGGCATGGCGAACATCGCGCAGAGCGTTAATGTCATCTCGCCTCTGATGACGACGGAGAAGGGCTTGATCAAGCAGACGATCTGGTGGCCGCTGTGGCTTTTCTCAAAGTACATGCGCGGAAACACGGTGCAGGTTAATGTGCGCAGTCCAGAATACCAGGGCAGGACGAATCCAAAGTGGATCCGTGGAACGATTGAGACGCCGTTCTTGGACTGCAGTGCAAGTGTTGGAGATGACGGATACATTAATCTGGCGGTGACGAACGTCAGTGAGGAGAAGGACTTTGCAACTGATGTTGTGGGTGTCAAGGCTAGCGAGGTTCAAGTCTTCACTGTTGGCGGAGACGGCGTGGATGTTGTGAACACGGAGAGCGAACAGAAAGTCGGTGTCAAAGAGAGCACTTGGGACGGCAAGGGCAAATTTACCTTTGGAAAACACTCTTTCACTCTTCTTAGGTGGAAAGAAGCTTGAACCTGGTTCTTCCTGAATCTATACCGAACTTCTTAGAGCTAGATTTAGATCCCCACGGTATACCACTTTCTACACATCGCCATCCATTCACACCGCACTTCTTCACTCGCCAAACTCTCCCGCGCCAGACACTCCACTGCGGCCTTCATGATACGATCAAATCCCCTGCCAGTAGGGAAGAACTTCAGATTTGCCACCTTGCCATGTACATCTACTTCCCACTCGTCTCTCGACCACTTAGCCACATTTTCCATCCTCTGCATTCTGCTCTCTCGCGTTATGCCAGTTCCAATGAACCCAAAACCCAGTCTATGCCACTGGCTTGGCGACCAGCGCTGCCCTCTCAACAAGATAGTGAAGTAGACCCCATCCGTGATGAACGCAGCAGCATTGCAAGCGGCTGAGCCTTGCTGCCAATCATTCCATCTTGTTACATCTTTTGGCAATCTGAACTCCCCGGGCTGGAATCCTTTGAGGCGATAGTGCACCCGGAGTTTTGGCCTCAACGCACACCATTCAGCCAAATCGGCAGTGTTTTGCCATGGTTGACTGGCAACTTTGCTATTCAAGAAGCCGCAAAATCTTGGACTGCATCGCATGTCAAATTCGCTCTTGCAGAAATTGTGCAGTCGACGCATAGGTGCGTGTTTGCCATCATCGATGAGTATGTCGTTGTACTCAAGATCTAGCCCGCTTGTTTCGGCGCGGAGTTGGCGACAAACAAATTTGAGGACGTTATAGATCTTCCCGCTCGATGCGAAAAATATTGGTGTCCATTGCTCCTGGTAGAAGAAGTACGGGCGATGAGGTAACCCTAAGGGCGAATCATCCGTCAAAGTGTACTCGTAGATGCGGTTGCGAAGTTCAGCTGGCAAGCTCAGGAATGTTGCCATTTTCTCAAAAGGCATGGAGGCATGAAGCAGAAAGCAAGGGGTGCTGATGAATTTCAGGAATCGATGTTGGTGAGTGCGGCGTATTTCATGCACGGCGTCCTTCCTACCAAATATAGCAAGTTCTATAAATAACCGCTCGTCAATCCCAGTTGGCTACGTTACAGTCTGACGTGCTCACACGTTCGAGATGAATAGAATTGTATTTCTGGACACAGTTGGATCAGAAATGTGTTGTAAGTAGAACTGCTCGTGCAATTATCTCATACCTACCGTAGAGTACATCAGTAAAGATTTTTACATTGTCTCATGCTCTGGAACAGAGTTGCAGTCGATCATGATTGTACATTGAATAATCCTCGCACAGTACAAACACTGTCCTATCCTTTACGACTCTAGGAAGTATGAAAATGACTTTTTTTTTGATGACTTCTAGCCTCACTCTCTCTTCACATGAATTAGTTTAACCCCACCTTTAGTACTCTCTTCACATGAAATGTTCTAGAATGACCTATCAGGACCATTCTCGCCACAAACATAAATTCTACTCAGAGATGAACAGTGATTCACTTTCTTCAGACGCGCCCCGTTCGGCCACGAGCAAGCTTTCCGTCGCGCGCGGAACTGAGTCCACACCGAGCTCTGCTGGTTGCTCCTCCTCCTCGTCGTCCCCGTCCTCCTCTACGACGCCATACTCAGGGCTCGATATCCTGTCGTCACTGGAATCGCTGTTGGATACTTGCGGCTTCAGATAATTGCTCATCTGAATCGGTGCTGGAATTGGAGGCGCAACGGTAGAAGCAGCTGCACTACTACGCGGTTTTGGCTCAACAGGGCTTGAAGCCTGTTTCTCTGTTATGGATGTTGTAATTTCGAAGCTGAATCCAGGCCACCTCTCAGCAATCCTGGCTGGGAACAGCTGAACTCTTGGAGCTAATCCCGGGCAAGAGATGAAGACGAATGGCGTTGAGAAGTACTGTCGCTCGGTCGGCTGACAGAGCGAGTATGCAGTTTTTGCGTCCGGATTTTGGCGACGTATTGTTCTCGTTGGCTCACCAGCTAATCCTGAGTCCCTTTCACTCTGTCCGGCTCTCAGGCGTCCCGCCAACGGCCCTGCCTGTGGCCTCTTGGCAAAGTGCGCAAACACCGATATCGTTCCTCCGATGAAGTATACACCACTCTCCCAACTGATGCGCTCTAGGAGATCTTCTCGTGAGCACAGTACGCCCTCACCCTGGCAGAAGTGCAAGTGTAAGTGGTACTTGTCGGGATCGTTCTGCCAGGCCTCGTACGTAGCTAGGAATATGTCGTCGAAAGTAGGGAAGGCCGTGACGCTACGGCGAAAGGCGAGCTGGCCTGAGACGAAGCCGCGCAGGGCAATGAGGGTGGTAGGGCCATTGATGGGAAGAGGCGCAAGTGGAGCCGGGTAAGCGCCGTGTTGGTGATGGTGACGTGAAGACATGAAAAGGGGCGTTGTAGATACCTGGTGAGGTTGTATTCTTTTGTAGACCGTGTATATGCGACGGTTGTGCTTCTGTGTAGACGATGGAAGTATTAGGAGGTGATGAGTCGAAAGAGAGTGGAAGGTGAATGGAGAGCTGGAGTTAATATAGGTGAAATGTTTGTGCGTGCAACCGAGCGGGTGACGCCGTGATCACAGGAGAAGACGAGGTGAAAGGAACATGTGCAAGGTTGAAAAATCATGGAGCACAAAATTCTCTGATTACCCAAGTACCTACCAAAACATACCCATAAATACATGCAATGGGGTAAGGAGAGACAAACCATTTCTCCTGGGGATCGATAAGCTTCTCCTCATCTCCGTCTTGCTGAGCAATCTCCGCCACGGCCTTTCCCTATGCACGTTTCGCAAGAACCCTCTCCTTGATCACTTTTGTGCGCGCAGGGATTGCGAGCGCGGCCAAATCCTGTGTGAAAATCACACAACTCATTTGGAACGAGGCTCTGTTGGCAGAAGCGCACTGCTTCAGCGAGTCTTTCCCCGGTATATATGCGGAGACCGCTCCAGACTTGTTCACAGTAGCGCGAACGATGGCTGGTTGCTCTGGAAAGCGACAAGCTTTCGGCATTGCGTGCCCAATTATGGGTCCTTCTTCCTCGCCGGGCACTGATCAAACCCGCTTGCGTTTCTTCGCAACACTGCCTGGCGATGGTGATTTAGAGACAGTGCCTTCATGGAGTTGTTGCCTTGCACCGGATTTAGCTTCAAGTTTCAGACGAATTGCCATTATTCTCTGTTCGTCAGAAGCAGCGTCTTCGAACTCCTTGCAGAATTCAACATCCTTCATGGCGATCTGTACTTCTCCTGTCGAGACTGAACGTTTTGCGTACTGGTGAGGTATGTAGGCGCATACGCTCCCCTTGCTGTTCAGAATGGCTCGAGCTGTTGGACGGACATTGGGATCGCGGCAACAGTGTGATTTTGCACGACCAATGATGATGCCAGCGTGTAGATGGCGAGTGCTGTTGCTGCCATCTACTGTGATGACCTCAGATGTAGAAGGTGTAGCAGAGAAGGCCAAATTGCTGGCCTGAGTGCTTGATGGTGCCATCGCTGGTATGTTGAGGGGAGCTTCTGTTGGTAGCACTTCGGGGAACGGTGGGTATGGATCTCTGTCCCATTCATCAAGATCCATACCATCCATTTCTCCCGCCTTGTACCACTGTGAAAATAGTTAGCCACGTGATCCAGAATTTGAGTCCCAATCATACTGCATCTTCATGACCTGTAGAGCCCTGCCATCCCCATTTCCATGATTCGCCATTCTTAGCTTCCTCAGTGTCCAGCTTGCGTGTTCTCGTCTCTACCTCTTCGAAATGCGCGAAAAGCACAATTCTGCCATCGACCACGAACTCGGCCTCAAAATACCCTCCGGCCTCCCACTCGCTCGAGCTAATCTTGCCGTCACATACAGTGTTGTCGAGGTGGAAATGGGCATTGTACTGTTCCCAAGGTTTTTGGAAGATATTGTGGACGTGTTCGAGAAATTCCTGTATGATTCCATGAGCTCAAGCTACGATACAGCATCGCGCAGCGTTTCAGCGTACCCAGTAATTGCGCGCTCGTCGCCCAGCAACTCAGTAACTCGTCTCATCTAGTCCTGCGAACTCGCGAACGAGGATCAGTGGAGTGGCCATCGTAGTGAGGCGAGTCAAGATGAAGCACAAGGAGTGTTTGCGGATCGACGTTAGCAAGCGATAGAAGAATGTGTTGGAGATGAGGCTGTCGGTAAGACAGTTGCTGTGTGAAACGGCATGCTTCGTAGATGGCTGGGTAAGATGAACTTGACAACAGTGACTGTATTCCATGCCCAGTTCGCTTCAACAAATACTAAACAATATGGGGTATCACGAGAAAGGCAAGAGCGCGCAATTCAGGAATGAAAAGAACTCGGACCTAAATGTCCACCATGCTGTCGCTGCCGTTGACTGCTCTGCCATTTTCCTTTCCTTTGCCCTTTGCCTTCTTCCGATATGAGTCAATGGCTGCCGCATTGCTGATAGCTCTCTTCTTCCTGCCGACTCTAGCGCTCGTGGTTGACGAGGGCGTGTCATCTCTTTGGTCTTGTATCGAATCCTCTGGAAGAAACTGTCCGCTGCCGGCAGCTTCTCGGACCAACGAGGCGTAGAATTCCTCTACCGCGCGTTGGCCTGGGCTGATATCCTGCGATGGTCCGACATCCTCCGAGATAGAATTGTCCGCTAACGGGTCGGGTGCGGTGAGCTTGAGCCGTTCCGTCCCGAGGTGAAAGCTATTGCACGTTATGCGTGAGATGTGGGCTTTGGCATGCGACATGTCCAGCGCAAGGTGAGCTTTCAGATAGTGCGATAGGGCGGTCGTGAAGGGTTTGTCTGCGCCGCCCTTGAGGGCCTTGCCCCGAGCGACAAAGCCCGGCACATCTGTCCCTGCAATCGTCATGTCTATGTGCTTGAGCAGAGTTGTCGTTGTGGGGAAGGCCAGCTGAATGTGCAGCTGGCGTACGACGTCCTGGATGGACTGTGTGGAGGTACTCGCTGATAGGTGCTTGAAGTAGGTCTCGAGACTGGAGGTGATGAAGGACGACGGCAGTCTCAAGGGCGCGACATGGGCGTCGAAGGCGGTGCGCAGGTAGTTGAGGAATATCTCGCGCACCGGTCCGGGCATCTTGACCAGTAGCAGGGGCAGCGAAGTAAAGCCATCCGGCGAGGAAGTCGCGCCCGGGTCGCGCAGCAGGAGCGCATTGTACGACTGCTTCTCGTACTCGAGGCTCACGTCGATACCACGTGCCCGGCCGGGACTGGGGGCGGGCGATAGCTGCGACGCGTCGGGCTCGATTGACTGGCGATGTCGGTCGATCCAGGCGTCCTCGTCTCCTATCGTCTCCCAGCTGCACTCCTCGAGCGGGCCGAGCTTGGCAGTGTCTTCAGCGGCCGCGAAGTCGACCTGCACCCCGCGCACATTGTCGCCTTTCAACTGCTCTTTGAGCCTTTTCGCGTGCACGTGCAGACTGCCATCAGTCAGGAGCGGGGTGTCGCCGTGGTGCAGTGGGGACAGGCGGTACAGGTTGTAGGTCCTGTTGTAGAGCGGGTAGGGTGGGATATCTGCCATGGTGGGCTCTACGGCAGGTTGGGGCGCGGTGGCGCGTTGCGATGACTACATGCAGGCTCCCTGGTAGTCATAGAAACGGCAATGTCACAGTGAATTGGCTGCACGCGTGGGCTGCACGGGCGCCAGACGGGGCATGACGCAGCGCGTCGGTGTTGTTGACGATCGGCCGTGGGCGCTGCGGGCCCTGGTTTCTCTTGGCATGCCACTACGGCGGGGCTAACAGTTTGTTTCTCTGATTTTCGAAGTGATTCTCGCATTTTCTGCGTAAACAGGACAGCCTTGCACGATCCTTGACAGCACAGCGAGAAATTCCTGCTGCAAGATCCTCCAGTCCTCCTCCACGATACAATCAACCCCAACCACACCACACCCGCCTCGAGCGCATACATTCCCTATACCCCATACCTGAGATACCCCGCCATCACCGATAAACATGTCTGTAGTGGGCGTTGACTTGGGCACGCTCAACAGCGTCATTGCTGTTGCGCGCAACCGTGGTGTCGACGTGGTAAGTACTCGACCTGCCAGGCGCACATGATCCCTTTCAAGAAAAAATAATTACTGACTGCTGCCCAGATTGCAAATGAGGTTTCTAACCGCGCAACGCCGTAAGCCACCACCCTCCCCTCACACGTCACAATTTCTGCAGCTAACGCCGCCCAGATCATTGGTAGGCTTCGGCCCCAAGAGCAGATACATTGGAGAGGCCGCAAAGAACCAGGAGGTCTCCAACCTCAAGAACACTGTCTCGTCCTTCGTCCGTCTCGCCGGGCGCTCCCTCAGCGATCCCGATGTCCAAATCGAGCAGGATTTCGTCTCTGCGCCGCTCGTCGATATCGGCGGCCAGGTCGGCGCCGAGGTCACATACATGGGCAAGAAGGAGCAGTTCACAGCCACTCAGATCACCGCCATGTTCCTCACCAGAATGAAGGCCACGGCCTCTGTCGAGCTCAAGCTGCCCGTCGCCGATGTCGTCCTCAGCTGCCCTGTCTGGTACACCGACTCACAGCGCCGTGCCATCCTCGACGCCGCAGATATTGCTGGACTGAAGTGCCTGCGATTAATCAACGACAACACTGCCGTCGCCCTCGGCTACGGTATTCCTAAGCTCGACCTCCCCACCGCCGAGGAGACGCCACGAAGAGTCGTCTTCGTCAACATCGGCCACAGCAACTACACTGCCACCGTTGTCGAGTTCAGGAAAGGTGAGCTCGCCGTCAAGTCGAGCGCCTGGGACCGCCACTTTGGTGGCCGCTACATCGACAAGGCCCTCGTTGAGCACTTCGCAAAGGAGTTCAAGGAGAAATACAAGATTGATGTCATGGAGAACGGCAAGGCCCGCTTCCGTCTGGCTGCAGGTGTCGAGAAACTCAAGAAGATTCTCTCCGCCAACAACATGGCGCCCCTCAACGTCGAGTCCATCATGAACGACGTCGATGTGCGCGGCATGCTCAAGCGCGAGGAGCTCGAGGAGCTCATCAAGCCGCTCATCGAGCGTGCCACAATCCCCATTGAGCAGGCACTTGCCGAGGCTAAGCTCAAGCCCGAGGACATTGACGCCATCGAGATGGTTGGAGGATGCACGCGTGTGCCCTCGATCAAGACCGCCATTCAGGACTACTTCGGCAAGCCATTGTCCTTCACACTCAACCAGGACGAGGCTGTCGCACGAGGATGTGCCTTCAGCTGTGCCATCCTATCACCAGTGTTCCGTGTCCGTGACTTCTCCATTCACGACATGGTCAACTACCCCATCGAATTCACCTGGGAGAAGTCTGAGGACATCCCCGACGAGGACACTAACCTCACTGTCTTCCAGAAGGGTGGTGTTATGCCATCAACCAAGATTCTCACATTCTACCGTAAACACCCCTTCGATCTCGAGGCCAAGTACGCGAAGCCCGAGCAGCTGCCCGGCAAGACGAACCCATGGATCGGCCGATTTTCGGTCAAGGGCGTCAAGGAGGACCCCAAAGGCGACTTCATGATCTGCAAATTGAAGGCACGCCTCAATATCCATGGCGTGCTCAACGTCGAGTCTGGCTACTATGTGGAGGAGACTGAGGTCGAGGAGCCGATCCCAGAGCCTCCTTCAGAGGAGAAGAAAGAGGGTGATGTACGTGTTGACAATTCCCCTATCGATACAAGTACCGGCCAGCCCGGTCTCGAGCCTGCCGCGAAACGTTTCAAGCCCAGTCCCGAATCTGTATTTGCGCGTCCTGCTTCTTCGATTACAACAGACAAACTAACAGGTGACTCACAGGTAATGGACGTCGACAAGGACGCGCCCAAGGAGCCACCGAAGATGCGCAAGGTCAAGAAGCAACAGAGGAAGGGAGACCTCCCATTGTCTGCTGGCACCGCCTCGCTCGACGAAGCTTCCAAGCAAATCGCAGCCGAGAAGGAGGCTTCCATGATCATGGAGGACAAGCTTGTTGCCGATACCGAGAACGAGAAGAACAACCTTGAGAGCATGATCTACGAGCTCAAGGACAAGATCCTTGACGTCTATGCAGAATTTGCCAGCGACGACGAGAAGGCAAAGCTTAACGCTAAGCTCGAGCAAGTCGAGGTAAGCCGTGATGATTTCTGTATATTCTGGGTATCACTAACACAGTTTGCAGGAATGGCTGTACGATGACGGCGAGGACGCCACAAAGAACCAGTACGTGTCTAAGAAAGAGGACATTCGGTCAATCGCCGGTCCCATCATTCAGCGTTATAACGACAAGGTCGAGGGCGAGCGACAGGCAAAGATGGAGAAGTATCAACAAGAGATGGCTGCAAAGCAGGCTGAGCTTGAGCGCTCCAAGCGGGAAGCGGAGAGCAAGGCACAGGCGAACGCACCGCCAGCGGCCGAGGAGAAGGACACTGAGATGACAGACGCTGAGGGCCAAAAGCCCGACAGCGTTGAGGAGGCTTCTTAGTTGGATGCCCACATTTGAGGCGTTGGCACGGAAGCAAAAGCATTGGTACGGCGTGAGAAGGATTTTTATGAGATTCTTTGCGCATACGAAATGAACATGGTAATGCGATGTTTATGATAGACCAATCCATAGATGTACGACATCAAATTTTTCTTACGAGTCAACATGGAACTTTTGACTGCAATTTTGAAACCTGAAACAGAGTGCCATCGATGATGACGAAGGCATGATGCAAGTCACTCATTAATGATTGATCAACATCTGACAAGTACAAAGTATGCATTTCTCGCCTCAAAACCTTAACACCCTACGAGGCCCAAGATTCTAAGATGATACAGAAACCCCTAATCGAATCCGAGGATAATATACACCCACACCTATATCTGCTTTTGCGCATCTAGACCAAGATCGCATATTCACGAAAGAGAAAAACACCAACAAGATCAACAACCTCAACAGACTAGCGAACTAGCCTCTTGTACTACTCCCTCTTCTCATCAACGGACTCCCACCGACAAAACTGCCCCTCGGACTCCTCAGTCCCGTCTTCTCCATGAGTTTGACGCCCTCAGTCTGCATGCCCAATCTTCTCTCAAAGATGCGCATGACAAGCGCTTGCACGCTCCTCTGTACTTCGCCACTAACCTCCGTGCCCAGCAGCCCCACAACAAGCGGCGCGAAAACCTCAAGATTGGAATCAAACTCCTTCTCCGGGAAATTCGCGTAGCCATCAAGTACCGTGACGACGACAGGGCGCCACGTCACGATGTTGCGCTGTTGAGTTTCCTCATCGAGGTCGATGTAGGAAGCCAGGATGTCGGAGCACAGGGGAATGAGCGCGGCTTCGGTTTGGCTGCGACTAGCAGCCCGCGAAGGCGAGGTGTCGTGGTACATGCGGAAGAGAATGGACACGTAGACGGACGCGGAACCGGATTCTTGCTTGAGGAGGTTGGGTGGCTGCTTCATGAAACCTTCTCGGAAGAGGCGGCCGCGCAGCTCGCGGTTTGCGTTGAAGCGCTTGGCAAAGTGGTAGCTCTTCTTGAGCACGGCCATCAGGCTGAGGAGGTCGGGCGAGGGGATCTGGGTGTAGACGGCTTCGTTGGTGAAGAGTTCTTGTACCGTCTCGATCATCAACAATTGCAAGACGCATTTTGTGATGATCTGGTTGAAGAAGCGACGGCGCGCGGCAGTCACGACGACTGGAGGTTGTTGCAGATCGGCAGTCTCAGGACGGTAGTCTTCAAGTTCTTGAGTTTGCCGTTTGGGCAGTGGAGAAGGCATGCGTTGGTCGCCGTTGGAGTCGGATTTCACAAGCGAAGGGCGTCTTGCGGGTGTTAGGCCGTTGATCCCGAGCGCATTTTCTGGTCGGGATTCTTCTGTGGGGGTCTGAAGAGAGAGTTCGCCTGGCGGGCTTGAAGTTGAATGATCAGGTGTTTCGTGGAAGCCATTGACTGGTGTTGCCTGGGCTGAGCCGCTAGTCGCAGCGGAGAAGAGAGCAGTTGCCTCTGTGCGTTGGAACAGCTCTACAAAAGCGTTGACTATTTGGTTCCAGTGTGTAGGTCCGAACTTCTGAACATTCTGCAGTATCAATTGCTGAAGACAGTTGCTGCCGATCCGGGCCAACGTGTCGTTCTCCTGGCAGATGCAGAGCGCGAGCAAGTCAAGGAAGCGGTCGAGCATATACTCCAATGACTCGAAGAAGTGGGTAAAGAGCTTGATCATGTTGCGCAATGCCTGGATCATGGTCGTCGAGAGCCAGACCGACAGTTCTTCGTGGTTTAACACCTTTGTCATTTCTGACTTGGACTTCAAAACCATGAAAATAGGGTATAGCAGCTGGCGCCACAGCATATCCCAGAACTCGCGCGGGAAGTCTCCTCCGTATGAAATGAGTGTGTCGAAGAGGTAGCTCAGTGCTCGAGAGCGTACTTCTAGGTCCTCACCAGTCATGAGAACGTCGTGGAAGGCAAACAACACCGGGAACCAAAACTGCTCCTCTTGGGTTTGGCGACTGGGCTGTTTGGGTATTGAAGAACCTTTCTCAGAGTCCTTCAGGAAACCAGCGCGAGCTGACAAGGAGCATTCGGGTGTGCGCAGCATCTTGGGCACAGACGACTTAAGGAGTTCAATGGCTTGCAGAGACTTCTTCTGGAACTTGTAGTTCTTGGAGAACTCCGTGAGACAGACGATGAGATCTGCAAAAGCACCTTGTGAGATTACCACACCAAATCGCGTGTTGTACACCTGAGTCACATTCTCAAATGCAAGGTTGACGATGCCCTCTGTGCTTTGTTAGTAGATTATTCGACATGGAACAGCTGCAACACTTACCATATGGCTCACGCGCGGCTACGGTGAAGACACCAAACATAGTCTTCCATCCGGATCGTATGTTCTCGCCACGCGCTTGTATCATCTGTATCAGACAGCGCAGTACCATGTCTTTGACCGCAACCTGACTGGCATTGTTAATAATATGCTCGAAAGGCTTCAAAAAGTCTTTCTGGAACTTGAAACCCGGAAGCTCTTCAATCTCCATGAACTTCATGGACAATTGTCGTAGAGAATTCAGGGCAAAATAGACGACGTTCGTGTTGGTGTGGCATCCCACTTCATTGAAATGAGCACCCAACACTTGCCAAATATTGGTCCATTCGAAGCGGACACGGGTCATATTGTAGCCGCTGATCTCGACGAGCTTCTGTAGACTGTATGTACGTGGTGACTCGCTTTGACCCGATGACTGAATCTCTTGCCAGCTGACCTGAGTGAGAGCCTTGACGAAGTCGACAATAGCCTCTCCGGATAGATTTGCGCTGTTGGTGAAAATGCGGTCGACGCCCCGGACGACGTCCGCTGAACGGCTCTCTTCAGCCACGTCGGCTGAAAAGTTCATGTTCCCTGCTGAAGAGTTCGGCCGCCTTCGGTTAGCAGGAGTAGTGAGTGTTTTGCGTGACTGTGGTGTTCCTGAAGTTGTTTTAAGAACATCAGGAACAGCTCGCTCGTCAATGCCCGCAGAGATGAGCTGGAAGCGGTCCAACTGCGACACGCATGTCAAGATCTCACGCCACGACTCTCGCAGCAGATTTCCTTCGGTTGAGCCAATCTCAATCAATGTCTTCAAGGCTTCCATATTCTTGGGCCTTCATCTCGCTGAGATTGTAAAGGTTGGTGAACCGTGCCAGGAAAGACACGAATGCTTGTCGTGCACTCTCAAGGTCGAAAAGACATGATATTCGGATTGCTAGCTTGATGCCTTCAATGCATAATCGTACGATTTCAATGTTGTGGTCTTGTGCTTGGCTCGACAATGCCGTAAGAATTGGCATCCATGTGACGTCGAACATGGGCCCAACGTGTTTTGAGGAAGAGGCCGGAATGAACTTGGACACTGGTAGCGTGGTAGCTGTCCGTCTTTGAGACCGCAAAAGCTGCTTGTATAGCTGCTCGGTCTTGTTAGCCATCGCTTCGGAAGCCTGTACAATAGCTTCACGTTGCAGGTCGCGCGCACCGCCGGTCAAGACCTGTCCAATCGTTGCCAAACCTCCGGCTGGTTGCTGTTGGATCAAGCCTTTGTCAGCCGCGGCTTCTTGTTCGGTATTCAGAACAATCTCGTTGTGTGATATCTCCTCATATATGCCGCGCAAGTAGTCCTCTGGCAAATCGGCATTGTCATTTATACCGCGGTTGTTCTTGATGAAGTCTTCTGGTGTCATCCTTGGCCCCTTCATCTTCTTGCTGTGCTGGTCGACGTTCAACATGATGACTGAGTATGAAAGAACGTAGGCCGTGTCTGCGTTGGCGTACGCATTTGGATTCCCGGTGATGTACCTCTCTGCAAACTTCAGCATGAAGCGATCAATCTTCTGGGCTTCTCCAGGTAGACGGAAACTTTGCAGGAAGCGCCTAAGAGCATCTGTAAACTCGGGTCTTGGTGAAGTCCATCAAGTCTACGAAAGCGTGCATGATGGCAATGTTTTCCTGATCACCCTCACCGAGAAATTCTCCCAGTGCTATCTTATCAATCTGCTCGTTGTCAAGCAGAAACTTGGCAATGTCCTCAGGTGCATTTGAAGGAATGAAGCCTTCGGAAATCAAAGTCTTCAAGCCGCGCTTTGGCTTGTAGTTGAATTGGCGGAGCGCATTTGTGAGTGCAATCTTTCTATGCTTGGCTTTCTCGAGCTGGCTGTAGTCGTCCTCGGCAAGTGGGGTCACAGTGCCAGAGTCGATACCTACCATGGGCGACTCCGTGTGGTTACGTGTATCGGTCGATATTCTCAAATCGTCGACAGATGGCCTCAGATCCTGGTTACTGGGCTTTCCGCCCTCAGGCAGAACCTGCTGAGCCCAGTTGACCAGAGACCTGAGAATTTCGACCAATGCCTCGAGCGATTCTTGCTTCATAGCGTACTCTTGGGGGTACGCGTGCTCGGCTTCCTGGGAGTGGCCCATGGATACTGTAGTCAACGAGGGAGGCATTGTTCCTCGGGTCTGCCAATCCATCTGTCTTGCTTGTTTCTCGCGTTGGTCTTGATATGCTTGCTGCTGCATCGGAGTGATTGCGACTTGAGTGCTAGACACCTTGGACAGGTGTTCAACAACACGCTGGTACATGTTATCGAGCGCGGTACGGTCACAGTCATAGTTCAGGTAGACTTCTACCAGCGCCCGAGGATCTGCGGCAAGCCTCCCAAATATGGACAGAACATAGTGCTTTTGGAATGGAGGAGCACTGCGCTTATCCAGCGTGGCCAGATAAATCTCCTTCAGGAACACCTCTACCTCCTTCTTGAGCGAGACTCGCAGATACTTGAGCATCAGCCAGAAAATCTCACAGGCTACCTCGAAGACTTGCTTGACGGAGCTAGCTCCGTTTCTGCTCAGGCTCAGACACAGATACTGCTTGATGGCCTGTATGAAGGTCGTTGGCTCGTCGCCACTCCCACTTCTGATGGTTGCATATGGAGACGCGAAAACAGCAATGTTGTTGAAGAGAATGGTATGGATCATATGCAGCGAGAGCAGCTTGGACCTCATGCCTTGAGACCGTACGTCTTGCGCGTGGTCAACGGACAAGCTCTTGGTGCTAAGCCGGCACATGGCTCGGAAGACAAGGTACGCGTCCTTGACGAAGATCTCGTCTTCCTCATCTTCTTCCGAGTGCACGCTGCCGTTCTGTGCATTTGGCGATGGGTCGTTCCCAGAGACTTGTCTCGAACTAGGTTTGCCCTTTATTCGTGTGACGAGCGTCGGCGCATTGTCGTGTATCCGGTCGTCGTTGAAGCTCATGTTGTTCTCGAAACTTTGTAGCGTGATCTTTGGTCCCACGTGCTGGTCGACTGCTTTGTCGCTTGGTTCGGCAGAGTCGGGGTCCTGCTCCTCTTCTCCGTCCTCGCCGTTGACTTGGGAGCCATCGATGCCCTGTGTGCTGCCCTCGGCTTCTTCCGGGACGCTCTCTTCTGACCTGTCCTTGTCGTTCAACGATACGCGCGAGAGGTTCAACCGCGTCTCCTTGACGGCCAATCTTGCCTTGACACGCTCGAATACCGTGCCAACCATTTGTGTCAGGGCGCCCTGCGCTACCTGCTGGTTGGCACTCGACTTGGATAGAAGGAAAATGTTGTACGTCAGTCGCACCGCCTTCAACAGTCCTGCGCCGTGCACCACAATCTTGTCGTTCAGGATGGCGGCCAACAGCGACTTGACAATCTGCAGCTGCACGTCGGGCTGTGTCGCCTCGCCCTGGAAACAATCGCATATTGTGTCTATTGCGCGCTCGATCAGAGGGGGTGCCTCGGTGTTGTCGGCTTGCGGTTCGGACGGGACGGAGAAGTACGAGTAGCTGATGAGCTTGCCGATGCAGTCGAGCGCGGTGATGGAGATGGGGACGTTGGGTGCCTCGGAGGCAAGCTGCAGCGGGGCGAAGAGGATCTCGGGGTTGATGCGCGCCGGGTCGCCCTCTGCCCTGATGGCAGCCAGCGCAGCACTGGTCGCATCGCCGAGCTTCTTGTTCTTCTTCGCATCCTTGGACGCGGAGATTGTCTCGAGTGCGGTGATGACAAAGACGAGGGAGCTGCGGGTCGAGGCTCGTGTTGCTGTAGTGGCTGCTGTGGACTGCGAGTCGGTTCGCGGCCGGTTGACGGATGTGCGGTGGTCGAACATCTGCTCCGAGGTTCGGGGCGCGTCGGAGCCATTGGGTATGTTTAGGGTGGGTGTCGATGGTGTAGGCGGCGGGGGCATGTCTGTCTGGTTCTCTGGTGCCTGTGGTGCCTGTGGTGCCTGTGGCGCTGGGGGAGCACTCGCACTCTCTTCGGCGGCCTCGGATGCCTGCTCGGACGCGGTATTCGCATTGCTGTCCTCGTCCTCTGACGACGGCGACGCTGGCTCTGCATGTTCCTCCGAGTCCACCGGCTTCTCTGTGACCTCCTGCGGCTTCGGCGGGGCCTCGGTGTCGGCCATGGTGGGCGTGGTGGGCGTGGTGGGCGTGGTGGGCGTCTACAAGCTCTCTGGATATATTTCTGGGAGCACCGTTCAGCGACTGGCGGGGCCTTGCTCAGCAACCATTGCGGAAGGAGCAGCACGGAAAAGAGAAGGTGCGTCGGGGTCCCAATGTGCTGGAGCACTACAAGCAGCCAAGCAGGTAGCAGGTGAAAGCAAATAAAAGGCTCGTCCAGCTCGTGCCTGGAGATGACAAAGTGTCTTCGTACTTCGCAGCAGCCTCCTTACTCGTTGAGGTAACGTTACGTACCCTGGCGGCCGGCTTGCATGCGCTGCTGTGGCGCCGACTGTGGCGCCGACTGTGGCGCCGACTGTGGCTGGTGCGGCTCCCCTGCCTAGCACCGACGCCAGGACCCTTCGGTGAGTGACACGCCGGGCGGATCTCTCCAACAGCTCTGCTGGGCTAAACTTTTCTGTTGAGCGACAACTCTGCCATCACTTCTCGTCCCGACAGCTTCGCGTCCGAGCGTGTTCTGCTCCCAATCACTGCCAGCAGCTCGCCGCTTCCCGTCCACAGGTCGCGCCTTCTCTCCGTGCCCGTCACCCCCGAGTAAAATTCAGCGCATCCCGACACAATGCCTGCCACCACCACGCTCCTCGCCCGCGCCGGCTCGCAACTGAGCTCGCGGGGCTCAATTGCGCTGCGAGGTGCTCTGCCCGCCTCAAGATGCCCCGAGTTTGCTGCGTATGTTGCTCGCCGCCCGTCCGATGGAGCTGTGCTGACGCCATCTACAGACGCCGCGCCCCAGCGCTGGCTGCCCTCGCCCGCTACTATGCCTCCAAGTGTAAGCAGAGACGATGCACGCAGTCCTGGCCGCACATGCACAAGACTGACACAGCTCCGCCACAGCCTACCCCTCGCACACGGTCATCAGCATGCCCGCCCTCTCCCCAGAGCCATGACCGCCGGAAACATTGGCACCTGGCAGAAGAAGGCCGGAGACTCGATAGCTCCCGGTGATGTGCTTGTCGAGATCGAGACGGACAAGGCCCAGATGGACTTTGAGTTCCAGGAGGACGGCACCCTCGCCAAGGTCCTCCGCGACTCGGGCGAGAAGGACGTCGCAGTCGGAAGCGTAAGTCACTCTTTTCTGCATCGACAGTGGTCAAGTTGGAACAAGAAGAAGACGACACAAGGGCTAACACTTCCCAGCCCATCGCCGTAATGGTCGAAGAGGGTGAGGACGTCTCGGCGTTCGAGTCCTTCACCATCGAGGACGCTGGAGGCGACAAGACGCCCGCGACTCCCTCCAAGAAGGGCGAGGCCTCCGAGGCCAGCGAGCCCGCCGACTCTGGCTCCAAGACTGCTCCTCCCGCCAAGGAGGAGTCTGCCCCCGCTTCCATCGAGTCCGACTCTACCGGTGACCGTCTGCAGACAGCCCTCCAGCGCCAGCCATCCGTCTCCCCCGCCGTCAAGAAGCTCGCGCTCGAGAAGGGTGTCCCGATTGGCTCCATCAAGGGCACCGGAAAAGGTGGCCAGATCACCAAGGAGGACATTGAGAAGTACAAGCCCACCGGTGGCGCCCCCGCGACTGGCGGTGCCTCCGCCGCTGCTTCCTACGAGGACACCGAAGCCACCAGCATGCGCAAGGTCATCGCCAGCCGTCTGACCGAGAGCATGCAGCAGAACCCCCACTACTTCGTCGCCTCCAGCATCTCCGTCTCCAAGCTGCTCAAGCTCCGCGAAGCCCTCAACGCCTCCGCTGACGGCAAGTACAAGCTTTCCGTGAACGACCTCCTCGTCAAGGCTCTCGGTGTCGCTGCCCGCAAGGTCCCTGCCGCCAACTCATCATGGCGCGAGGACGGCGGAAAGGTCATCATCCGCCAGCACAACGTCGTCGATGTCTCCGTCGCTGTTTCTACACCCATCGGACTCATGACCCCCATTGTCAAGAACGTCAACGGTCTCGGTCTTCAGTCCATCTCATCACAGATCAAGGACCTGGGCAAGCGCGCACGGGACGGCAAGCTGAAGCCTGAGGAGTACCAGGGCGGAACCATCACCATCTCCAACATGGGCATGAACTCGGCCGTCGAACGCTTCACCGCCGTCATCAACCCTCCCCAGGCCTGCATCGTCGCTATCGGCACAACAAAGAAGGTCGCAGTACCCGGCGAGCCCTCAGAAGACGGCTCTTCAAGCATCGAGTGGGATGACCAGATCGTCATCACTGGCAGCTTCGACCACAAGGTTGTTGACGGCGCAGTTGGCGGTGAGTTCATGAAGGAGCTCAAGAAGGCCATCGAGAACCCATTGGAACTCTTGCTATAATTTTGAGACGCATTGCATGGGATATGTATCTTTACGTTTGGGCCTTGTTGAGGGGAGGATTTGTAAGGTCCACGGACCTTTTGTACAATGAATTTCAGCCTTCACCATTTCCTTGTTATATCCTCCACTTTATAGACTATTTGACATGTTCCCAAAAAGCCGCCAGCATCCCATGGTGACATTGGTGAACATGCGTGACTTCGAACCGACGGAAATACAGACCCGGTTCTGTGGCAAACCGTATTATTGTATGGTGCCGACACAGTGGTATGTGGTGGGACATGCCAGGATATCTATGCAGGTGGAAATAGGGATACGCGTGTGACATCCTTCTCGGACGAATAAACTCAAGACACCAAACGTGCCTCGTTTAGCCCCACATTGCTTGATCTATGTGTGGTTAATATGCACTCCACACGAGCGGACTGAAGGCATGTCAGCTTGAAAGGTAGTATCAACGCTGATAAGTATAAAAAGAAGCGCACAAGACGATTCGATGCGCTTCCTTCACAATCCACGGAGACCGAAGCCGCAATGGGAGCTTCCACGCTCATCACACTGTTTCTTTTGACAAGAGTCTTCGCAGTCGATTTCGACTGGGAACGTGAGCAGCTCACGGAAGATGAAGCACTCACTAACAAAGCTTACTGTTTCGGATCTGCAAATGCTGCTCCCACCGAGGAGTGCAGAAGTATTCCTGGAGACGGCGACTGGCCCTGTGTTGAGGACTGGAGTGCTTTCAACAAGACTTTGGGCGGCGTCCTGCTGAAACCTAGGCCACTTGCGAGCGTCTGTTATACAGGAGAAGACTACAATGAACAGAAGTGTGCGCAATTGAAGCAGAGCTGGGCTAGAATGAATTTACAGTGAGCCAGTCATATTTGACCTCTTTCCTTACAACTAAGCTTACATTACAAAGCACCGAAGACCCAACAAGTATCATGTCTCAATGGGCATCAGGAAACAGCTGTACACCAACATCGCAGCCAAATTCTACTTGCACCCAAGGAGGCTGGCCAGTGTACGTCGTCAACGCAAAGACGGTTCGCCATATACAGCTCGCAGTCAACTTTGCACGGAACCACAACATCCGCCTCGTGATCAAGAACTCCGGACACGACTTCAACGGCAAGAGTATCGGTGGGAATTCGCTGAGTATATGGACACAGAGTCTCAAGGGCATGACGTACGAAGCAGAGTATACTTCGCCAATGGGCGAGTATACGGGGAGAGCTATCAAGTACTCCGCAGGTACCCAAGCTTATGAAGGGAGTGCGTTGATGAGCCAGAAGAACATGAGCATGATTGTCGCTGGTGGAAGCACGGTGGGTATCGCAGGTGGTTTTCTGCAGGGTGGAGGACATAGTAGTTTTACCAGCTACTATGGCCTTGCCGCAGATAATGTGCTCGCAATGACGGCAGTCATTGCAGATGGCAGGATTGTGGAGATGCATAATGGACTGAATGAAGACCTCTTCTGGGCGTTCAGAGGCGGTGGCGGCGGTATGTCATAATCATCACCTAAGCATCATGATCACTGACAGTCTTTGTAGGCACCTTCGGCATTGTGACCTCCGTTGTCGTCAAGGCCTTTCCTAAAACTCCTGTAGTCACAGGAAACATCCGCTTCTCTACAAAACCAGATCGTGGCTCCAACAATTCCATCTCAACAGAGACATTTTGGGCCGGCATGAAGGCGTACTGGACCCAGGCAACTTCCATCTGCGACGCCGGCGGCTTAGGCTACAGCTTCATCTACCCCGAAGGAAGTCCTCAAGGCTTAACCTTCACCGTCCGCATATCCTTACCCAACAAATCACTCGCCCAATACCGCACCTTCATCCAACCTCTCCTCTCAGACCTAAACACGCTCGGTGTCAAAATCCCCGATCCCACCCTCAAGCGCTCCTACGCCCACAACCACAATCCCTACCCACCACACACCACCTATCCGAAAAGAGCCATCGGCGAAACAACAGGCCACACCCTCCTCGCATCCCGCTTCTTCCCCCGCACCTCCTTCACCCCCCTCCTCCCTCCCCCAAACCCACCTCGCAATCCGACACCTCATCGAAGCAGGAAATTACACCTTCCACGGCATGAACTACTCCCCCTTACTCACGCTAACCAACACCTCCAACGCCGTAAACCCCGCCTTCCGCACAACCGTCCTGCACGCCCAAGCCTACGAGTCCAACGCGCACTGGGACGGTTCTGCGCCAATCCTATCACACGCAGAATTAACTTCTACACACAGTAGATTGCAGCGATATATGCAGGGCTGGAGGGATGTTACGCCGGGGAGTGGGAGTTATATTAACGAGGGGGATGCGCAGGATTGGGAGTGGAAGGACGCGTTCTACGGGGCGAATTATGAGAGGTTGATGGCGGTGAAGGGGAGGTGGGATCCGGAGGGCGTGTTTTGGGCGGTCGGGGCGGTGGGGAGTGAGCGGTGGGAGATTCGGGATGGAGATGGGGGGAGGAGGAACGGGTTGGTAGTGCAGGATGGGAGGCTTTGTAGGGTTTGGGAATAAAGGGTGGAGGATAGGTTTGCTGGGAAATGGGTTGGCGGTCGGAGGTGCGTGAAGTTGGGCAATTATGCAGATACGAGTGTGATGTGTTCAGGGAAGGCACTGTGGATTACAACATAATTTTCTGACTTGAACGTCCACCAAAGGTTTAGGCTTAATGCATCCAGTACTACCTGTTCTATCAATGCCGTGTAACAAGAAAATATCGATAGAAATGGTAACCCTAGCAGCTCACACCATCAGTCCTGTACGACACCTAACACTGTGGCGATCGCGCTTCAACTTGTTCGGATTTGCTCTTCCTCAAGAATCCAGCCCAATCAGCTTTCTCCCCAAGCTTGTCCACGCCAATCACTCCATCCCCTTCAGTCCACCCCTCCCACTTCTCCAGCCCAAAGAGATGCCTCATCGTAGGGCGACCATGCGGACAACTCCACGGCTTGTCCATGCTGCCCATGTGTCTCACAATCTCCCTCATACGCGCAGTCTTCAGTGTCTTGCCTATCATGACAGAGCTCCTGCAAGCGCGACTAGCGAGCAGTTTTCGAACCTTACTAGGGCGCGGAATATGTGTTGACGTCGCCATGGTAGACGAGGGAGGATTGTCAAGAATGAGTGCCAGGAGTTCTTCGAGATCCGTGGGCGTGAATGTGACTTCCTTCGACATGGGGAGTGATATGAGTTTGGCGCGGTGCCCGGAGTCGAGATCATCTGCTGTATCCATTTCGACGACGAATCCATTAGCTGTAAGGGCATGCTCGTTGGCAAGTATGATTTCCTCCTCAACGGCTGTTAATTCAAGGGGGTGTGGATGCACGAGACGCTGCGAGACCAAGGTTGTCGTAGCCGAGAGGCGCTCGAAGTTGTACTTTTCGTCGCTGGCATGCTGATCGATGATGAACAAATCGGATGTGGGTGAGGTCGTGGTGGGAGGCCGAACGGCGATGATGAAACCCAGGTTGAACTGCCCGATTATGCGCATTTCATTAAAGTCAGGCTTCGTCACTGTGAGACTGAGACGTTCCTCGGGGTCTTCTTTGTTAAGCTGGGTGCTAGTTGGCAGGACTGTTGCTTCCAAGTTGCTCGCTGAAGCGTCAATGAGGGATTCAAGATTCCGTAGATGACGGGTGATTGAGCCCACATCCGTTTCAATGACTCGCTCGAGATTTAGAGTCTGATACTTCTTGGGCGACACCTTGAACAGTTTAGTTGCGCGCTTCAGATTCGCCTCAGTAGGTCTAGCAGCAGCTTCCTCAGCCTCAGCGACTAGCTTTTCGACCATGGCTTCCTCGCGCCGCTTCTTCTCGTCTTCGTCAACATATTCATCGTCTGATTCATTAAGGTCTGCAGCTACCATCGGCTCTGCTTCGACGTCGATTTCTTCGTCTTCGACTACCTTGTCTTCCGGCCGATGTAATGGCGGAGGAGCGCTCGATGAAATAGCTAGATCATCTGCTATGGGCTCTTCAAAAGCTTTTGACGGCAATCGCTTCCGAGGCGACGGTGAGCGTGCTGGCGCATCGGGCATGCTACTATCCTCGCCTTCTTCTACCTCGCCATGGCTACTTTCAGCTTGTGTACCAGGCGCCGCGTACCCACGTAAGGTTTCGACAAACAGTGGCTGTTTTGGATTCTGATCAAGTGGTTTGCCAGACAGAGAGAACTTCGGCGTATGGATCCTCGCTCGCTTGGCTGATCTTGATTGACCTCCAGAACCAATAGTTGAGATCGTCGTCACATCCCCAATCGTAATTGTGGCCTTTTGGGACGGCGTACGCATGGGGCGCATGCGATCGAACGCGTTTTGTATAGCACTCTGGGACAGCGTCGTTTGTAGTGTCTGCTTGATGGACGGGATCGGCTCTTCCGACTCTTCGTGCTCTGCTGACGCCCGGTCTCGCTGTGTCGGTCGGTTGTGTTGAGATGCCATACGCGCATTGAAGTCCTGGACCGCTTTCGATTGCTGTGCTGAACGAATAGGGACAGGAGATGCATTCGCATCCGGCTCGAACAGCGGAGACTGTGACCTTGGAGGAGGTGAGGTGGGAGACGTGACTTGCTCCTGCTCTGGCATTGCATTGCGTTGGTGGACTACTGAATGAAACACCCGCTCTTCTGTTGTTTTGTCACTTTCCGGAGAGCTATCTCGCCTTGTTCTAGGAACAGGACGAGCACGCCTATCCTCAGCGTCTCTCCCGACAAATTGCTCAATGAGACTGGCTTTGACAAACCCAGGGAGAGGGGCTGCACCGATAGCATCCTTGGAAGTGGGGATGCTGGGCTCAACTGGGCGAATTATGGGTACTGCAGCTGGTTCCTCGGAGTCGCTACGCTCGTCGACCATGAGTGTGGCCGTACTTTCTCGTGGCACAAGTGTAGGTGTCTTGAACGCAGACGCTGGTGTCTTCTTCACCGAAAGTTGAGCCTGAGGCACACTTTGATCATGCCCCTCGAAAAGATCTAGCAATGCTTCTTTGAGGCTCTCTAGTAGGACGACCTGATCGTGCAGCATGATTGTCCTCTTGTCTGGGCTGACGTTCACGTCATATGCATTGGTGTCAAGCTGAATGTCCGCGAAAATAAATGGCGACTGCGTGATGTTGTACGACTTGTACACTTCATTGATCGCTTTAGCAACCTGAGGCAAGTTGCATGGCCGAGAGTTGACGAAGAACATTTGCCGGTCAGGAGTCAGACGACCCTCGCCCACCACCGGACGTGAAATATGGCCAACTAGCTTCACAGTGCGCGAGCCGGGGTCCTCCTGTGTGCTCCAATTGCGCGCAGTCTGTGTCGAACCAGGTCGATTGGACGCGTCCATTTCGAATTCGAGATTGAGGGGAATCAGCGCGCTGATCGTCTTCGCGCCGTACACATTAGAGATGTTGTCTCTGGTGCTCGCATTCGAGTTGGTAGAAAATGCTATGGTCTTCTTTCTGGAATCTGTCAGCCGCTGCGATCGTATGTCATGCATCTTTCTGCTTTACCCTTTCGGCACAAGGTTGCTCACTGTGAACTTCACGCCCACACTGATACACGCATACGCGTTGAGCAGCTGTAATACCTTGTTGTACTCGCGCTTGATGTTCTTCTCGAGCTCCTTCCGCCTTACGGGGAGGTTGTAGAATAGTGTCTCCACCACTACAGTGGTTCCCTGCTTGGCCGCTACAACAGACGTACCCTTCAGCTTTCCCGACTGCTCAAACTCCAGCTTGGTGCCTTTCGATCCATCCGTAGGTCTGGCGGTGATGATGTGGAAGTTTGAGAGGGCGCATAACGACGACAGTGCCTCGCCACGGAAGCCAAAGGTCTGCAACGAGGAGAGATCGTCATACGAGGAGAGCTTCGATGTGTAGTGCTTCAGCGCGATTGTTTCGTAGTCGTCAGGAGATATGCCGCCACCGTTGTCCTGCACTTCGATAGCATCAAGACCGTTGTTCTTAAATCGGACCTCTGCATCGCACGTCAGTCTTCGCCCACCAACGACGCCTGTGCGGGGCGAAAGTGCATACCGACCGTAGTGGCGCCTGCATCGATGCTGTTCTCAACGAGTTCTTTGCAAACCGACTGCAAGTCAACGATGACCTGCCCTGACTGGATCTGGTGCACGGAACGGCCCTCAATGGGCTTGATCGAGGCCATGTCATTCCATGTCCATGTCGTCCATGCCTCGAAAAGCACAGAGTGACAGGTGACTGCGTGCTACCGAGACGCGACGCGTTCAAAGCGGGGCGCGCTAAGACTGCGGGCAGGCCCCGTACCAGTACCATATACACTCAGTTTTATCGAGACGCATGCACAATGTCATCCCCTATGTCTCTGTCAGACGTTGCAGGCGGCGATTTTCTATCAGATGATTCGATGGACACAGAGGAGTTTGAGCAGCAGTTTACCAGGGTCACTTCTCCTGAATTAGATGCTGACCACACTCCGGCTACGATGGAGCAACTATGCGCTTTGGAAAGAGAGCTTCGTGAAAAACGGCGCAGGTATGATCCATCCACTATCTCTTTACATGTATCAATCCTCAGACGCCTCGAATCCAAGTTAACAGGCGAAAGAGTCTTGCAGTTACGACATGAATATGAGCAAGCTGTCCAAGATGAGCAGTCTCTCGCATCCGCGATTGAAGATGATCTGGCATTTCATGGCGCTTCAGAATGTCTCGAATTAACTGAGATGATGTGCGACATATTGCCCGTTGAGCTGCGCGAGATGATTTACCGATTTCTGTGTATCGAGGAGCAGCTCATACCTGTCGGACCATACTTTCATTTCAGGCCCTACTCAGAATATAGGCCACTTGATGGTCTGGCTTCTGCTCTGTCCAGCGGCCGAGACCAGATTGATCATACTGAGAAACCAGACCCTACCATCTTGATGCCGGACAGCCACATATTCAACTACAAGTACGTGGGCCTTGCTGTTGCTGCTGAGATGCAGGCAGCGTATTTCGCCAACAACACATTCTCCATATGCGATGTCGAAGACGGTATTGCTGAGTTCTTCCAAGGTGTCATCTCCCTAGATGCAGGTGGGGCAATAGGCATCCTCAACATGCCTGGAGATACGTCTGCGATGAGCCACATGCGCATGTCAGTCAGAGCCTTCAAACTCGTTCGCAAGTTACAAATTCGCCTCAAGCTTGAACACTTTGGACAAGCTGCAGATGCACGGGACCTTCCGCCAGGCCCTATTGGTATACGCGAGAGATATGCCGAGGAACGCAACTTTCTTCGGCAATCTAAGAATGCTTTGCACAAGTTGCAGTCTCTACCGCGGGGCCGTCAGCCATTGCAGCTTGAGTTCATCATCATGACAGACCTATCAGATATCCTACGCGTCGAGGATCGCGAGCGCTGCTTCATCAACATCCTTGAGGCATACAGAAACATGTTTTATGCCATAAAGTATGACCATGAGAATGCCATCATCACTGTAGTACATCATGACGAAAGTGTATCGCCATTTCCGCGAACGTTGTCTGCTTTGTGGAGTTTGACAAAAGAGCAATGGGAACATGTAAGCATATCTCTAGCTGGTTCTCAGGCCCTTTTACGCCATGATGTATCTGTAGCGATTTTCTAACTTGCACCCCAGGAAAAGGCACTGAACCATGGAAAGTCAACCTGGACCGCGGATTTTTACCTCGCACCGGCACTCCTCGATGCCTCAGAAGGGTATGGCGGGTTCCCTGCGTCCGAACAAGCAGCCCTACTCCGGGAAAGATGGGGTATCGAAAACGTGCTTCGCGATAGGGAGCCCAAATTGCCAATAATTGAGGGTAGGTACTGGCCTGTTGGAAATGGTCCGCCTGGTTGGATGTAGAGGTCGTGTGGTTGTCCGAATAGATGCGTACCATGGTTCCATCTACTGATGTAGTCGAAATTTTGAGAAAGGCTACGACCTCACTCTTCCATGGTTCCAGCGTTCAACATGAGCGAATTCTATCAAGAAGGGATAAATCTGTTACTCTCTCAAGGTATTCTCTACGTTATCTCCTCATATCCAAATCACGCTTCAGAAAGCCATATCCTCTTCGAGCTTCTCACGTCTCTTTCTCCGAGCGCGTTCTTGCAACCATACACCTTCACTCCAAGACGGCTTTCTTGAAGGCACTTTGCCGTCGCACCATAGAGTATCACGAATGCTCCTTCAGCCGGCAATCATCACCAAGTTTAGATACCATGCACTACCAAAAGCCAGGAATGACACCTACTGTCGTCGCTGGAATTCGAGACAGTATAGAACTTTGGCGTCCAATTTACGACCAGAAGAAAGATGTTAAGCCTGAGCAGAAGAAAGGTAGAAAGTCCAAGCGGAACCCTTTCAAAGCCGTTAGGAACTGGACTCGAGACAGATATTACGCTGCGCTATGGAGGTGGATGGGCAATGATTGGATGGATTAAGATGGGTCTGTGGCCGTTCGCTACCACAGAGAAGAATGTCCTTCCAGAGTGGTAGCGCATTCTGCACAGTATTCGGGCATCACGTGGCGTTAAGCGGAGTTTCCAACATTTTTGTTGTTGTCCAAGCAGCTGATGGGAAAGCTGTTCCACCGTTGAAGAACAAGCATGTTGTAAGCGCGATCTGCAGGGGAATCTCTGAACCTATCACAGCCGGCAGAGTACGTAGCAACGAATACCATGTCGCATTGCTAAATTGTGTGGCTTATCATGCATCCTGCAGCGATGCAAAATAGTACTAGTCTCCGCCTACACAAACAGGACCGGGTGAAGATGTTCGGGCTATACAACCATCAAGTATTGTAAAAAGATTTTGGTGTTCCATGTTCGCAGATGCTGCATGGCGTACGGGAAAACACGCCGATTGGTCAGGTTCCTGCATCGATGCAAGACATGCGAGGTGCCGGCGGGTGTTAGAACTTTGATTGCTACTTCGTACTTTTCCTTCTCGTACACGCACAGAGCGTTTGCGCATACCTCGCCGCCATCAGCTCACCCCGTGCCGTGTTCGTGTCATCTGTCCGTGATGACCACACTCAATCTGCCCGGATGGCAAGAAGCCGCCAGTCCCGGGCGCCAAGAAGTCGGCGACTAGTCCACTAGTCGTTACTGCGCTACCGAAAGTGCATCGAGTCAATCACATCACTTCAGGGCTTGCAGTGGGCCCATGCTCCGCCGAGATAATTAAACATCGACCCTTTTCCCTATATCCGTGTCCGAGTTTGTCACCAGCACTGAAATATTAGTTTCCAGGCCGGCTGTCCTACAAAAGCCTTTTCTGCGACTTTTGCGCGCTTTCAGACTTACCAACAACCATCGCGCCGCGTTGCCTCAACAATTCAAGATGGCTGTCAACGCCAGCTTTGTTTCGCCTACAGCGGATGCCAAAGTCACCCACATGATGACACAGCTCGACGGCAACAGCATACTCTCGACCATCTACAATGGCCTCAGCGTCTGGAGTGTGCTGTTCACAGTTCTCGCCGTAGCAGTGGCGTATGACCAGTGTATGGACCATGCTACTCAATGCGCCGGGTTCCGCTAACAGTCGCGCAGTCATGTACGTCTACAGGAAAGGCTCTATCGTAGGCCCTGCGTGGAAGGCGCCTTTCATTGGACCATTCCTCGAGTCTGTCAACCCCGACTTTACCAAGTACCACGCAAAATGGGCATCAGGTCCCCTGAGTTGCGTCTCAGTATTCCACAAGTATGCGCCCCCGCTCACAATTTCTGATATGTAACTTCATTGCTAATGCAGTTCTTAGATTCGTAGTCATTGGATCCACGCGCGACATGGCCCGCAAAATTTTCAACTCGCCTGCGTTCGTCAAGCCGTGTGTTGTCGACGCCGCTTACAAGCTCCTCCGTCCCGAAAACTGGGTCTTCCTCGATGGCCGCGCACATGTAGAATACCGTAAGGGTCTTAACAGCCTCTTCACCCGTCAGGCCCTCGAACAGTACCTGCCAGGCCAGGAGGAGATCTACAACAGCTACTTCAAGCGCTGGGTCGAGATCTCGCAGGTGGAGAACAAGGGCGAGCACGTTCCGTGGATGCAGGAGTTCCGTCAATTGATCACCGCTGTCAGCTGCAGAACCTTTGTTGGCCACTACTGCTCAGACGAGGCCGTGAAGAAGATCGCTGATGACTACTATCTGATTACTGCCGCGCTTGAGCTGGTCAACTTCCCCATCATCTTGCCCTTCACCAAGAGCTGGTACGGAAAGAAATCGGCCGACATGGTTCTTGAGGAGTTCTCCAAGTGCGCCGCCAAGGCCAAGGTCCGCATGGCTGCCGGTGGCAAGAAGGAGTGCATCCTTGACTTCTGGGTTGACAACATGATTGAATCCGAAAAGTACCGCAAGAGGATCGAGGCGGGCGAGAAGGTCGACCAGTCTGAAAAGCCTGCCACTGTCATCCGCTGGTTCAGCGACATCGAGATCTCCATGACCATCTTCACCTTCCTTTTCGCCTCGCAGGACGCCACCTCCTCTGCCGCCACTTGGCTCTTCCAGATCATGGCCGACCGACCAGAGTTTCTTGACAAGGTTCGCGAGGAGAACATCCAGGCCAGGAATGGTGACATCCACGCCCCTATATCTCTCGATGCTATCGAGAAGCTTCAATGGACTCGCGCTGTGGTCAAGGAGACCCTCCGCTACCGCCCTCCAGTCATCATGGTTCCCTACCTCGCCAAGAAGGATTTCCCTGTGACACCCGAGTACACTGTGCCCAAGGGTTCCATGATCATTCCCACTACCTACATGGCATTGCACGACGCTGAAGCATATCCCAACCCCGACTCTTTCGAGCCCGAGCGATGGATTACTGGTACTGCTGACCAGCAGACTAAGAACTGGCTTGTGTTCGGTACCGGACCCCACTACTGTCTGGGCCAGACATATGCACAGGCGAACCTGATGCTTATGATCGGCAAGGCCAGTATGTTGCTGGACTGGAATCACAAGGTCACCGACAAGAGCGAGGTGATAAAGGTTTTTGCCACCATCTTCCCCATGGTAAGCTTTTCAACTCGTTTGATACTACCTGAACATTTGCTAACACTTCCCAGGATGACTGCTTCCTCACATTCAAGGACCGAACGTCATAGAGCACCCGATTGTTCACTTCTTCTTTCTTGATGCAAATGCGCGGCGTTTAGCGATTCTTGCATCCACATCTTAGATAAATTCTTGGAGTTCAAAATTTTCCGTGCTTCTTCTCATCGAAAGGGGCACGTTTATCTTCACCTTTTAAAATTAATTATAGGATTGGCGGCTTCACAGGAAGCTGCCCGTGGTCTGAGATCATATGGATCTGGACAGGATAGCAAGCCCACTGTGGGCGGTGACGATAAACGCATCGGGGCTGGGGTAGTAATGTTAGGATGAATGGGAATTTCTAAACGACGACAACTGATTGCCGAATCTTTGAAATCTTGTGACGTGTCTGAAATGAGTAGATGTCGAACAAGCTCCACCTTTGGTTCCCTGACCACTCGCCAAGCCTTTGATCAGGAGCTATGACCACTCAACTTTTGGAAGTCGCGATTCTCCACACTCCACAACCCGACACACCTCACCTCCACGCGCAGCACTGCACTACCACAGCTTTCAGTTTCCAGGGCTGCGCTAATTACATGCAACTAGCTTTCTAGGTCAAAGCGGGATCTCGAACAGAGTCCACCGCTACCCAGTAGTCAGCGCTCTTCAACTGCTCGCACCTCGCACTGCGCGACAACCATTATGGCGCCCGTCCCTTCTCCCACCGACCGCGACCGTGAGCGCGTTGGTCCGCATCCATCGTATATCGAGATTGCCAAGCCCTACATTTTGCAGTCTAGGATACACAAATGTCTTTCAGATATCAACATGAGCGACGCCAAAGAGGACATTGTACGCTTGCAGGGTGTAGCTTGGATTGACCAAGTGCGTCGTGCGCTTCAACTGCCCATCCGCACATTCAACACGGCTGTCACATATTACCATAAGTTCAGGCTGCTCCATTCGGACAACGAGTACAACTGGGCAGACGCAAGTGCCGCGGCACTCTTTACAGCATGCAAGATTGAAGATACCCTCAAGAAGAGTAGAGAGATTCTCTGCGCTCATTGGAACCTGAAAGTCGGACCCGGGGAGAGCTTGAGTAGCGACGATCCGGTATGCATGTAGTCTGGAAATGACCGTACCCAGCTAATGACGAGCAGCGATTTGATAATCACTCCAAGCTCATCATTGGCCTCGAACGCCTCATGCTCGAAAGCGCCAGCTTCGATTTTCGGAATCGATACCCTCAGAAACTTATGGTCAAGCTTGCACGAGCACTCAAGATGGACAAGAACAACGCTTCCAAGACGGCTTGGAACTTGAGCATAGATCTCTACAGGACATTTGCACCATTGAAGCAATCTGCACCAACCATGGCTATTGCATGTATAGAGCTTGCGGCGCGTTTGCATGACATGGACACAACTCGCATCTCTAATACAGGCATAACGAGATACAACAAATGGGCTACCAGCAGAGCTGAAGTTATGGAGACCCTTCTGGACCTTCTGGACCTTTATACCCACCATCGCGGCCTGACGTCTGTTGGACCCTTGTACACACTTGAGACTTTTATCGATATTCGCATCGGACTCAACCAAGAGGCCTCTGCAGCCAATATACCCCGTTACGCTCAGTACGCTTCTGAAGCTGCGGCTGACGGCCAGCTTGGTATCAACGGACTCAAGCCACGCAATGGTATCGATCCTACGAGCCCTCTAACACCTGCTACACCAGGAACTGCATCTCCAGGCAATGCCCAAGCACCAACTTCAGCCATTGGTATTCGCGGACAAAACGGCACTGTTCGATTCATGCTCGACGCAGCCCGCGCCCGCGACGAACGCAATGAAGTCGACCGGTTTCACAAGATTGAAGAGGAAGAATACGAAGTCGAAGTGCCAATCGAGATTCGGCCTGAGGATAGGGACAAGAGAAGCAGAGTGCGTTAAGTAAAAAATGTGTTTTGCGTTGAATTTCTACTTGCTTGCTTCGCGTTCACTGGACATCTGGCCACTTCCGGAACTTAACTAAACCTTATTACCAGGACCATCAAGACCATCAGGACTTCCAATGGCAATCGGACGACGGCCTGGACCATACAGGGGACCCCGCTCCATTGGCACCTGTGGATCGTGGCACTCGAAGTTCCTACAGGGAGAGATTTCGTAAGCGCAGCGAAGCACCGGAGAAAACTACTCATCAAAACCCATCGAGACACTATGGAGACTACAGCGACAAAATCAACTACTTTGGGGAGCTCACCGCTGATAGTAGGAATGCACCACAACGAGCCACTGTTCACCAGCATGCTTTGGACGAACACGTAGACTCGGCGGCGCCTATCGAGTTGCGCAAGGATCAGACGCTATGGAAAAAAAGTTCTCGGAAAGGTCGGGAAAAGCAAAAGGCCAAGACACAAGCCCGTCTCAGTAATGCTCCAAGTAAGTTTCGGCAGCCCGACTGTGACAGAGGTCTCGGTCGGTCTTCTCCATACGCTCCCGAAGGTCCCGAAGGAGTGCTCACGTCTTGGGCCACCGAAACTGGTCATTGGGAAAACGGCCCGAGCCTACAAAGGCAGTCGGCTAATGTTTTCAACGACTTCGATTTTGATCATGGCCGCGCCGGTGAACCCGCTCATGGTCGAGGCCGCGGATCTACTGGGCATAGCCGCCGCGGTAGTCTGAAAAAGGGGCGTGGTGACTTCGTGCAGGACGCCAGCTATGATCAAGTTCCGCGTAGGCCTTCTCATTCATCATATGGTGGAACTAATGCTGGATATAGCCCTCACTATGGTCCATACAGTCCACTTTATCAGTATAGCGAGGGACAATACCCCCAACGTCCCGATAGTCCATTCCGAGAACATAGAATCGATCAAGACTATGGACACGGTCCCGGGAGCGTGACGGATAGGCGAGATGGTTTCGTACGAGAACCAAGCCTTGACTACGATTCACGTAGGCCATCTACTTCCTTCTACGACGACCATGGTACCGAACATCAAACTTGTCAAGATGCGCATCACACCCCACATCGCGACTCAAGAGTCAGTCACGACTCCAATCGCAATGGCAAGCGCGAAGCCATGCCATATGCCACCCGTTTGAGCAATTTTCGCAAGCAGCAGCAACGCACACCCACGAATAAAAAGATGATCAAGCAGTCTAAGCCGTATCGTCGCCCTGAGCAGGCTGTGCAAAGCCGCGATGCAGCTCACGGCGGATTCCCGAAGCGTACTGCAAGCCGCGGACTTGCTCAAGATACGTCAGATTTCGCGCATCCAGATCGAGCATGGTTGTGGTCTCCGGATGAGAAACGCATGCAAGAGAATGGTGGCAGGCCTTCCGCCCACCCCGACTCTTTTTCGATTGAGACGAAGGAGGCAAATAATCATACAAGACAGTCACGCCGACGCCCAACTCCTGTGCGCACACCAGAAGGTCAAACCAGACTGGTATCGCCATCAAATGGCCAGGACTACAGCACTGGTCCAACCCAAGCACCCCAGTCCCGTGGAACAAGTAAAGGTCTCTCAGCGGAAGATGGGCATCAGTGGGCGCGAGGGAGATCTGACGACCAGTCGCGTAGAGGCGGACGTAGATGTGGAAAGGAACGACATTTGAAGCGCAACTACCAAGGTGGGGGTCTTGGCCGCCGCGGTCGCTCCTGAGCGTCTGTATGCTCCACTGGAGAAGGCAGAGAAGCACAGCAGAAACCACCTAGTAGTCGATCCGATGTTCTGAAGCTATTTACAGTTTTGCTAGTTCCGAATGCGTCGGCAACGTCCTAGCTATTCCATGTAGCTGATATCCTGCAGTAGAGGGATATGAAAATGATGTCACGTCACGTGTTTTCGCGTCGTCCGATTTCCGTCTTGCATTTAGGGGCACTATCATTTTAGACACGGACACCACTGACGTTTGTAATGCATCCGAGATTGCACACCGATGTTCGATGCGATCGGACACTAGATAGACTAGGAATACGTGACGCTTTCATCATGATGTCAACATGAAATTAGCCCCAGGGTTCCTGCATGTGTTCACGTAGTGCTACAAAACTGAGATGACCGCACAGTGAACGCGGGGTCAAATTCCAGTGCAACACACAGCTCTGAACACTCTAACATCATCCACTAACTTCTTGCTTTCAATTCCTAGAACGCATCATTTCCATCATGCCTCGTATGGTAGCTCCCCAGCCGGCCGGCGAAGGCTTCCAAGTTGTCCTATCGAAGCCCTTCTCCGGTAAGTACCTAGCATGAGCCCAACAAGGCGGTCAGGAACTCATGATCAAACGCAGGTGCACCAACCCACCAGATCGAAGTAATCGGCGAACTCAACCGCCCCGCCAGCGTGCGCATGACAAACTACAACGGCAATGCCAAGTCCACTGAGAAGAAAGGCGATGTTCCTCAGTACGCTACATTTCTCCCCCTCTCCGCTGCTTGCAAGCTTACGCCTATCCAGGGACGATGTCCGTGAACTCATGACCCTTATCTCGACGCTCCGCGGCTTCCCGTCCGACGACAACAAGGACATTTACAACCTCGACACCAAGCTCGACTTTGCGACTTTCGAAATACAGTGGAGCAACCAGGAAGACGACCCAGCGGCGCAGGGCGAGGTTGGCGGTGAGCAGAAGGATGAGTTCAAGAGGGTGGTTGATAGTGTGGAGGCGTTGGCGAGGCAGTTTGCTAAGCAGGATAGTGCTATTTGAGGGTAGAGAAGACGAAATAGCGTATAAGTTTTTGTGGTTGTGTAGTTGTATTCGCTATATTTAGGATCTAGGCGCCGCCATCATTCGATCTCGTCTCTAGTTTACGTGGTGTCTTTCTAGTCTTCGGTTTATCTGAGTCGACAATGCTGTCCTGTGACTTTGCCTCTAGTTTTCGTGGCTTCTTTCGACTTTCAGGTTCACGTGCGTTCAGGTCTTTTTCTTTCTTGCGTAATTCTTCCTCTTTCTCGTTCAGCTCTTGCTCTCGCTGGTCTAATCGTTTTTCCCTTTCTGTCAAGTTTGCTTCTTTACCATCTGGTTCTTGAGCATCTTCACTCGACTTTTGGCGAGCCTCTTTCTCTTCTGGTTCATTTCCAGCCGTCTCTGACTTCTTTTCGCCCTCATTCTTTTGAATGTTCTCCTTCGAAGGCTCCTCTTGCGGTGGCGCACTATCACCGCCTTCCCCTCCCCCAGCTTCACCAACTCCTCCCATATTCGGCATCATCCCTTTCACGCCTTCCATCCATCCTTCATCTGGTGCCGCATTCCCCCCGTCTTCTTGCAGCTTCTCCAACTCCTTCTCATCCGGCATGTCCTCCTCTTTTACCTGCCCGACCATCTTCTCGAGCGTCTTCTTCTGCTCCTCACTCGCGACCCACGATGGCAAAAAGCTCGTCGCTTTCTTCACTCCTTTGCCAGCCAATTTTCCCATGTCTACCATCGGGCCATGTGCTGCCCCAGCCGCGGCACCAATCCCGCCGCCCAGTCCGCTCGTGATGACGGAAGTCACGCCTCCTACCAACGTCCCTGTCAATGCGCCTAGAGTAGCTGATGGAGCGAGGCCGAGGCCTGCACCGGCAGCCATGCCTTGGAATGCACCAGAGCGAAGATATTTTGCAGTCTTGCCGAAGGACTCGGCTTCGATTTCAGCGTTGACGGCTTGTTCTGTTAATTTCTGGCGCTCGTCGGGGTCGCCTGCAGCAGCTGCAGCATCTCTTAGCTCCTTTGCCTTTTTCTGGGCAGAAGCTGCTGCACCGGCGGCTTTGGAGGATTCTTGACGGATTTCCTGGTCAGAGATTGCGTTTTGCGAGGATTCTGATTTGGACGAAGTTTTTTGATGGCTTTGTTCAGATTTGTTTGCAGACATGTTGCTTACAGGTTATGAGAAATATCTGAAATAGGTGTCGTTGTTTTTATGTATATGTTTTTTTATCCTCTCAGATCTTGTTTGTGATTGAGGCTACGTCATGGACGCTACTGGTACCTAACTCGATATGTAGCATTACAACAGACAAAAGGAAAATCACCAAGAATTAGTTGACAAACAATGGCTGCAGACCTCCCGGTTAATGAAAACATAGGTGTCAGCATAGCCACCATTGACGAACTACTTCCTATAGGGCGTGTCCCCTTAGGTCAACTCGCTTATGCACGACGAGATCCCACGAGTTCCACCTCACTCGCTCCCTCGACCGCATGTTAAACCATCACAACCCATAATGTCGGAAATCGAAGCTAGTCGCACTCAATTGCAGGGAGTCATGGACGAATTCAATGAAATGACAGGGACCATTCGAGACTACAGAAAAGAGCAATTGGAGCTCGAGAAGAAGATTGAATTGTTGAAATTGAAGCGAGAGAGCGAGATTGTGGAGTAATGTTCCAGATACCCAGCATTGGATGTCAGCTGATTGTAGTGATGTAGCAAGTTTAGTTCTCAAATCTTTGCTAAGGGCAAGGCAGACCTGCGTGAGTTAACGGATCGCATCCACGCCAAGTTCCCCATGGAGATCAGAGACTTGGTATATCAACATGTCTGTGTCTTTCACGAGCCTATCATATTGGATGCAACACACCCAGACTGTGTCCCAGTTCCAAAAGATACAGGACTTCACGGGCTGTTGAGCCCCAATTATCTCGATGAAAATACATTCAGGGAAATGTATAAAATCTACTGGTCGTTGAATACATTCGATGTCGAGCTTAGGCCAAGCCTAGACCAACAAGGAAACAAACTATGCGAAATACTGGGTTACGATACTGAGGCTCTCTGGCAAGCTCGCGCGCCACAACAACAGCGACAGCGACTGCAACCATATGATACAATCCGCCATCTCCGAATACACATACCAGCTCCAAAGACACTTGGTAAAGTTACAGTGCGGCTTTCGGAACAAGACTTCAACGTGGAACAACTTTTCATGGCTAGCATTGCCGGACAGCTGGCCGAACTTTATTACTGCGGACAACGAGGGAACACGCGAATTGATTTCATTGTCCATACTCGAATTTCCACTTTTAGGCGGGGTGTCGACCAAGTATTTGGAATCTACGATGACGAGCGACGTTTTGTCAACATACTGGAAGCACTGAAAAGAACCTATACCAAGCTGAAGCGCCGTGGTATCAGGGTATCTCTCAGACTCAGAAACGTTTGCTCGGTTGCTCAGACCCAGACCTGGGACTACACATCACATCTCGTCGACGTCCTGAACGAAGAAAGATGGCGACAGGTGGGTACACAGGCCTTGCCATTATGGTTCTTCACTTACATAGTCAACATAGGATCTCAGAGAACGTGCCGATGCTCGTGATTATCGTTGGGGTCACTATATTCCTCACTTGACATTGAGACACGATCCAGATGGATTTCGGGACATGCTTTGGCAACGATGGCAGTTACGGCACGCTTTGCCATGGCTCGACCCGACGTGGAAACATAAAACACTATAAAGCAATGGATTATCGTATGTGGAAAGATCTCCGTGCTTCCAGGGTGCGCATGTGCAAGGGCAGGCCCACTGGGCAACGCTTGCGTCAAGTCAGATGCTTGGCCAGCCAAGCGGCGATCTAACGAAGCAAGTCAAATGGCAGTGCTTGTTTCAACATTTACAGATGGCATTCTTTGAGTGTGGCACATACAAATGAATAGTTTGGGGATTCGGATGTCTGATTATACTATTTGATAGACCAAAGGGGTACGCTACATTGTTGAGTTCTTGGTCCTCGGTCGTCTTTCCTCAAACGCAACTGTACATGTGCAGTACATATGCAGTACATATGTGGGAACTGTTTATCTTCCGGATAATGATTCATCCTCCTACACACATCGGGAGAACCTGTGTTTGAGTATCCATCGTGGCGCATCGGAGTCTCCTATCGGCCCTCATCAGAAGCCCATGGTACGCGCACGAGATATGTCTTTCCCGCGCCTCAGTATTGTGTATGTGTGGAGAAGATCGATCGGAGACGTTTTCCGAATAATGACATACATGAATATGCTTTGTGATGGGGTGCGACCAGCTTGTGGATACTGATGCTTCGTCCTATCGCAGCTGCTTAACATTGCGTTATCGATATTGCTGATGCTGCGGGTCCGACTGTAGCAACCTATCTTTACCAGAACTCTCAGAAATAAAGACAAAGACTGTTTGGATTATCCAAAAAACGCGACAGCCCGAAATGCACGTCAGTGTGAACAATGCAGATGGGATGCAACAGATCAGCTCGGGGAGCGGTTCCGTTCCGCAACCGGCTAGGAAGCGATTCTCGTTCCCCACGGTATCCCAGCCAGCCCAGAAGCTTCAACAACGGAGACCCCAGATTAGACCGAAATGAGACCTCCCGCTCCACGGTGATCTATCACAGATGATGGCGTCGCGGGGTAGCGAGATTTCGAGCCGCCATCCAGAAGCATGATACACGGTGCTGCCAACGCGAGGCCCGATATATGTACCGACAAACACTGCCGAGGCCCTCCAGAACAACCGTCTTGGTGCCTCTGAAGAGACCGGCGATCATGGCTTGGTTCGGGCTCGAACTTTCTCCACGCTGAGTGGACCACTCCTCCACAACCGCACAGCCATTGAGTGTCGCGCTTAACCACTCGCCGTTAGCACGTGCTCACCCTCCTCTTGGCTTCCTTAGAAGTAGGCGCGATTGCGGCCATGGTCACAGCTGGACCTTGCCTGGTCAATATTTGGTCAGCCAAGATGAGAAGCGTATAAGGGCGGTTGGTGCGGCGTTTCGAGTTGCCTTTTGCACACACGTCCGCCTTCGACTTACGCTGGACGACAGCTGAATTGACAATGAACGGACTTCACGTGCGGAACTCGGCAGAGAAGCCTGCGCCGAGTCACAGCGAGGACCTCAAGCAGGATGTACACCTCGTTGCTGAACATGGGCACGCTGCGACTGATCAGTGAGTGATTGTCATCCACCTGCGATGGTCATCGTATCTAACTTTTCTCCCTCAGATATGGACATGCGCTCGTGCAATTCGACGCCAAAGCCGAGTCGCGGCTAAGACTCAAGATAGACTTGATGATCGTACCTACCGTGGCCGTTTTGTACTTGTTCTGTTTTATTGACCGAGCCAATATTGGCAATGCTCGTCTTGCGGGGCTTGAGAAGGACTTGGGTCTGACGGGCTACGACTACAATGCGGTCCTATCCATCTTCTACATCAGTTACATTCTATTCGAGGTATGTATCAGATCCTTTTTTCTCGCGATCGAATCGATTTTGAATTGCGTTGAAATGTATTTCAATGTTAACTTGATAGATTCCTTCCAACATGGCCTGCAAATGGATAGGCCCAGGCTGGTTCATCCCGATCATAACGCTGTGCTTTGGCATTGCTTCCATCGGCACAGCGTTTGTCCACAACATCCACACCATCTCAGTCGTACGATTCATACTGGGAATATTCGAGGCCGGTATGCTGCCCGGAATCGCGTATTACATGTCTAGGTACAGGATCCCACATTGGCACATGTAGCAGCAAAATTAATATGAGCAGGTTCTACCGCCGGTCCGAACTTGCCTTCCGTTTATCGCTCTACATCGTGATGGCGCCCCTTGCAGGTGCTTTCGGAGGGCTACTTGCCTCGGCGATCCTCACTCTCGACTCTTTCGGTAGCCTCAAGCGCTGGAGGATGATCTTCGCTATCGAGGGCATCATTACGTGCATTCTCGCGATAATCTCGTTTTTCACCCTTACCGACCGCCCGGAGACAGCCCGTTGGCTCAATCAAGAGGAAAAGGATCTTGCGGTCGCTCGCGTCAAGTCAGAACGTGTTGGGCAGAGCGAAGTTGTTGATAAGTTCAACAAGAAGAAGACGGTCCGCGGCATTCTCAACCCTGTCATTTTGGCCACTTCTTTTATCTTCCTTTTGGACAACATCACTGTCCAAGGTCTTGCTTTCTTCACACCGACGATCGTCCGTACTATCTATCCCAAGAACACTGTCGTCTCCCAACAACTCCACACCGTGCCGCCATACATCGTTGGAGCTTTCTTCACAGTCCTCCTTCCGTTCATCAGCTGGCGCATAGACAGACGCACAATTTTGTTCATCATAAGCGCTCCGCTAATGATGATCGGGTACATAATGGTCAGTCACACTACGTTCACATGGTATGCGCATACTAACTTCACATCAGTTCCTTGCGAGCCACAACCCTCAAGTCCGCTATGGCGCAACCTTCATTATAGCATCCGGCGCCTTCTCCTTCGGTGCACTATGTAACGCTCACGCATCCGCCAACGTCGTTACGGATACAGCACGCGCATCTGCCATCGGCACAGTTGTCATGTTCGGAAACGTTGGTGGGCTGATCTCAACGTGGAGCTTCTTGCCATTCGACGCTCCAAACTTCAAGATTGGCAATGGATTGAATCTGGCGACTAGCAGCACGATTCTAATATCGAGTATTGTTCTACTGCTCTGGATGAAGAGGAGCAATAAGAAGAGAGAGACTGTCGATGTGGATCAGGAATTGGCTGGCAAGTCAACAGGCGAGATTGAGGATCTGGACTGGAGACACCCCTCGTTCAGGTGGAGGCCTTGATCTGTTTGACTGCATCAGGTGCTACTAGAGTCCTTGTCAGACCTGCGCAAGTCTGCTGTCTTATGCCAAGGACTCCACGATGTATGTCCTCTTGGACTTAGCATTACATGCAAAGATACAAAATGATTTTAGTGACAAGAACCATGAGCAACAGTACTCCTTACAGAATGACGAGCAAATTAGTGTCTGTTGAACTATGTCATGAGGATCGTGTCGCCTAGTTGTCAGCGCAGCGAAGTTTGGAGTGGGGTCGCAACCTCGGTTCGTTTCGGTCTTCCGTCATCCATCCTTCTGCGCGCACAGCCATGAGTACATCAAATAGTTGTTTCCGTAGCTCAGACAATACATACTCTGTGTACATAAAGTCGCAGCTCAGACCTCCTTGATAGTCGCGCTACATATACACACTGCGCACACTAGATTTGCATTACCTACGCACCTCGCGCCTAGCTCACGAAGCTCTCCACAACAATGCCTTCAGCCATCGTAATCAAGAAAATCGAGGGCAAGCCAGGGAAGGTCTACTACCCGCTCGAAAAGATCACAATTCCCGAGCCAAAACCAAAACAGGATGAAGTACGTTTGTCGCCCCTGAGTACACGCTTCCTCTGACATTCCACCACTCAGGCCGTCATCTCCCTCACAGCCGCCGCACTGAACCACCGCGACCTCTTCATCCGCCAACACTTGTACCCCGGTACAACATTCGGTGTCCCCCTCCTCGCCGACGGCGTTGGCATTGTCACCGCTGGCTCTTCACAATGGCTCAACAAGCGCGTCATACTGAACCCGGGCACAGGCTGGCAAGAGGATCTCGAGGGTCCTGAGGACCCCAAGGGCTACGCAATCATGGGCGGCACCAAGACGAATCCCGCGGGAACGCTGGCGGATGTCGTCACCCTGCATGAGCGTGAGCTGGAGCTTTGCCCCGAGCATCTGAGTGACGAGGAGGCTGCTGCGTTGCCTCTGACGGGATTGACTGCATGGCGCGCGTTCCACGTCAAGTCTGGGAATGCGGTTGCCGGCAGGAATATCTTGGTCACGGGTATTGGCGGTGGAGTAGCACTCATGGTGTTGCTGTTTGGCGTTGCGCAGGGCTGCAATGTCTATGTGACGAGTGGTGATCAGGCGAAGATTGATAAGGCGGTCAAGTTGGGCGCGAAGGGTGGCGTGATCTATAAGGAGAAAGATTGGGAGAAGAAGCTGCAGGGCATGCTGCCAAAGGACCGGAAGTATCTGGATGCGATTGTTGACGGCGCGGGTGGTGATATCGTCAACAAGGGATCGAGGTTGCTCAAGGTACATACTCTCACCACCTCACATTTTGGCAACAAAATGCTAACCCGTTTCGCAGGCTGGTGGCGTCATATCCATCTATGGCATGACCGTTGGACCCAAGATGGACTTCCTCATGAGCGCCGTCCTGCGCAATATCGAAGTCCGCGGCTCGACCATGGGCTCGCGAAAAGAATTTGCAGACATGGTCAAGTTCGTACGAGACAAGAAACTGAAGCCAGTTGTTTCTCGTAGCGTACACGGCCTCGACGTACAGAAGATCGACACACTCTTCGATGACATGAAGAATGCGAGTCAGTTCGGCAAACTCGTTGTCACGCTGGATGGCGCAAAGGCATCGAGTAAACTATGATGTAGCGTGCGTGAAAATCTAAACATGCAGCGATCTTGTCGTTAACCATTGGTAATCAGTTGTGCTGAAAACTCAGTCTATATACCTGTGAAGCAACGTGACATCAGGCGATCGTGAATGCAAATCACTACCCGAACGGCTCAACCCACGTCACATTTGATATCAAATCATGCATAATGGGATTTGGGCGGACATATTAAGAATATCACCTAATCGCAACCCAGGTCCACTGAACTCAGTCTGCAATTATTGCAAAATTCTAAGGATCTCAGGGCCGATAACTAATCATGCGTAGTGCGATAGTAAAGTCTCCATCATGTAAGCAGAATGAAAAAGGCAGCGCCAAAGTCGTGGGCAATAAGTGATCGAGTAGATGCGGAGTCGGGGTTACCATCTGCAGCCCTTGACAAAACGAGAAACCAATCTCTACAAGGACAAAGCAGGATGAGGACAGATGCCATATATGTATGGCCAGTATGCTACTTCTATGCACTCCTCAAGTAGTATCCTCATTATCCACCACAAGCCATTCATATTCCCCACGAAAAAAAAAACACAAACATGTCCGACTCCACCAAATCCTCCACTCTCCCCAGCGCTGAAACTCCCAACCGCGCAACCGCATCATGTTTCTGCAGCGCCGTCCAGCTCTCCTTCCCCACCACCGGCCCGGGCATCGCAAACATCACAATCTGCAACTGCACCGACTGCCGTAAAATCACCGCCTCCATGTTCGCCTCCAACTTCTCCATCAGCGACGACTACCTGATCCACGAGCGCGGCCAGTCAAATCTCAAGACCTATTCCACCAAACACGGCGTGCAGAGCGGCAAGACGATGACGAATTACTTCTGCCAGACGTGTGGTACTCTGATGTATAGGGTTGGTGAGAGGTTCCCTGGGTGGAGGATCTTGAGGCTGGGGACGCTGGATGATTTGGACTTGGTGGAGGGCGTTATGAAGCCAAGGTTTGAGCAGTTTGTGAAGAGTAGGGCGGGATGGTTGGACGGGCCGAATGTTGAGGGGGTGCAGAGGTTTGAGGATGGGGCGTTCTAGAGGCACGAAGTGCTGCGAGTATTCGTGGCTGGCTAGAGCGAACCGAGTACCGATGGTCTGCCGTGGGATAGTTGAGGTTGTGTAGCTTCAGGATGATCATGGCACTTTTTCAAGTGCCGATAAGACTCTGAATATGTTCGGACTTATGTAGAGGGTAGTGTATAAGCCCGGGGACTTTTCATACAAAGCATCAGCATGTCGTTAATGAAGATTTACAGGCTGAGTTATCATAGCAAAAATAGAACTAGACTCGATCAAAGACCATCAGATATGCTATCAGCACAGTCCCAGAATTCAGAAACAGCCACTATTCTGCTTCACGTTCGTCCGAAACTAAATCAGAACGATAACAATACGCCGTGGAATTAGGTTGCCCGCCTACACGCCAGCTAGCAAAGCACTTAGGTATAAACACTCTCCGTGAACGAGTTGACCTGCAATCCTCGTTCAGCCAACTCCGCATTCTCCAAGAATTCCAACTGCATCCACACCAAATGACCCTTGACGCGATCCAGCTCGGCCCTGATCTCCGCCACCGGACGGACCTTATCATACAAGTGACCCTGCTTGTGGTCCTTGTCTGCCTTGGGGTTAGGCGTGAAACTATCGTAGTCTTCGAATGTCTTGATGTTGTTGTCAGGATCGGCGTGGAACAGTGAGCGGAACACCTCAGTGTTGGTGGTTGCACGTTCAGTCCATTCATCCCATAGTTTTGAGGAGAGCGGGTCGGACACAAAGTCGGCCTCCGGACCTGGTAGAGTGTCATTACGGCTGTGTTCAGAGGGAGGTTGCGCGTTAGGGTCGTCCTTTGCATCGAGTGTTTGAGGTGGGAGAAGACCGAGATGTTCGCGCCAAAGATTGCTACGTAGCTCATGGGCGAGTCGAGCAGCCTTGTATGGCTTGCCGTCCATCTCAGTATCAATCTCATCTTTGTCGTGCAGAACAATCGAGAGCTCCGAGTCGTGGAATCCTAGTTGTGAACGGTCGTTGATGTTCGAAGAACCGCAGATGACGTACTTGTCGTCGACGATACAAAGCTTGGCGTGAATGTAGAGCTCCTCTTGGAAGAAGTGTTGTTTCTCGTCTTCTGGCTCGCCTTCCCATTCTTCGGCGCTTGGCTTCTTGTCTGTCAACATGGCGTCATCAGCAATGGAGTCGGGATCTAGAATGCCGCCGCCTGATCTCCGAGACCAACGTCCTCATGGTCGCCGGCAAAGCGTTTCCTAAGTTCTGCAGCCTTCTTTCTTGCAGCTTCCCCTTCCTCTTCTAAGGGCGCTTCCAGCTCTTCGATCTCGGCCTGCTCGAGTTCCATGTATGTCAGACCAGAGTCTTCTTCACGCTTCTTGAGCGTAGGAGTGTAATTTATACGATCATACGAACGCAGGTTGAAGAAGAAAATGTGCTGGCTGGGATCGACGTCCTGTGCCTTGACGCGGCCGAATATGCTTTCGTCTCCACGACAGATACTCTTGAATTGGTAGTCCATGATGGCCCTCGTACCAGCTGCTGCGTTGTCGCGCAGATCTCCAGCAAAACCTGGGATTGCTGGGATGATGATGATGACTTTGAAGTTTCGGCCCTCTTTTGCAGCCCGGACTACTGCATCAACAATGGCCGCGCCGATCTGGTTGTGTACCGGACTCTCGTCATGCTTGCTCGTAGCTGTGATGAAGAATTGGTTCTCGATATACACGAAATGTTCGGCGTTCCGAATAAGTTCGCAGTAGGCGTTCTGGATGCTCTGCTCATGCGGCTCGATACCCATGCTCCAATCAGCGCTACTTCTGACGAGTTGTGCATGTACTGTTCCACGGTTATCGAGGTTCTTGGTACTCAGCGGTGACTTCGGGTGATGTATGTATCCGCCAACAGGGTATTTGGGGCGCTGCACTCCGACAAGATCCTCGTCATCACCTTCGCGACCCTCCAAAGTCAGCCACTCGTATCGCTCGTCGCGCTTGTACTTGTCGCGCTTCATGAAGTTCCAGCGAAGGACAAAATGTTCCGCGATGTCATAAACCGATGGACCAATCAAACCCATTGCAACGTCATGCCAGGGCATACGACCATATTGCAGTTTGTCGAGCTTGTTGGATTTCCAGTCATCCACGCCGTCGAAGTCGAGGATGCGGTTGTTGTTGAAGTCCTGACCTGGGAAGATGTTGTTTTGCACTCCTGAAGGATGCACATCTGCAAGCGGATGTTGTTTCTCGTCCCAGCGACCATAGCAAAGATCAAGACCGCCGATGAAGGCCATGGCGTAGTCAATGACAATGAACTTTTCGTGATGCGCCCAGTAAAACGTCATGTCTCCAGCGTTCTCAAAAACGTTGTGGTCCGGATGTCTCATGACCTTGATATTGCCGTAGCCCGGTTCTCCCTCTTTGAACATACCCATCATTGCCTTCTTGGTGTGTTGACTGTTGCATGTCAAAGCCGCAGTCACCTTTACAGAGTTAGCTAAGTTTGCTATCAATTCTGTTCATACTCGCCTCCTTGTATACTGAGATGTAGATTTTCACACCAGCTTGGGCTCTGCGCTTGAGTATTTGATCTAATCGAAATTTCTGGTTGTAAAAAGGGGGCCGCTTCAGGAACTGCAGAGTGTAAGTTTTGGCCACGAAGAGATGCACATGAAGCTAACCAGTTCAGGGGAGAGCCACCAGTCGGCAATGTAGATGGTCTCCTTCGCTTGCTCCAATGCCTCTGCGACGGCCTAGACGAAGTTAGTCGAGGTCTTAAAATCACGTGCGATCAGGCATACCCAGAAGTAGTCTCTTCCATCGACATACCACTTCACCAGGTTGCCTTCTCTCTCCGGGGCAAACGAATTGAAGCGATGGTTTTCAGCAATGCGACTTCGCTTAGCATCGGTTGCCTTCTCGTGGTCCTCGTCATGGCGATGGTTGGTGTTGAAGATGTTGGTGAACTTTCCGGCCTTGTGCTTGGCATGCACCACTTTGATCATGGGCTTCTCAAGCTTGGTGCTCGCAAGCTTACTCTGGATCTCCTCGATCTTCTCGCTGGCCCTATGGTTGAATGGGTGAAACAATCTCTCTTTGAAGCCTCGCTTCCCCGCACCATCAGAAGGTCCGTCAGACATGATGGGCCGTGCACGTGAAGATCACGTTCCGTGGACTGTAGTAGCGACAAATGGGGCTTGAGCGAGAGGCTGGAGATGAGGCGATGCAGGTAGGTATTTGCTGTGCTATGCACCAGTCTTGTAAGGTTGGTGGGGTGATAAAACCGGTATTCACCCTACTACACTTGGCGGCAGGGTCGCGCTTACAGCGATCGTGCCGGGATGCCGGATAGGCTAAGGCAGGTGACGTAATGGCAGGCACCGCCAACCTCTTTGCGGGGAGCTACGACCGCCATTGTGCGAACCACTGCTGCATGTGATGCAGCTACGCGACGCGAAGAGCATGGATTGGCTTTTTTTGATCACTCACATGCGAATTCGCACATTGCGCCTTCCCCATTATGTTCCTGGCCCGGTTCAGCCTCCAACAAATCTTTCAATCCCTGCCTATAGCACACCAACCAGGTTTAGTAATTGCGCGCACGACAACGAAGTTGTAAAGTCGTATGCAAAACTGTAGACTGGAAAAACTAGGCTAAGGAGCTATGAACGGCTCCCAAGACACCGGCAAAGCTTAGCAGCGATGGCAGTCATTTGGGCCTCAAAAAATGCGATCTCGACTACCCACGATTTCTAGCGCTATAGCTCTATCTCTATAGCGCTGTCTCATGTTTTCTGCACGTCATGGCATAGTATTATATCTAGTACCAAACAGGAGGCATAGGACGCCTAAGCATCTTTGATCTACACGACAACATCTGATGCACGAAGCCAACATCCTCGACATAGTTAGAGAAACTTAATAAACCGTGAAGAAAGCCACTCCGAAATTCTCACGACATTAGCACAAGAATTGATAAGATCAGAGAATACATGGCCATAACATCTTCATATACAGCTACTGACCCCAACGGAAGACAACTAGCCTCATGGTTCCGGTACCGCCATACCGACGTCAACCCCTAATGTCGTTCAACCTTCATGGATTCGCCAAATCATCAGTCATAAACCATGAAACGTTACCTAGACGCCAACACAAGGGTGATCATCCAACCCCGCTTCACTCAAAAGAAGCCTTGCAATCTCACTTCCAAAGGCCTCCAACCTGCGAAGCCTGCTTCCATCTCATCTAGTCCGAGCTTGAAACGACATACGGCCACCCATCCCTCCAATCCAAATAATTGAATCCAAAGAAGAAGTCGCCAGCTTCGAATCCCACGCTCTTCTTCACTATCTCACGTCAGCCCTTCCCCCCACTCCACCATCCCAGACCTCCGGACTTACCATAATGATAATACACAACTGTCCTCTCACTCTTCGGGTCCAGCATAACACCCTGGCCGCCCGGCGCATACATATCCCCATGACTAGCAAGGACCGTCGTCCCGCCATTCTGCGTCAAACAATTTCTTCCCTCGCGGTCAAAGTACGGGCCAATAATGCGTTCGGCGCGACAAACTACGATGTGGTATTCGTCGCCAGGCAGCGCGAGTTCGAAGTCTCTGCGACAGCACTGTCCCACGCTGAAGAAAACGTAGAAAAACTCTTCGTTCTTATACACAATTGCGCCCTCCTGCACCGCAAAGTTCGCGGTGGTGTTGGATATGATAGTCCTGATATCACGCTCGTCGCCGCCCCATGCGAGTAGTTCGTCATGGTTGTTCATTTCGATTTGCTGGATGCCGGACCAGTAGCTGCCGAACGTAAAGTAAGCCGGGCTATCGCGTGATTCTTGGAAGACGAAGGGGTCGATGAGGTTGTAGCGGCTGTTTTGGGGCAGGCCGATGGCGCCGTGGTCGGTCCAGGATCCGGGGCTGAGGGAGGTGGACGTCGCGACGCCGATTTCAGAGTGCTGCGATCCAATGAAGGAGACGGAGTAGTGGCAGTACCAGGTTTCGTCGCGCTTGACTATCGAAGGTGCCTGATGAGATCTTAGTGATCATACATGGATGTGGGAATATGAAGTGCCATACCCATATATCCTGATCATCGCGCAGATGTATGCTCGTTCCGTTGTGTAATAGAGCGCCTTGATATTTCCACGGGCCCTGGAGGAAGCGCGATGTGGAGATTGCAATGTTTCCACTGGTGGTGAAGCGCCAGTATTTGTTGTCATCATACACGATACTCGGGTCATGGACCCAAGAACAGTTGCCGCGACACGGCTCTGGGTCAGGATATATTCCCGAGATACTCGGAGGAAGAACGACAGCAGCCTGCGGACGGGCTCGTACGACCGGAACGCTGCGAGTTAAGTGGAAGACAAGAGGCGAAAACGTAGCGCTGGTGATGAGAGAGGAAATGACGATGGCGATGGAGAAGCGTGCAACAGTAGAGCTCTGGAACATCTCCATTGCTGCATCGAAAATCGAAAATCATTCGCAGAAGAAGGTATCGCAGAAACAAGAAGACGGATACACGGTATATCGTGAAGACCAGGAGTAACATTTCTAGCCACATTTCCAGTGACGTGTTTCTCGCACACGACAAACTGAGGTGATCTCCATTGAATTATGCGTCTGTGATTACGACGTTGGCGAGAACGCCCTGGGTGCTCATCAGACCTCCGATAGCACGAGCCTCAGTAGCCATGTAGGGACTACGAGCGGTCGACAGAAAATTTGACCGCAGAACTGGTCTCAAAGAGGACGTCGAACCGCACGGCGCACTCTGTGCTGATGGTATAGTACATGCGCCCTATACACAGTCATGCGGTGCTGTTACAAGGCTGTCAGAGAAGATGCATCGTCAGGTAAGCCCAAGTAGCTTCTGTGATTGAATGAGCGGTGTGAATAACGGGGACTGTGACGAAAACATCCGACACCGCTACTGAAGCGCCATTCACAGTCGTAGTTGTAGAAGAGAAACCAGTTTGGGTCGAATTTTGTTGGCGCACAGTATCAGGGTGTATATATACGTACTTTCGTAGCGATTGTTTCCCATGTAGTTCATGCATATGCGTGCAACAGACTCCCGAGTATTACGAACGATGTCAATAGCTACTACAGACAACACTTCGATCGCCTGTGACACGATCATGCCACGCGCTGTGTTCCCATTGGCGTACGTTTTTTAAGTGTGCGGTGAGAGGTTATGTTCTCCATCGCCGGTGACTTTCCAAAGGGTGCTGTGGCTAATGGTTATGAGCAAACTTTTGGCCAATAGAATATTAACTTGACTGATGAGGTGGCTCGTGAGCTCAACTATAACCCAGAAACACGTTTAATTGACAATACAAAAGTGCGCAAGGCTCGCCCCAGCATCGAAAGTGCCAGTGTTTTGGGTGCAACGTGGCAGAGTTCACAGCGTTCTCACTGCGCCGCAGAACGTTAGCGCGTAATGACTTCGACCAAAAGTCGGCAATGAACCGATCGCCAAAAGATGGTAGGTCAATTAAGAGGTAAAGTCGTTCTGAATTAAGTTGGTTTTTGTGCAGTAGTCGTACAGAATGCGGTGCTGATACGATCAGCTGTAGAACGTTTCCTCATATAGGACTTCAGCCCTTTTCTGCCGCACAACTAGCTGGGTGCCTTGTATCCCTCGACATCTGTACTGTTGCTCCATTTTTCGAATTTCTTTACGTTCTCTTTGTAGGTTTCAAGCTTGTTGTTAATAGCAGAGTATGCATCGGTACCAACGATACAACGAATAGGCGGGTCGTCCATGACAGCCAAATCGTAGAAGACCTTGGCAGCCTTCGCGGGATCTCCGGCTTGCGTGCCATTGCGCTCTCCCATGGCTTTCTTGGCGTCGATGTGGTCGTACGCGGGATGGTCGATCTCACCAAAATCCATGGAACGTCCAGCCCAGTCAGTGCGGAAGCCTCCAGGTTCAATGCAGGTGAACTTGATTCCCCACTCTGGCTTGACCTCTTTCGAGATTGTTTCAGTAAAGCCCTCGACGGCCCACTTACTCGCGCAGTAGATGCTGAAAGTCGGTACGCCTAAAATGATTTAGTAGAGAACATAGCGGCTTACATGATAACCTACCGATCTGACCGCCAATAGATGTGACGTTTTGAATGACTCCTCCGGTCTTGAGTTCTCGCATGGTCTCCATAGCTTTCCTGGTCACATCCATCAAACCAAAGAAGTTTATTTCCATCTGCTGGCGAATCTGCTTCTCGGACACTGTCTCAAAAGGTCCGCTAAGTCCGTACCTAAATGCCGCCGGGAAGATTAGAGAGACTACCACGGCCTTGGTGAATGGCGACGTACCCCGCATTATTCACAACGACGTCAACGCGCTTGAATTTCTTCACGGCTGCTTCGAACGCTTTGTTGATTGACTCTTTCTTGGTGACATCGAGATCAACAAGCAGACTGTTCGAATCGTTGGCGTCTGGAAACGACAACTTGGAGCTGTTCCGAGCTGTGGCAACGACGTGATCGCCTTTTTGAAGGACGACCTTGACAAGCTCCTGGCCGAAGCCGGTGGAGGTACCGGTGATAAGGAAGACTCTTGGTGGCATGATGTTTGACGAAGAGTTAGTAGGAAATTGCTTTCAAAATGCCAAAGATGATGGTATCTGAGGTTCAATAGCTGGGTGAGTGCTGTATTTATAGGAGTACCTGCAAGTCTAGCATACGTCAACTGCAATGCAAAAGGTTACGTCAGAGACTGTTGAGTTAGGGCGGGAAGGAACATGCTCCAGACCCCGCGTAGAGACGTGTACATGCGAGTCGAATCGATCAACCCGATCAACTCGAGTTCAAGCAGAATTTAGGGCGTAATCATGCCTGCTTCTGCATCTTGAGGCGCATCTCAGAAGCCAAGCACTTGCGTGTTCCCTGGGCAATATTCAGCATTTCGTCGAATTCAGTACGAGGCCATGACGGTGACGTCGCCGGAAGCAGGCGGCTTCATATCGAGCATCTCAAATCATCTGCATGTAGAATGTGGAGAGAAGACAGTAGCAGCGACGGAACGCTCCGGTCAAAATGTCTGGATGATGGATAAAGTTGCGCTAGGCTCAAACAGGGCGACGCGATTCAGCAATTTACGCGCTCAACCCCCGTCCGAGCCCCCGTCCGAGCCCCTCTATCGCGATAGCATAGCAACGCAACGAACATTCACTTGAGGGTACCCGGCAACCGACCCAGCTCCTCAATCGCGCATTGAGAGACTGCCTCCAGCCTCCAGAACAAGTCACCCCTCCAACCACAGCCACATCATGACCGAGTTCATCAGGGACGAGGATGAGCGTCGGCGCGTGAGGCTCGCGCAGGAGTTTCTCGACCCCGGTACGCATTGAAGAAGGCCTGCGAGACGCTGGCGCTGACTGCTCGGTGTAGATGACGTGACGAAGCGAAGCTACAGACCAGACATCTTGGTGATGCTGAACCGGGGAATGCGCAGACTTACAGTGCGTCGCTACATGTCACAAACAGCAGGCGCATACTGACGCCGCCCAGGTCAGCCTAGACGAGATCAGAGCACATAACCGGGAACTTGCCGACGGCCTCCTCAACGAGCCCTTCGCCTTCGTCCAAGCCTTCGACCAGGGCCTCAAAGATGTCATCAAAACATTTACAGACCGACCCAAGACCGAGATAGCCGACGAAGTGAAATACTACTGCGCCTACATTGGCAGCTTTGGAGAATTTTCAGTGAACCCGCGCACGCTCAGCTCCAACCAGCTGAACCACATGGTGTCTCTAGAGGGCATCGTGACCAAGACGTCGCTCGTGCGCCCCAAGATTGTGAAGAGCGTGCATTACAACGAGAACCTGAAGAAGTTCCACATGCGCGAGTACACCGACCAGACCATGACAACAGGCGCTGCGAGTTCGAGTGTGTATCCGACCGAGGACGGCGAGGGCAATGCGCTCATTACAGAGTACGGCTACTGCACATACCGTGACCATCAGGTCATATCCATCCAAGAGATGCCCGAACGTGCGCCTGCTGGTCAGCTGCCTCGCTCGGTTGACGTTATCATGGATGATGACCTTGTCGATCGCGTGAAACCTGGAGACAGAATTCAGCTTGTCGGCATCTACCGGTCACTCGGAAATCGCAATGCTGGAACAGGCAGCTCGACCTTCCGAACTCTTATCCTAGCAAACAATGTAATACTACTCTCATCCAAGTCAGGGGGAGGCATTGCGCAGGTCAACATTACAGATACCGATATTCGCAATATCAACAAGATATCCAAGGATAGGCGCGTCTTCGAGATGCTCGCACAGTCTTTGGCACCCTCCATCTACGGCCATGACTATATCAAGAAGGCGATTCTTCTGTTCTTGCTCGGAGGACAGGAGAAGAACCTCGAAAACGGCACTCATTTGAGGGGAGATATCAACATTCTGATGGTTGGTGATCCCTCGACAGCCAAGTCGCAACTTCTCCGCTTCGTCTTGAACACTGCTCCCCTGGCTATCGCCACTACCGGTCGTGGGTCTTCTGGTGTTGGTCTTACCGCGGCTGTCACTCAAGACAAGGAGACGGGAGAACGACGCCTCGAAGCCGGTGCCATGGTCCTTGCTGACCGTGGTGTCGTTTGTATCGACGAATTCGACAAGATGTCTGATGTCGATCGAGTCGCCATTCACGAAGTAATGGAGCAGCAAACTGTCACCATCGCCAAAGCTGGTATACACACCTCGCTCAATGCCCGATGCAGTGTCATTGCTGCTGCCAACCCCATCTTTGGCCAGTATGATGTTCACAAGGACCCGCATCGCAACATTGCTTTGCCGGATTCCCTGCTCTCACGTTTCGATTTGCTCTTCGTCGTTACGGACGATATCGAAGATGCACGCGACAGGCAGATCTCCGAGCACGTATTGCGCATGCACCGCTACCGCCAACCTGGTACAGAAGAAGGTGCACCTGTTCGCGAAGATGGCGCTCAAGTGCTCGGTGTTGGCCTCGATACCGACACAGACGCCAACCGACCAACTGAGGTCTACGAGAAGTTCAACCCCATGCTGCATTCTGGTGTCACAATCCAACGTGGCCGAGGCGCAGCACGAAGGACTGAAGTGCTGAGCATTCCCTTCATCAAGAAATACATCCAGTACGCAAAGCGTGCAAAACCAATCCTCACAAAGGGCGCCGCAGACCATGTGGTAGAGGTCTACTCGGCACTACGAAACGATCAACTAGATGCCGGAACACGGAAAACATCTCCCATCACTGCGCGTACACTTGAGACCCTTATCCGTCTTTCTACTGCTCACGCAAAGGCACGTTTGTCAAAGAATGTCGAACTCAAAGATGCGAAGGTTGCTGCAGAGATCCTCCGCTTTGCACTGTTCAAGGAAGTCGTCGAGGACGATCGTCGTAAGCGAAGGCGAACGACCCGCGACCCTGACGCCATGTCTACCGACGGTGAATCAAGCGATGACGAGAACGGTGATGAACAGGAAGCCACACAATCTCGTCGTACTGGTGGCCCATCAACGCGCAGCCAACCTACACGGACTCCAGCCGCAGACGATGGTCAAGAGGAGGTAGATAACGAAGACCTTTATAGCGTCACACCAAAGACGCAGCGCACTGCGCAGCGTACAAATGGTCGTACACAGTCATCCCGCGCAGGCGAGCCTTCTTCTCAGGTCAGCGCAGCTTCATCCCGGCCAGAGTCACAGCTCCCAGCTACGCAGACCGAATCACAAGACTCGCAAGGCATTTCACCGGCGCGTCTTCAAGTATTCCAGACCGCACTTGGACAGCTCATCGATGGCCCGCTCTTTGCCAATGATGCTGCAGATCTGGACCCTCTAGTTGCCGCTGTCAATTCGAGATTGGGTGGCGGTGCTGGACGAGCAGCATTCGAGGAAGACGAGGCTAGACAGGCACTTGAAGCGCTCAGTGAGCGCAACAAGATTATGTTCACGGGTGATATGGTGTACAAGATCTAGAACTGTACATGAGCGGATGGGAAACGAGTCACGATATTGATGTATGAAGGATGATCAGGCTGGCATGTGGCGTTTTGAATAGCGACTATCCAACTCTTCCCATGTTGATGAATACCATTTTGCTCGATTCAGTTTTTGTTTTGAAGTGTCGACGCAGATGGAGCAAAGTCTAACGCAAGTACATGTACATCACCGGACGTACCGCCTTTATTTCCGGAAATCTTCAACGTCATGGACACCAGCGAAAACCAAACTCGTACACAACCAATCGGCAAGGCATGAGCTTGTGATCAGCGGCCCGCAACCGTTACTGCTAGACTCCACCATGGAAGTGATGATGTATTTGCGTAACCCAGCGGAGATGGATAAAAACGTGTACCATAACATTATGATTGTCTTCACCCAACTTCCCCACAAAGCATCCACCCTGCCATGTTACCATCAACCCTTCTCCCCACGCTGCTCCTCAGCACCAAAGCAGCAGCAGCAACACAAGTAACGTACCCAAACTCATCCCAATCCCAAACAATCCTCCGCGTCGACCCCGGGCGCTACGGCCCAGAAATCGAGGAATACCACTACTACTACGACCAATGGCCCATCGGGCTCGCCATTTCCAGCACAGGCCGCTTCTTCGCCAGCTACACGCGCGGCAACTACACCTTCACCCTCGGCGAAGCCGTGAACAAGACTGCCGAGACGCCCTATCCTTCTTCCGACCTCAATCTACCCATGTCACAGCTGAACACCAGCTGGAACGGCATCCCCTTTGGCTCGGGAAATAGCACGGGCTTGATTAGTGTCCAGGCGCTGTACATCACCCCCGAGAGCGACGGGCGCGATGAAACGCTCTGGGTCGTAGACACGGGGCGTCCGACGATTACCAGCGATGCTGGCCCGTCGATGCCATATGCTCAGCCTGGAGGGCCGAAGATTGTGGGTATCAGTTTGAAGAACGATAGTGTGTATGCGACATACACGTTCCCCGCGAGCGTGCATTTCCCGGATAGTTATATGAACGACATACGCTTCGACTTGCGGTCTAGCGTGACGGAGTCAGGGCGGGGAATCGCGTATATAGTTGACAGCAGCGATGAAGGAAGACCGGGGTTCATCATGTTGGATCTGGGCTCGGGGCAGAGCTGGCGGCGACTCACGCAGCACCCGAGTACGCTTCGGGTCGATCGCGACGTGCCGAGTTACCAGGGGATACCGTTTTATCAGCGAACAATGGGCGTGCCGGTGCAGACGTTGCGGGAGGGGCTGGATGGACTGCAGTTGTCGCCGGACGGGGAGAGATTGTATTATTCGCCGTTGACGTCGGATTACTTATTCTCCATCCCGACTGCGAATCTGCGACTGCGGACTGAAGACGACAATCTAGCGGAGATCAAAGCGGCGAACAATGTTACGAATCACGGGCAAAGAGGCGGGAATGCGAATGGGTTTGAGGGGGATACTAATGGGCTGGTTTATCAGCTGATGCCGGAGCATAATGCTGTGTATGCGTATAATCCGGCGACGCTGCAGACTGAACCGTTTGTTCGCGATCCGAGGATTATCTGGCCGGATGGGGCGAGTATTGGGGAAGATGGGTACATGTATTTGAACATCAATCAGCTGCCGTATCAGCCGATGTGGAACAATGGGTCGGATGGGAGGATACATCCTGGTGCAGTGTTGAGGTGCAAGCTGCCGAATGGTGGGAGTAAGATCACGTCGCTTGGATGAGGAAATGCCAACACTTCGAGACAGATCGTAGAGTGTGAAATCTTCGAAATTAGGAAGTTTCGCTTCGACAATGTCAAATCCTTAAAGGACTCTAAAGACTTTTGTCCTTTTTGACATGAGTCCAAACCTTCAAATCGTTGTAGTGTACAAAGATGTCCAAGAACCGTTGTCCTTTTCGACATAAGCCCAAACTTCCAACTCGCTGTGCTGTACATGTACTGGAAATATACGTCCATTTCGCCTCCAAAGCGATTGCTATGCGGAACTCGCAGTATCGTAAAACGCCATGTCCCATTTCCGTCAAATCCGTCAATCGCTGAACAACGCCACTGATGCCATGCTTGAAATCATACCAAACGCCGCGCTCAAAATGGGTATCAACTTAAAGGGGAGGGGGAACAGCACGTAGAGAAGATGACTAGCCTTCTCTACAGATAATGTTCAGTACTTACAGAAAGTCGTCCGCATCATCTGCGACATCGAAGTCTTGCTCCACATGTTCGTCTTCCTCAGCCTCGACCTTGATCTGCTCCTCGGCAGTAGCTGATGAGTCAGAGTCATCGTCATTGCCGTTGGTGTCGTCATTGACATGGAATTCGTTGTTGGCGGCGGCCTCAGGCTCTTTGGTCGTGGTGCTGACTGGCAGACCGCCGAAGGCATCGTTAGGCACCCAGGCAAGTACAAGTTCGCCGACATCAAGGATCTGGTGAGAGTTGTCGAGGAACTGTGCGCGTTAAGATGATGTGTTACACAAGTACTTGAATCTCGACTTACCGTCTCAGCCTGGTAGCGGTACTCAAACGTCAGAATGACCACGTCAGGCTGCTCAGGATGTGGGTCGATGCTAGTACATCCTGGTACGTTCTGTGCACATTGTCAGTTTGTGTTAGTAGTGTATATGCCTGTTCCATGCTTACCATGAGATACTGTCGAAGTGCCTCGTCCCGAGGGGTGTCTTTCTCGATGTCGGAAACAGCCAGACGACGTGGGCGATTGTCCAGTCTCTTTACACTGCTCTTGCTGGTCCGACCAAGATATCCTGCTCTGCGTGTACCGCGACCTCGACGAATACCACGAAGAGGAAAGCCATATCCGCGACCCATAGATGGAGCCTCTTTTAGTGTAAAGAGGTTCTCTGCTTCAAGCGCCAGATTTGCTAGGCCTGGAGACTGTTCCTTATGCATGCCGTCGTCGTAGTCTACACCCAGCTCGGCAAGCTGCTGTCTTATCTGCTTCGTCTCGACATCATTCTCTTTGAGTCGCCTCTCAATCTCGGCGGCCTTGGCATCTGCTTCCTGAGTCTTCTTGCGTCGCTCCTCGAACGCCTTCTGCGCCTCAGCTTGACGTTTAGCAATCTCTTCAGGATTCAGGCGATCATCTTGCATATAAAAGTCGTTACCGTCACCGTCACCCATCTCAACCTCTCCGTCGAAGGCTCCCTCGCCATAGCCCTGTTTGTACCAGTAAACCTTGACAAAGCGGTTCTCAAAGACAGCCTTTGGGCTCATATAAGCTCGGGTTGCCGCAGCATTATCCTCAAACTTTACAATTGCGAGGCTCTTGAAGGTGTGCATCTGGACATCAACAACCGTACCAAACTCAGAGAAAAACGCTCGAACGTCTTTTTCGCGGAGTTTCTCAGTGGGGATCTGCTCTACGACAAGCGTGGTGTTCGTGTGGTCGTAAGATGGACCAAGCATCGAGAATGGGGCACGAGCTTTGACAGCTTTGCCGCCGCCATGTCGCGTTCGATTTGAACCCAGCGATGGCTGGTCCGGATCGTACTCGGGTACAGCTTGTGGTATGTCATCACCATCCCCGTGCTCGAAGGCACACAAACTACCAAGAGCACAGAAGCCTTTCTCATGATAGTTGTAGCATTTGCCTACGCGTGATCGTCCACCTGCATGACTGCCTTGGGTATTAACCAGAGGAAGCGGAGGTATGCCGCCCATATTTGTGCTCATGGCTGCCATCATGGACATGAACGCCATCGGGTTGTTCATCATCTCGAACGGCATGGGGCCAGGAGGCGGAGGCGGCAGATTGGCCATGTTGGGCATAGTCGGCATGTTCGACATCGGCCTAGGCGGGAGCCCAGATGCAGTGGGCCTAGGCGGGAGCCCATTTGTAGTTGGTACAGGCGGGAACCCAGGTGCAGTAGGCATAGGTGCAAACGCAGGTAAAGCATGCTGAGGCCGGAAAGCTGCAGCACCACCTTGTAAAGTGTGGATTCCACCTCTGCCAGTCGCTTGCTTGATTGGCCTGCTCCCATTACTGGCAGCATTGTAATGAGAATCACTCTCATCGCGTGCCTCGCTTGCTTCACGGCCGGTCTAGCTTCCGCTTCCTACGGCCCCTCTTCACAGACTTGGAATCAACATGCGATGATATGGTACTTCTGGCAGACGGGCCTGTGGGCGGATCGAGGCGCGATGCGAGTGGGGGCGAGGTCCGTGGATGTATTCGATGTGCCTCTAACGGATGAGCTCCTGGACCG